TAGCTAGAAAAATCTCAAAAAATTTGTTGAAATTGCGATTAAATTCAGTTTTGCCACGAGGCTTATTGTTTTCCACTTTTGCAACAATAGGAATATTGTTCATAAAATGCAACTTCTTACGTCACACTTACATGGCCTGCCTGTCTAGGTGGGCACATATTTGGCCCTTGGTCCAAAAACCATGCCAACCCCTGGTTTAGAGAGTAGTTCTCAAAGTTGATTGACAGCAAGTCAAAATTAGAAGCTGAAGGATATTCCCGGGCCAGGAAAGAGGTGCGCTTCAAAGGGACCTATATTGGTACCGGCACGTATAATGAGGATGACGAACAATTGTTACGAATATACAATTTCGCAGCACGATTTTGTAGTGGTAACAATCAAAATTTCTGTTTAATAATATTGTGCTTGCAGTTTTCGTTTATCATACAGTAAAATTGATTCAAACTTACAATTGTTGTTACTATAAAATCGGGCGAAATTTTTAGTTGGTATTACTGTGAAATGGTGACCGTTCATTTGAACCCACGTACATTTGAACCCATGTGTATAGTCGCAGGTTCAATCTATACGCGGGTGCTAAACCCATGGGTTATGGTTAGTATGGGTTCAACTATCCGTAAAACAAAAAAAATTTCCATATGTGCAATAGTATGCAGGTGCAATCGTCGTGGGTTAAAATGTACGTGGGTTCAAATGTAATGGAACCTTGTGGGACACCCTGTATTATTTTTTTATTGAGTGATTCGAGGACATTGGCACATTCGTATATCGGTAACGCTTCGTCTGTCCGAGGCCAGTACTCATTCATCACTCGCGTTTATTTTTTAATGAGGATAACGAATAATTGAACTGTTACGAATATACACGTGCTTAAATGATAGCGATGATAACAATTCTCGGTAAACATAAAGTTTTAAACTATTTTACTCAAGTTAGGCGGGCCCTATTAAAACGTTACGGGGGCTGTAATTGGCCCGCGGGCCGCGGTTTTGGAACCACTGGTATAAGCTAATAAGTAGCTTGGGCGGGACTGAGATATACTTCAGCCTGTCTTATACCAGGGCTACTCAACTATTTTCACCAAAGGTCTGTTTAAGAAACTTCAAAATTACTGGGGTCCGGACAATACAGAAAATTTATTTTATCAAATAAACGAAACTTCAAATGCAATATTAAATTAAATACAAGAGCAATGAATGGCTCGCAAATATGGACACAAATAATATCGCACATCGGTACCAGTACGACAAACTGTATAGCTGTGTATTTAAATTGTATCAAAATCCTCTAAAACTATAAAACGATGCTTATGCTGCCAAAATAAACAAGCAGATGCGGTCCAAATGAAATGGTCGAAAGGTCCGGATTCGGACCGAGGTCCGCCAGTTGAGTAGCCCTGACCTATACCATAAGTTATCAAAGTGCTGCGTACGGAGCCCCACGGATTCATGAGAGAAATCTAGAGGCTCCGCGAGTAATTCATTTACTTAAATAAATCTTCAATATTTTTAAGTACTAGTACTAGGCAAATACATCCGAGTCATTAAAAATAAAGTAATTTTTTTTAATTTTTTACTCAGGGAAATAAGTCGGTAATTAACAAAGTGTTTTTGTTTTTTAATTTTGTAAATGTATTTGTGGGGTTTAGTAAAAATCGTCAATCAATATTTGTCCGAACAGGATTTTACCAACTTCGCACTGCCTGTTTAGTGTATTAGATCCCGAGTTCAAGGGACTCCAGCGATTCCAAGATTGTTAGACCGAACTTATAAGCACTATGCCATCGTATTGTTGCAAATTTTAAGTATACTTCAGACTGCGTGCATGGAAATCAAATTATCTGACTTCAGTTCTAGTAGATATTCAACAATAGCGAATTCATAATTAGGAACTTAGGATATACGCCGTAAGTCGATGCTTCACATCGTTTCTATATTTATGAAACTGTCCATCGCCGCTGTCAGTGATTTCCCTACACCCCCCCTATAGGGGGTGAACACCCCCCCTAAAATTTCAAACACCCCCCCTAATTTTGAGGTGCGATTCCACACTGAGGGGTTCTAAACCGCAGTCTGCGGGTCAATTACGGCCCGCGTGACAATTTAAAATGGCCCGCCGAACTTGAGTGAAATAGTTTAACACTTCATGTGGTACCTTTTGAGTTTTAGATACCGTCTATTGTTACATCATTATCACAGTTTAAGCACGTTTATTTCGTAACAATTGAATTATTTATAGGTATGGGTATTATGATTACACACTGCAGTATTTTAGATATCAGCCATATATTAAGAAAGCTTAAAGATGTCACAAAACGAAAACTAGGCACTGAAAACAGACGTTTCTTAGATGAATAGCGTTTTTATTTCTTTATTGAGAGAATCAAACTTCAGCGATTTGTCTTCTTACAAAATATTTCAGTTCTGAACGAATACAACATTATGCGACATTATGATCAGTTGACGAGCGTATTTCAAAATTTAATTCATACAAAAGTCAAACAAACATGTTCAAAAAAATTAGAAATGTGTAACAAAACAAGCCATAAGTAGCCATGCATACAATGCCAGATGAGCAAGTAACTTCATTAGTCACTATCAGTTGCAAATTACTTGTTGAAACGTAGTAGTATATATTTACGGTTGAAAGCCGTGCTTGTTATCTATTCCCCGAGAATTCTATCAGCTAAATATTATAATTAATGATTTTATTACATAACAAACTGCGATGCTAGGTGTATCTAAAATCAAGCTTAGAGCCTATTTTGGTGCCTATTTCTCAAAATTTTCTCAGGGCGCTTGAGCGCGCCCTCAACCCCAGCCGTGTCGTCCCGCACTTTTCCTCGCTCCCCTTTTCTGGCCCTACAATTTCATTCTGCTGTGGATTTTGGCTCGCCGTCAATCAACTTGGGGGGCCCCCCATGTACATCATTTCTTAAATACATACCATTTTTTTAAGAATACAAATAGCCTAGTTTTATCTCTAATAGCAAATTATTTACCACCCCCTAAATTTTGAAACACCCCCCCTAAAGAGAAAAGCTGGGGAACATACTGGCCGCTGTGGTCAACATGACAAATTTACAAGCCACCAAAGTCGGTGACCGATGAAAGGGGTGAATATGATCACTGACAGGTGTGGATCTATATGGCCACCTAGCGATTATGGAATAAGTCTTAACTCGGCGTTAATCTTTTAACCCCGTTGGACTGGATATTTACAAAATAATTAAGGTATTAATTAATAAACAAGTTTTGACAAAATTTCATTTAATTTTTAACATTTTTACCGATACTTGCAAGACCGGGCATATTTAAAAACATACCAATATATTTAACTGGTTACTGACGTGATTTCAGGTTTGCTCTATCACCGCGTTTTGTTTTTGTATATCTAAACATCTAAATAGACTACCGATACCAGAAAAATGTTGAAAATTTTAGGAGAGCCATGGCTCGTCAGGACCCCCTTTTTGGCTACGCCTTTGGTTACCGTTGCAATGGCGGCGTGGCTCATCGTGCTAAGCGTTAAGAATACGCTCGCCATCGCACTTCTGATTACTCTTCGTGGGTTCGCGGGTTCGAATCCCATGCAGGGATGGTTATGTGCAAGAGGATTGCTAGACTGCTCGCCGTCGTTGGGTGGTTCACGTAACCGATGGTCGGTTAGGGCTTCCTCCACCATCAAGTCCATGCTTCTGAAAACAAATAACTAACTAATCTCATAACTGACATGGAATGGTAACCGGACGAGAGGCCGTTGTTCGCCATATGGTTAAGCCGTCTTATCGACTTTCCTCTCCCCGGGATAAATATGTAAATCTTATCATTATTCTGCCTTGTTTCCGAGTCTCGTTATGGTATGCAATGATTGGAGCGCAGTCGAAATACGGTATACAAAACCCATCTTTAACGAACCGCTGCTCGACAATCTGTTGTTTAAAAGTACCGGTAAAGAATTTTAGCCTAGTCTATCACAGCTATTTCTACACTAATTTTTCATTACTGCAATTAAATTGAAACTCCTAGGAAGACAGAGGTATCATTGAATTATCTGATTTATATTTAAATTTCAGAAACACAACTGAAAACTAACGAATAGAGTTCAAAAACGCGAAAACGAGGTAATGTTTACGGCCACGCCTGAAAATCTGTCTGAGTGAGAAAAGTGTCCCAGTGGATAGGGTGCATTGTTACGTCACTTTTCGCATCTTGCGATTAGCCAAAGTCATGAAGTAAACAAGGAAGTTGATGCTCGAGGAAGTCCATACCGTATGGGGAACTACGGCCTTTCGTCCGTTGCCAGATCATTTCGGGCATGGAAACCGGGTATTATGATGTTTCTCTAACCGCTGACCGGTTACGGTTACATTACGAACCATTTGAGTGCGTGCATAGTAAGTGTTGAGTTTTTTGTAGCAGACCTTCAGTCGGATAGCGATGAGGACCAACTGTGACTTTTATCGGAACCAAACTCATATCGTGACCAAATGTGCGATGGTGTGGCTCAACGTGCTAAGCGTTAGGAATACGCTCCCCATCGCACCCCTAATTACTCTGCGTGGGTTCACAGGTTCGAATCCCATGCAGGGATGGCTATGTGCGAGAGGATTGCTGGACTCCTCGCCGTCGTTGGTTGATTCACGTAACCGCTGGTCGATAACGGCTTCCTCCACCACCAAGTCGATGCTTCCGAAAACGAACAATATAACTAATCACATACCCGACTTGGAATGGTAACCGGACGAGAGGCTGTGGTTCGCCATATGAATAAGCCGTCTTATCGGCTCTCTTTTCCCCCGGGATAAATACTGTATGTAAATCATATCCTATTCTGTCCTATGGTGGTTTGTGCGAATTATTGACGCATTTTAGTAAAATATTGACTCAGTCCACCACATCATCTAAGTTCCTATTATCGGTCTCCGCCTTATGTTGTTGCCGTTTCTCTGATTTCTGCGTTTTATTTCAGACCTTTCTACGTTTTTTTCTGCTTAATCTGCTACGTAATAGGCGAGAAAACTGAGAAATAGTAAGTGTTAGATTATTACATTAGCTCTGAATCCAAGAAGGAACATTTTGAAGTTGTGAAACTGCGTCTATAAGGTTTTTGATACCTGTCACTGACTGCCGTACAAATACTCAAAAATCGTTTAAAATTGGAGAAATTTATTTTGCCGTTTTGACAACATAACCGTACTGAAATAATGCGGCGTGCTGGGACCGGGTATTCCCCTGTGGGGGGACAACAACGGTCGGTTTATGGGGAGGAGAATGACCGTATGGAAGAGGAATTAAAACATAAAGTTTCCGCTCTTAAAACTTTGACAATTGATATAGGAGAAGAAGTCAGACTACAGAATCGGGAATTAGCAGGTTGGTAAAAAATTTATTATTAAAATTTATTACAATGTGCTGTTAACTGTATCTGTAATAATATTCCTATGTTGCTTGAAACGCAAATAAGTTTTTAACCAATGTGATATTGGGTCTCGTGTACTTTCGCACCTCAATACTGTAACTTCTGGTGGAGTTGTCGTAACAATTTTGCATATTTGATTCCTAACCCCCACCTGACTACGCCGTCCATAAATTATGTCACTGCGACATCAAAATCATGTCATATAGCTTTCTAAAGCATAGCCATGATCGTCCGAAATGACAACTGCGCCGACAATAATGATCTTACTAACACCAGCGATCTCTCTCATATCGAGGTTGTTACGGGGAGAAAACAAGAGAAATTGGTTGCTCGTCTCGAGGTAATCGTTGCGTGTTTTAGTCTTTTGGACGATCATCCGAATATTTTGGCGTGCCTTGTTTCGTCACTCTGTCGTAAATTTTGGATGCTGTAGTTAGGTGGAGATTAGGAATGACATGACTTGGCACGCGCTTTTAGTTTAATCAAGTCCTCAATTTTCAACAGCTCATGCCAAATATGGTACCAATAGAGTTCCGCCCGAGACAGACTCTTACTGGTAACCGAACGAGAGGCCATGGTTCGCCATTTGTAATTTTCAAGTCCAACAACAACTTATTTATTTTCCTTTCCAGGTATGGACGATGACATGGACAAGGTGGGGGGTTTTCTCGGATCAACGATGGGTCGACTGAAGGGAATAGCGAGACACGGATACGGAAAAATGTACTGTTACTTATTCCTCTTTGCTATGGCGGTGTTTTTCGTCATGTATTGGATGATAAGACTGAAATGAGAGGAAATTTTCAAAGTTATACAGATTTAAGATGAATTTAGATACGGATTAATGGCTTGGATAGTTTGAATACTACTTGAAATTTGGAGAGTTGTTCTCGGAAAATAATGTCCATGGACTTTGAAGTGAAGGGGTAGAATTTTAAACGCTAAACTCACTCAAATAATGGCTTGATATATTCTGAAAAATTCTTCTTGGGTCATCTTTGAAATTTTAACGCACAGTGCAATTTGGAAGAAAATATCTTGAGTCTAGTTTAGTACCACATGTACTCCTAGGTTTGGGTTAGGAATGACATATGCGAAAAATTTATGCCATGTCTACTAGAAGTTATTTGGGTAAGAAACTGCACAAGACCCGGTATCTCTTGAGAGAATTTTTTTTATAAATCTGTGAACATTGTGGAAACATTAGTTTGAAGATTGGAATTTGGATATTTCTTGAAATTTCTTGATATTTCTTGAAATATCAACTCAATATCTTGTATATTTTTTCTGCTATTTGGAGAAGAAACTTTACAATATCATTGGACTTTGTGCTTGTTGCGAATGATTTGAACTTGAATTTTTCGACTCTTTTTCATTTCAAATTATTCAGTCATTCAGCAATCCTGCATTCAGACTAATTTTCACAATAGTGTGATCAGTGTGCCAAGCCTGCCCTTTGTTTTTCTGATGAGGCAAATATCAAGTCATTGCTTAAGTCGAATTTAAACCGGGATATTTCTAATATCAAGTGGGTACAAACAGTGGTGCAGCCTAGGGGTTTCCGGTGTCGAAATTCCTTTTTTGAAATTATTGAAAGACTGGAAAATTCGCTAATATTAAGTGCGCTTGCATTTTGCGAAAAATTGTTGATCGTTTTAGACATTTTAGATTCTCGTAGGCTGTAGTTGTCATTGAAAAATACGGTGAAAAAGCTGGCTCTTTTAACGAGCGCGCAATCACAGCAACTGTTTCATAAGGAAATGAGATTTGTCGATTTTAAAACTCATATTTTTTGAAAATCTTGGCTGCGATCCTTGGTACAAAAATACAGTAGGTATTTGTCATAGGTCAGTTCTTTCAGTGAACCACCCTGCTATGGCGAGGAGATGTAAATTGGCACAAAAGTTCAGGAGAGGCAATAAAATGGCGACCGTATGATAAGCTAACTTATTTTTTTCTTGTGGGACCAACGATCAATATATATTAACTTATAGCCACTGCCTTGGTCGGATATACTTTAAAATTTAACTGATTTATAACTGCATTTGATTTTTTTTTAAGTTTGAAATATACAACTAAAAATACTATAATGACTTCATCTGCAAAATAAGGAAAAGGTTAGAACCGCATATCTACACAAAATGTAATTTCATCATTTTCTTTTGATTGTTTGTACGGTTACATGCTAACGAGGTCATGTTCAATCAATCAGAAGAAAACTTGTTTTAGGGAAATGCTTGGAAATGGAAAATTGGCGTGTATAAAACAATAAAATTCTTTCCTGATGAAATAATTCCTTCTCGACTGGGAAACGCTGCTGTAAAGGAGTGCTAACGTCACCTTTTTATGTTTTTTTTTTTCATACTTTGTGGAAGCTTACCTCGATGAACCAAAAAGTCGTATCGCTCTCTCCTGCCTATACCAAAACAATTTCAATTGCTGTTGCCATTTTATGAATGACTGTATTTTTTCGGTAGACGAAAGAATAAATCTCTCTCTCTCGCGCGCGCTCTAAAACGCCAATACTATATGCGACTCACGAAATGGAAAATTGTTTGCTGACCGCTGAAATGAAGAATTATATTTTGTCTTGTTGCCAAAATAGCGTCTCCTAACTTTTGTTTATTTATTTTTCAAAGATTTTATTTTGCTTTTTTAATTATTTTTTGTCACGACTGGTGTTGTAATTGGTGCTGCCTATTATTAACTGCTTTGCCATAACAGTTTAAGTAAGCTATTCGGTGTGTTTGTTGTTAGTTATTGTTATTTGTGTACATTATTGCTCATGCCAGAGTATTTTCAAATCTATTTGAATGAAATATTTTTGACGCCAATCTCATGTTCTTGTACAATGTTTATCAGGGATGCCCAAAACTCAATCAACTGTTCGAAGAGGTTCAAAATTATTTAAATTTAATTTAAAAATCTTTGATTTTAGGGATAAATTAAAAAAGTTTATGTATGATGAAAAAAAATTTATTCAATTTCATAAAACTTAAAAAATCTTTCTTTTATATCCGAAAATGTTTTTTAGGATGTATTTGAAATAATGAACAATTCGGTTTCGTCTATTTCCCCAAAACTTAATTTTGTTTGATATTTTTGACATAAAACTGTGGGAAATTGTGATATTTTTTTTCTATTTAATATTGGTCTTCAGAATGTATTCGAAATTGGGCTTCCCTGCTCTTAGAAAATATATATTAATGTTATTATAGTTTATTACAGAGTTAATTGACAGCATAGCTGTAATAAAAATAGAATCTTGTAAAATATTTTGGGAAAAGAAATTGCAGAATTTTATATTTTTCTGATAATTGGATCTCGGATTACATTTTGGAATTATTTAAAAATTCTTGGCGGTGAACGGCGAGTTTTGGACTCAAAATGGCGGCACCACCAATTCCTGCCAAGCGGACTACGATATCATATGAAAATGTTCAAATAAGACCTTCATTGGACTCTATCAGGTTAGATTGTTTTGTTTAAGGGAGTGAAATGAACTGTCAATATCAAGCGACTCATACATTTATAACGAGTTGAATGTTGCATTATATTATACACTGTCAAATGTGGGACCAAAGGGGAACCTGAATGGCTATTTATCTTTGTCCCAGTGCTGCCGGTGGAGCTGCCGAGGCCACGGGTGCCTGGGTATATAGTGTTATGAAGCTTCTTTCTTGATTTAATTTTCATTCCATCTTCAACACTTTTTGCTGATTATTATATAGCCATAAACAGTTTATGTGTGCATATTATATGTAGGTGCATGATATTGGTACTAATTATGTTAAATTATCAATCCAGTTATGTTACTTCACTCAGTCTGTAATAAATTGGGGTAGGCAATGTAAAAACAGAAAAATTCCGGTTCTTCACAAAATAAAAATTCTCGTTTCGCTATTTTCAGTGCAGCTGCCTTGTTTGAAACGAAAGGTAGGGTATGAATGATGGTTGTATAATAAAAAAAAATTGTCATCCCTACTTCGCCATATGTTCAAATCGTCTCATTGGTTTTCCTCTTCTCGGGATAAATAAAAACTCCTATCCTCTGCTCTAATTATCAAACTTAATTTCAGTTGGTATCATGGAAATATCACACGACACATTGCAGAAGCGTTGCTGATGGCAAACGGTATGGAAGGAAGTTATTTACTGAGAGATGGGAAAGAGACCGGATCATATTCTTTATCTGTCAGGTATGAAGATAGTTTTTAGTCAATAACATCAGGGATTCGGTGTTGGGAAAAATATACATCGGGCTTAGAAAAATTACCTTTTGGCGCATGGTATACAAAAAGGCAGGCGAAATTTAGGCGCTCCAGAAGTATATGTACCAATATTGAGGTAACTATTTTTGTTTGCCTACTTTACATCAAGTTATATAAAGGGACAGAAACCTATGGGCAGGGGTATATTCACTTGGCTGACACAGACAGTCCCTGAACTCGTAATAGAACTAAAATAAGGAAAATCGGAATAGAATTATGGACTAACCCCTATCCTGTTACATACACTACGGGAGTACAGAGATTTACACCCGTCTTCGACTTTAAAAACTCATGAGTCCTATTTGACAAAAATCTAGCTTGGGACTTCATGTTGAAACCTTGAAAGAACTCTGCTTAGGCCAGGGTTTCCCAAACTGGAGGTCTGTGATGATATGGAAAGAGTCTGATCGATTTGGTTGAGCGTTGTGTACGAATACCCATTGCTGTCAGAAAGGGCATTTAAAAATGGGACCTCCAGAAGTATGCGCTACAAGAAGTCGCACAACTTGAATCCTAACCGGTACACACATACTATGTTGAGGTTGTGCGCCATCTTGGTGCGCATACTTCAGGAGATATCGCACAACTTGAATCCTAACCGGTACACACATACTATGTTCAGGTTGTGCGCCATCTTGGTACGCATACTTTTGGAGCACCCTAAGGTCCTAAAATTGTATTGCACCGACCTGCTAATATGATGACAAAATACAAGTCAAGCCTTACCGTGCGGTCATATCACCCATGTTGAATTAATTAACATTTATTTGTTAATATTCAGTTTGATTCCACCTCTGTATTTTTGAAACAGGAGTAAAGATTCCGTAAAACATTTCCAAATCACTCAAGCGAATTCAGCGTTTAAATTTGGAATTACAGAGTTTGAATCGTTGGAATCTCTCATCGGACATTTTGCCAATCAGCCATTACTAGGAGGCAATTCGGGTGAGTATTTTTAACAGGGTCTCATCTAGGGGGGATTTCTGTAAAATGTTTCGTATCTTGAAACGCTTTTTAGACTTTCAAGACTTTTGTAAACCAATGTTATCTGGTCTGTCTAGCTCAGGGATTCTCAACCTGGGGTTTGCGAACCCCCTGGGGTTCACGAGAAGATTTCCAGGAGTACTTGGATGACAGTCGAGTTTTCTTGTGTTGCTTTTTTCAATATCTTTTAACAAAGAAAGTAACTTTAAGAGGAAAATAAGCGCCAATTGAAACTCAGCGTACATTTTCCCTGATCTTGCGTTGTTGTGACTGTGACGCAACAATGTGAAATGCACGACTTGGCAGTCGTTACAGCAAATTGTAAGTCAATATATCACAATTTAGTTTGGTGTCTGATTACTGGGGGTTCGCGTTGATTGTTTCGTGACTCTGGGGGTTCACGTTGATTGTTTCGTGACTCTGGGTATTCGCGCTGATTGTTTCGTGACTCTGGGGGTTCGCGTTGATTGTTTCGTGACTCTGGGGGTTCGCGTTGATTGTTTCGTGACTCTGGGGGTTCGCGTTGATTGTTTCGTGACTCTGGGGGTTCGTGTTGATTGTTTCGTGACTCTGGGGGTTCGCGCTGATTGTTTCGTGACTCTGGGGGTTCGCGTTGATTGTTTCGTGACTCTGGGGGTTCGCGTTGATTGTTTCGTGACTCTTGGTAATTATCAGACAAAAAGGTTGAGAACCCCTGGTCTAGCTGTTACGGTGTAACTTGGCAATTAGAAATTTCAGATCCCCCCTCCTTTTTGAGAATTTCTGGCTAAGCCCCTGGTTTTTCTACACCCTGAGTGTTTTTACCTGCAACGTCAGCATAGTAAAGTCCAATTCTAGGACATGATGCCAACAAAGCCATCCACCAATCGGTATCATAGAGTATAGAGACATTTTTTTGTTACCTTACATGCATGCATGTATGTCCAAAAAGAATCCACTATTCGAATACATTTGAAGCTGGTTAATACTTATCGATTTTAATCGGTAAGTATGTTGATAGGTATTTGTCTGTTTGTCTGTTAGATGCATGCAATATCTCATGAAAGCGAGATTGAATCTGCTCCAGATTTTGCATGTGCATTCATCATATGTCGGACCAGAAGCCTATTCATTTTGGATGAATTATGTCGTATAATTAGCGAGTTATTAATTAATTAGTGATGGGACACAAGGTGTCACTATGGAGTTGCTGTTTTGGGGATCCCATAACTTTCGATCGATAAGTCTTTGGTCTCTGACCGATATTCTCGTATTCATTATTTTAAACTATCTAACTCGCTTAGAGTTTTATTAGTTTTCATAACTTAACTCATTTCCAGGCACCCTCGTTCTCCTGAAATATCCTTACCCGAAACAAGTCGAGGAACCCGATAACTATGAAGACATCGTTCTACAATCCACGGTACGCAGCGGAGCCACTGAGGAGGATTTAAAATTTCAGACAAAAGCTACTTCGGTGAGTGCGGGTCTTGATGTTTTTTTTTGTTTTTTTTGTGCTTTGGGTTTTAAATTTTTTTGTTATTATGGGGATTAATGTATTAATATTACTTGTGTTGTATAATAGTTTTTTTTTTTCTTTTGAGTTTTCATATTTAACTATGTGAATAAGTATTACAAGTACTGTAGTGGGTTACACATTCACTAATTGGCCAATTGCTTTGAACTTTCAGGGCTTATGAATATTTTTTCTTAGAAGGCTATTACTTTCATTTATCTCAAAAAATTCTGTGATTCGATTTTTGTGTTCTATGACGTCATCAAAATTTAAAATTGTGTTTCTTGTTTCAGTTTATCTTTGCGTAAGTTCTTTTGCTCAGCTGGTATCGGTAGGCTACTGTGACAAATTGCATATCCGCACCATTTTGTGTTCATCCTTTGAGCATCACTCTCTTGTTTTAAGGAATATACTGTCCTAACCTTCATTAGGATTTTTAGTAACTTACTGTATATCGAGTTTCGGTTTTAGCGACACTTGTAATCCTAGCTTTGATAATTTATCATTTTATTTAAATATATATTTTTAAATTTATCGTAACATGACAGATTTGTTATTCAACTGTCAGGTTACAAAACAAAATTACAAAAGAATGAAAAAGTATTCAAAATAATTTTTTTTTTTTGGTTTTAGCGACGCTTGTAATTCTGTTTTTGATAATTTGCCCTGTTTGTAAAATGACTAATTTTAAATGTATTGTAACAAGACAGATTTGTTGGTGCTCCCGAAGTATGCGAACCAAGATGGCGGACATCGGAACGTAACATGGGTAACAGGTTAGGGTTAGGCGATAATTTTTTTCCAATTTTCCTTATTTTAGTCCTATTATCAGTTTGAAGACTAGCCAAGAGCCTCCCGTATTATTTGTACCTAAAATTATGGCCTAACCCTAACCTAGTACACATATTACATTCCGATGTCCGCCATCTTGGTTCGCATACTTCGGGAGCCCCGATTTGTTAATCAACCAACTATCAGATTACAAAGCAGAATCGCAAATGATTGAAAAAGTATTTACATTAATAAAATTTTTTGGTCCAAGCGACACTTGTAATTCTGTTTTTGATAATTTATCATGTTAGTCAAATAATTGAATTGTAAATATATCGTAACATGACAGTTTTGTTAATCAACTGTCAGGTTACATAGCAGAAATTGATTTGTTTTCTTAGAAATCCTGTGCACTGTGTATTAGATTGCAGCTTGTAGATCTAATTTTAAATTTATGGTTTTCTAATTCCTATAATTTTTTTTGCAAAATTATTTTATTTTCATGTTGATTATAATACAACATCAATATAGAAGCCAAAATTTCAAAATTTTCTGTGGTCGCTATAGATTCATTTTTAGTGTTCCATTACGTCATCAAAAATTGCAAATCTTGTGTTGGCTACGTTTTTGCTAGTCATGTAGTTAGAGGTATGTTTTAGACTTCTTGTTCATATATTTTAGCATCACTCTCTTGTTATACTAAAAATCTCAAATTTTCTAAGAAATAAAAGTAGGAAGACTCATCTCTGAGCAAAGTAACCATCAAATGCCGGGAGTGGGGAATTTTATGTGCAATAGCTTTCCTTATATCTTATTTTTGCTCTTTTTTCATAGGTTTAATTTCTTAGGTCTAAGTTTCCAAAAATCTCGAATTTACTAAGAATTGAATTTTTGGTCAATTTATTTAGTTTTATATCAATTCTATAATCAGGGAAATACCGGTTCAATATTGATACAACGGATCAATAAAGCAAGGAATACCAGGCCAGACTAGATAACTGGAAAAGTGTTTGGAAATATATGAAAAATTGAGTTTCAGAATGATTAAAATTCATTTTAAATTTTATTATTAAATTTATGGGCCTAAATTTATGTTAATTGAGATAAAACATGAAATAATGTTCATAAAAGTGTAACACATTATATTGCTTGCACAGATCAATAGGACGAATAATACCAGGCCAGACTAGGTTACTGGCGAAAGTGTTTAATGTTTGGAAATATGTGTAAAATCTAGTTTTGGAATATTAAAAATTTAATTTTAATAAATGTTATTATTAAAGTTTATCAGCTGAAATCTATGTAAATTATGATAAAACAAGAATGCATGAACATGAAAGTGTAAGATGACACATTGACTTATGTCACTAGTTAAGTGATATTTGATGCTCTCGTAGCATGTGTATCAGGTTAGGGTTAGGCCATAATTTTATTCCGATTTGCCTTATTTTAGTTCTATTACGAATTCGGGGACTGTCTGTGTTAGCCAAGTGAATAGTTTTCAGTCCCTTCGGCCTTTACACAACTTGATGTAAAGTAGGCGAACAAAATTAGTTACCTCCATATTGGTACACACATTTCTAGAGCGCCTATTATTTCACTGGTGGGCGTGGTGGCATCACAATTTTATGAAATTTTGATATAAAACATTAGGCACAACTAAGGAAATATATAAAGCTAATCCCCCTGTTTAGCTAGATCGAACCATTGGTCCACTTCCACACATTTTTGTTTTCAAAATAAAAATTTGATTCTAAACAATTGGCCAGGCTGCCAGAAACCAGAAGAAATATATTCTCCAAGTACTGAACATTTGAGGCAAGGCAAAATATCCAAGTTTATTTGGGAAAGTCTTTGGGAATGCACATGCAAAATTTGGAGAAGATTCAACCTCCTCTTCGTGAGATATCGCGTAACATACGAATGTGTCTAACACAGGGTTGCACAACTCAAATGAGGATACGTGCCAAAGTTTTCTAAATATTCTTGTCGCGTGCCACGCACAATTGTAGTATTGTAAATTAACTCCCGCAAAACAAACAAATTTCAATAATAATACATAATAACGGATATATATTTATTGAAACAACTCAATGTCCCGAAAAACTGCTGATTTTGATATAAACGTGATATTTTGATGTATATCATAAATAATTTGTTTTTTACAACACCGTTCGCGTGCCACATTTGAGCGTATGGCGTGCCAAATTTGGCACGCGTGCCCCGTGTTGTGCACCCCTGACTCTAACAGACTGACAAATACCCATCAACATACAGTCATACTTACGGTAGTTTAGTTAACGATCAAGATCGATAAGTAATGATATAAATACTGAATACTTAGAGTCACGAATTTCTTTTTATTTTTTTAAACCTTCAAACCAAAGTCTTTGGGAAATTCCTCAAATTTTTATAATTCACCTTCAGCAAATATTGAACAAACGTTGCACGCAGCTGCTTGGTTGCTACTCGACTTTTAGATTAGTTTTTTTCCCTTTCTAGTATTGTGAACTTACCGAGAAAATTTTTATGACTTCATCTTAGACTAATATAGGGTGTCCAAAAAATTTCGCCTGATTCTATAGTAATGACATTGTAAGAATGAATAAATTTTATTGTATGATGAAGAAGAACAACAAGCACAATAAGAACTATTCTTCTTAAAGACAAAAATTTTTAATTGTTATTACCATAAAATCGGGCATTTGACACCCTGTATTTTCACAAAACATTGGATGATTTCAGTTTCGACTTGAAACTTTCGAACAAAATTATTTCACTTTCTGCGTTGGTTTCGTTATCTTATCAGAACAAATATTTGAATAGAAATAAAGAAGTCTTTGTGTTATAATTTCATATTACCTTAAGTATAATATCTTTACTCAAATTTGATTTGTAGAAGATTGATCGTTCTGGGGGTTAATGATAACTCTGTAAATGTTTGTGGGCAAAGTAACTCCTAAGATTCGCCAACAGGAATGATCTCAAGTACAGAAAGCACATGGCTACTTCACTTTCACAGCTGGTTGGTCATGACCAGTCATCTGTGACTGATGACATCACAGGTCATGCTCACCTATATAGGAAAATGCTAGTTGCCAGAAATACAATGAAGATACAATTAACAGCCTTGTTCTAAGTGTTTGGAACAAGTATGCCATCACACACCTGATCTGGGTGACAGCCAGTGGGGTATTGAGGACCCCCCTTTCGAACTGTCAGTGCAACTCTGGTTACTTTTCACAAGTTTGAATTAAGTGGTCAAGTCAGATTTGTGATTTCACCTTTAGCAAATATTCATGTAGCATAGCGCTATTGTAAAGACAATGAAGTAAAATCGTCACTTTGATTGTTTATCCTATGTGTGATCCTGCGCCTCATACTGTTAGGACACAATTGCATGGTTGCGTCATGGACATTGTCGCCATTTTCTTGCTCGCAAGGCTTCTTTTTTACATATTCATTTCCATTATGTCTCAAAATTGAAAATTTGATTGTTAAAAGTGAAATAGAATCGATTTGAAGCTGTTGAGTTAGTAATCACAGAGACATTGTACTGGTGAAATTGAATATGATGGCAATACCTTCTTCTTTCAATGGAACTTGTATTATCCGTCTATTATTATGATAAATTATTGCACTCTTGCATTTTGATGGCTGTACCAATATGGTCATCATATAACAATGTCATCAAACTAGCTCCTAATTCGTGATCTTCCTAAATGCAAATTAAAATTTTTTGTGAGCAGTTTTATCTATATTTATGGTTGTTAATCATTTTGCTGAAAATTACGCACAAGACCTTGAGAGTTACGACTAATAGGATTGGAATAGCTCTAACAGGCTTTGCATGATATTCGGTTCAATTCGTATTCAATTTTGGACAGCCCTAGTTGTGATAACAGGTATTCCATTGTTTATTGTATGCAGATTTCTTCATACACTGAGATAAGCTTCCTTTACTTGATTTTATTTTCAATTGTATTCGAAATGGGGAACTATTCAGTATTTGCCATCCCTGGTAATACGCATGTTGGCATTAGGGGTTTTAAGTCATCAGACAAGTAAATCAAAATGTTCGATGTCTCAACTGATAACAAACAACACAGTAAAAACAACACCTTTTATATTTGTGTCGTTTTAGATGTGATCGACATGAAGATATAGTGATAAGTTTCTTTCACTTTCTGCGTTAGTTTCGGGATCTTATAAGAAAAAATATTTGGTACTCCTGAAGTATGTGCACCAAAATGTCGCACGACCTGAACCCTAACCTTGTTCACAACCTGAGTTCAAGTTGTGCGCCATATTGGTGCGCATACTTCAGGAGGTTCAACTATTTAAATAGAAATAAAGAAGTCTTTGTGTTATAATTTTATATCACGTATAATCTCCTTACTCAAATTTGATTTGTATAAGTTTGATTGTTAATTCCTGATTTCTGGGGGATGACGCCTCAGTCTAAATTTTAGAAACAAGTCTACCGTCACACCTCTGATCAGGGTCATAACCAGTTGGTTGTTGGAAACCCTGAGCTCCAACCTGTAGTGAATCTTAAACTACAGGAGGTTGATAATTGGCTTAGAGCAGGTGTGTGCAAACTGTGGCCCGCGAGGAAAAATTGTGCGGCCCGCGAAGAAGTAACAATTTTGAATGGTGTGCCCACGAAACGAATATTTACCCTCCTGTGTTGCAAAGCCTATACCAGTCTTATTAGCAAAACAAGCTAGCAAAATTCTGTTGCAAAATACACGATATAGGCTATATTACAAAAAATGTGTTTCTCACTGAATTGGTTTAAAACCGGTGTGACAATAAATTCAAATAAGAGTTTCTTCAAGATTTTATGTGTTTTAACTCACTATTTCTGCAAGAATCCCCAGTAATGCCGTAAGATCACTAGCAAATATATACAATTTTTGTGCTTGCAACTACTAGGAAGTATAGATTAAATAGAGGTACAGCTCACGGCTTCACCCAGTTACTTGTATTCCCGCCAATGTAAAAGGTTGCACACCCCTGGCTTAGAGCGAATAAATTATCCCTGAATTATTCCCAAACAAAATGGTGTTCTATGATGAAAAAAACATTTTATAACCAGTTCTGAAATGTCAGTGCACCTCCGATCACCCTGCTCAAGTTTGAATCTAGTGGTTGATAAAGCTTCGTTCACCTTAAGTGAGTTTCATGATTTTACCTTTAGCAAATATTTATGTAAAAAGTAGTCCTTGTTATAATCTCTACATGTAGGAATTGGGGATTTTGAGCCGTCCGACAAGGAGATTAAAACGTACGTTATTTCAACTGGTAATAAACAACAGAGAGACACCAATGACCTTTATATTTATGCTGTTTTAGATATGATTTATGTAATTTTTCACACAAAATTGTCCCCAATTTAGAATGTTTTTGATATTTCATATCCAAAAATTTTTTCTTAGAATATATTTGGAATAATGAAATATTTGGTATTGATAGGGGCAAGTACTGACATACAAAATGCATAATGGAGACATGGAGTATTCCAAAACATATTTAAATTTATCCTAAATAATGATTAAATTTCTTTTAGTTAGTTTTTGATCTTGGGAATTATTTAGAAATTTGTCAATGGTGAGCATTTGACAAGCAAATTTCTCCATTGAACATGACATAATTTAGAATTTATTCGATATTTCATATTTAAAAATATAATTTTGGAATGAATTCAGGAAAGGCAATTCCTGACTAAAGCATTGCTAATATTATTAAAGTTGACGTGATGAGCTGCCAAGCCCTATTTCCAAGAAAAACTCATTGTTAGTCACTGTGTGTAAAATCATAGTGCATTATGGTGTGTGAGTCATATCATGCATAGCATGCAGGGCCTAAAATTAACATAAAATTGTATTTTGAGGGATATTTTTTGCAATATGTTATTTGAGTAATATCATGCATAACCAGGGCTGCCATGAATATGAACCCAAAAATAAGGACATGAGGGAAACCTTAAAATAGATAACAAGGTAACAGACAAAATGTATTCATGTCAGTGCGACCCGTGTCTAGTCATACTTTGCACGAGAAAGAATTTGCACCAGCAGTTCTTTTTTCTTTATCTGTTCCATCTCTGTAATTTCACTTTCACCTATGTCATGAATGCGCATAGCAATCAATGAGGTTCTAATATCATTTCAAGCAAATCAATCATTCGAATTGACCAATCTGAGTGTCTGATATTAGAACCTAGAACCTCTACCTCTGAAATGAAAGAATAATAAGGACACACGTCAAAATTAGGTTTCTTAGAAATAAGAACAAAAAATTTTCTAATACGAAGACCTCAAAATAAAAACAAATCTTTAAATTCAATGCATTATAGTGCATGAGTTTTTAATGAATACTTGGGTATTATGATGTTTGAGTCATACCATGCGAAACACACAGGGCTCAAAATGAGCAATAATATGCCCATAGGTGTGCATCAGGCTCATAAAAGAAATTTGTCCAAAGCAAGGTCAGGCACTCAGAAAGGAAGAAGAATCCTCTTTAAAAAAGTTGCACTCTCTCAGAAGTAAAGATGACTCATCTCTGAGTGAAGTTACGCGTACACACTCAGAAGTAAACGAGACTCATCTCTGATCAAAGTTACGTTACGGGCACTCACTCAGAAGTAAAGAAGACTCATCTCTGATCAAAGTTAAGTTACGGACACTCACTCAGAAGTAAAGAAGATTCATCTCTGATCAAAGTTACGTTATGGGCACTCACTCAGAAGTAAAGAAGACTCATCTCTGATCAAAGTTACGTTATGGGCACTCACTCAGAAGTAAAGAAGACTCATCTCTGATCAAAGTTACGTTACGGGCACTCACTCAGAAGTAAAGAAGACTATCTCTGATCAAAGCTATGGGCACTATCCTAAAAATAGTAACATTCCAGGGGTGCCCATACAAAGTTTTGCGCAGCTTGAATTTGTCAAAACGCAGTTTAAAATAACACTTTTAAAATAAAAAAATTTTCTCTTTTAGCTTGCAAGTAAAGAAGGATTCCTTACAAAGCAGGGCTGGGTTGTTAAGAATTGGAAGACGAGATGGTTTGTGTTGTCAAAGTACGATCTCAGTTATTTCTCAGATAGATCGGTAAGTTTGGTTTACTTGACTTTTTTATGGTGGTTTTTGATGGGGTTTTTTCATTGTTTTTGCTCGTTTTTTCATTGTTTTCGCACGTTTTTTGACGTTATTTCTGACTGTTTTCAAGATTTCTGCAAGGTTTTTGACGTTTTTTCACTGTTTATGCAATTTTGTTCAAGATTTTCGGTTGCTTTCCACATTTTTTTGGTGGTTTTTGACGATTTTTCTAGGTTTTTGGTGTTTTTTCATGGTTTTTGCTATATTTTGCTAACAATATGCAAGGATGCTTTGATGTTCCAACGTAGGGTGACCCATACGATAAAGAAACCATAAAATTCTTGATCTGCATAAACGAAAAAAAAATTATTTAACACTTAAACTTATCTAGGACGCTTTTCACAAAAGTTATGTTTTCTCTGGAACAGCAGAGAGGGCCTGTGTCCTCTCCAATGGGGCCTCAATGCAAAGTCTTCATAAGAAAGCTCCCCGTTTGCTTGATAAGGTTATTTCACAGGGTGTTTTCACTTTCTTGAGCATGAATTGTTAGAACATAATTGGATTTAGAATCTACTAATTAAAATAACACTATAAATACCACTGGAATGAGAACAGGGGCCATGAGTGCTAAAAGCTTCCAAAATGAAAGTCATCAGTCATGAAAGATTGGGACCCACTGCTCCAGCCCAGTGTTCTTGAACCCAAGTGTATACTGGACCTTGAGTAGGGTATACAACTGATAAAGGGTGTACAAAGGGTGTACAGCCTAAGTCAAGGATTCTAAACTCTAATATGATAAATTATAAAATATTCAATTGGAGACAACAATGTTAACACGGTGCACATGGAATATAAAATGTCATTTACGCAAAGAACCGACTTGAGCACATTGTTACATCACAATTTATATAGATATGGCAGGCACGTGTCTAGGTTGATGATTTCGGCTGCCATGCATTTCGCTTCGCTTGATTTACGTTGAACATTATTCGCGTTGATACTAGGGCCGTCAGTCAAATTTATACCGTTTACAACTTGCAGACACTAGCCTATTGGATTGCATGATGATATTGCAGTACAATATGTGATTAAAATTGAATATTTATTTAAGCCTTAAATAAACAATGGTATTTGTAGGGTATACAAAGCTCTTGAAAATTTGTAAAAGGTACCATGGTACAGGTGGCTGAAGAACACTGCTCTAGGATATGTTCCAAATGACCTGGCTTCAGTTTTTGTGTAACCCAGTGCTTATCTGGAGGAGGAGAGTTATGAGTAATGAGATGATGACTCTTTAAATCAGGGGTGTGTAACCTGCGGCTTGTGGGCCAAATGCAACCAACAGGTAAACTTGTGTGACCCGTGAAGAAACTCCACTTTTGAATGGCGAGCTGCCCGCGAAACAAGTTTTAATTTAATCTAGTATGTGTTAGTAATTCCAATTCATTTGCGTTGCAATGGCTATATCTGAGCAAAGCGAACATCTCACAAGATCAATAACAAAATATTTTTGTGTCTGCAACTACTAGAAAGCATATGTTAAGTAAGGGTGTGGCCCACGGTTTCATCCAGTTATTTTTATCCGGTCATCGTGTATTATTTAAGCATGTCCGGAAAAATTTTCGCAGGAAATTTTGTCGTAGGTAATCTTACAGCATAGAAAAATTTGTCGAATAGGAAAATTTACCGAATAGAAAAATTCACCTCACAAAAAATGGCTGCAAAAGCACTTTGCTGTAAAACAAGTATTTGTGATAAAAACAGTTGAGTTCATAGGGTTAGGGTACGCTCTTAAATAATGAATCTTTTTTAATAAAAAAGTGACTCTAAAACCTAACTGTTTTTAACAAATGCGGCCAAATTTCCTAGAACCGTATAAAAGGTTGCACACCCCTGCTTTAAATGCTAGGCCAATATGCTGCTTTAAGTTATTCGTCAATTTGACTTTTTACCAGTATATCAATTCCTTGCCAATACTACTCTACTAAAGAGATGAGTCATCACTGACTGTCTGTTTTGTCTTACTAAGCGTTTCCATATGACAGATAGCCTGCTAATATACCTTTATGACACTTCCTTGAAGGTTTCAATATGGCTTTTTGCTCTTTAAATGGTGTAGGCAGTAGTTTAGTATTATTTATTTAACTTATTATGGTAATACACCCTTATAATGCTGTATAAAAGTGGTTCCGAAACTTTTATGGCTCGTGTCCTCTTCGGAGTGTTTTAGCCCCTATTGCCCGACTGATTATCATTCCAGTGGTATTTAAAGAGTGTTGTTATGATTGGTAAATCTTAAATCATATTATATTCTAACAATTCTTGCTCAACAAAGTGAAAACACCTTGTGAAATATTCTTAACAAGCAATGGAACTAGGAATAACGGGTAGTTTTCTTGTGAAGGGAAATATAAAGTAAGTCCTGCGTCCCTTATGTGCCCCCTCCCCTTCAAGATGTGGGGTTGGAGTCTCCATGCGCACCCCGGATGTCTGTCCTTGCTTCTACATATTAACTTACATGTGGTTGTTAATGGAAAGTCAGTGAGTCATGAGAAGTCTGTGAAACATAGGATTTCTAGAATCTAGACTTTTTCCCACGGCCATGTGTTGGTTAATCAACAAAATTTGTTGATTTTATTTTCCAATTTAAAAAAAAATGTAGGTTGTCTAACTGGTCAAGATTGTTGGGCAGTGCTCCCCATTTTGGGATCAAATTTTTTTCAATGAATGAATTAAATTGTATAAAAAGGAAAGAGTCTTTATTTATACTGAAAGGAGGGCAAGAATTATAAGTTAAAATTAAGAGAAACATCAACTAAAAAATGTCGGAATCTTATGTGTTTTCTGCTGGTCAGTAGACCTATTTTTGCATTCTACTGTACCGGCAAATCAGGAAGAAGGAATTAATTTGGCAAACACTTTTATTACATATCTGTAGTAGATAGTAGAAAAAATATGACAAAATAATTTCCTACCGAAAAGTTAAAAGTTTGAATAAAGATCGGACGATTTCAGATATTCCACAATAGCCTGATAGTAGAACTTGTATTGATCCTGAAATAAAGAGGAAATTCTTACTGTATTGAAACCAAGCAGCGAGACGTGGTATAGGCCAGGGCTACTCAACTGGTGGACCACAATCCGAATCTGGATCTTTCGGGTATTCGATTCGGACCGCACCTAATTTTTTGTTTTCGATCATTAGCTCCACTTTTGAAGTTTTCTTTTATGAAATGACTTTTATAGTTTCGAATATCTATGAAAAGAACTATAACATCATAATAAACAATCTTGATTATCTAATAATTATTAGCCGGTCAAGAAAGTGTGCGTTTAAGGATACTGAAATATAATTTCTGGAAAAACCAGACCGAAATAATTCTGAAGTTTCATATATGCGAAACTAGTATTTTTGAGTAGTTAAAACTTGAAACTATGATTTTCAGATTTTTTTTGCCAACTATTTTCATTTTAGAAAGAAAAACCGATCAAGACCCTCAATCTCCTAGATTGTCAGGGATGCATAAAATGTGACGACGTCGGCAAAAAAAACTGTTTCAAACTTGACTTTCCGGATCGTACTTGGTATTTTTATGCAAATACTGAAGAAGAACAAGCAGAATGGATGGATATTATTAAATGGAAATTGGTAAGAATTGGTTATAAAAAATTTTTACTTCAAGTAAGACTGATAATTTTTTGATAAAAAATTTTGGTACTCCTGAAGTATGCGCACCAAGATGTTGCATAACCTGCATCCTAACCTGGTACACAATCTGAGTTCAGGTTGTGCGCCATCTTGGTGCGCATACTTCAGGAGGTCCAAAATTTTAAAGATATACTGTGTGAATTCCCTGCGCTCAAGGTTACAATTTTTAGTTTTATTGGGTCTTGTCTTTTTTTTGAATTACGTAGTTATTATTTTTAGGGGAAGCGCTAAGTGTTAGGTGCTCAGTTAGAAAGTAATAAAATATGGAGAAAAAAGGAAAATATAGACAGATGAATTCATTTTAATTGTTATCTTCATTTATTCCCTGGCAATTCTAGATGCAATAGTTAAAGTCAGCAACAATACAATGTCACGAGAATTTTATATATTGCACACAATCCTATCTGAACTAAAGATTGGATCCTCATCAGCATTTTTGACCTAATCATGCAAGCCTTTATCAATGCTCTGTAAATGTAAATTCTTTTTGAGTTTTCGTGTAAAATGTTGACTTTTATTATCACCATTGGGATTCAGAGTTTCGACTTTGTGGAATTCAAAATTTCTATCAACACCGGTGAAAACATGTCGAACACTACAGCTTTGCCTGATATAATCGTTTCTATTTATGCTATAGCAAGAAAAATAGGGTTTATTGGCAATATTCTATTCCTAAGGCAAACCGATTTTCAAATATTATTGACTTGACATACTTTATTGGTGTACTCAGCTCATCAGAAAGCTGATATGTCGATTTTCTTTTTCTTTGATAACTAGGTAGGCCTACTACTCTTTCAATTCTGAGTGCATCTATCTCTAGCACTTCAGTTGTCGTCGTAATTTTTCTCAGAGATGAGTGTCTTTCCCCTATCAGTAACTTTACGTGAACTTGCCTCATTGTTGAAATAATGATTGAATAGCTTACTAGAAGGCTTAAACATTAATTCATGGCAGAGGGTGGCAATTACTTTTCTGATTGTGCCAGTTACAGATAATAGACTTGGTTACTGAGCCTCCAAATTCATTATGATACACTATGATAAAAAGACAGTTCATCTACAACAGCTAGGCAAACATTTATAAAACAATAAGAAGCATTATCATTATGGCGTTATTTTTGTCGATATTTTCAACAAAAATTTATATCCATAAAAACTACAGTCCCAATTTCAACAGACACAGTGGACTGGATTAAACTCTTTGATGGGCCGGTTCCAGACCATGGTCTGCAGTTTGCCCATCCCTGATTTTTGCCATTCATAATTAGCACTATACAATTTATGACATTTATTATTAGCACTATACTGTTACAAATGTAAACACACAGTTTATGACTGTGTTTACTGATTGTTAATTCTGAAGAGCAAGCATATATCCTTCACAGATAAGTGTGAAATGTTGTATCAATTTGTCACTTAAATCAATATTTGAGCCTTTTAAAAACGGTATCAAATGCACTCAGAAAGGATTCGTTAAATAAGTCACGGTATTGGTAAATGCTATTTTGCCAAACTTGCTGGCAAAATCATCTTGTGTCATTCACATTTCTAAATTTGAAAAAAATACTGTAACAGAGCCCATCACCTTACCTGGGGCGTTATAACTCAATTAAAAATTTGAAAAATCTCTTCTCTGAGCAGGGTTTGTGCGACCGATGAAATGCCGAGAAACTGTTTAGGATTATCTGCGTTACTGACAAAGACTTGAAGCCATCAATATAGTCAGTAGCAATGCCCTGGATAGTGTGGCCACTTGAAATTTAAAAAAGATCATTTTTTTGTATCATACATTGGAGTTTTGTGTAGCTTGAAGCACTTTTTAGACCCTTAAGACTTTTGAAAACCCGTGTGTTTTTTTGCGGTCTTCGGCCAGACCCTCTAGCAGTTACTGTAGAACTTGGCAGTTATAAATTTCATAAAATCCCTGCCTATGTCATGCACTTATTTTAGAATATCAACTACCCACAGGCCACAGATAACCGGCTATATGTGAGGTGCTACTATATTTTGGAAGCACTGTAATCTTTCAGTTCATGTCTGGTATGGGATTAGTTAGCCAGTTATTTGTTTCAGAAGCATGGACTTGATGGTGAAGGAAGCCGAAGGCGACCTGCGGTTACGTGAACCACCCTACGGCGACGAGGAGTCCAGCAATCCTCTCGTACATAATTATCCTCGAACCTGCGAACATACACAGGGCAATGAGAGGTGCGGTGACGAGCGTATTTTAACATTTAGCACAATGCACCACACTTTTGAACCTATATTGCCTAGACCAATGGTGCACAACCTGCGGCCGTCGTGAAAAAATGATGCGGCCGTCCACATACAAAATCCTATACGTGAACAAAACAAAAAAGTTCAAAATATAGGATTTGGCGGCTATGCTTTGCAAACTTTTATAGAATAAATTCATTAAAATATTTGACATTTTATTATACTTTTGGGGACAAGAAAATGGGCACAACCACCCCTCCCCGATTTTCGATTTTTTTCAAAATTGTGCAACCATTATGCAACTTGCTGTAATATATCTGCTCAAGAATAGGTCCAGCAAAAAGAAAAATCCGTTTAAAATGCGAATATTATACTTCCAAGTAGTCCTACATACTTATTAATTGGGCAGACTGCACCTCGCATGGGTCAAATATGGGGTTATGACGTCATAAAATTGAAAAAAAAAATTCGACGCGCTCATCAACCCCCTGGAAGGCGTATTGAATACAAATAAATGCAATGTGGCCGCCAATAGCAAAAAGGTTGTGCACCCCTGGCCTAGACCCACCCACACACACACTCAGATTATTAGTCAAATATTAACGACTTGATTTATTGACGTCATATATTGTTATTATAAGTCAGCTATTGATAACAGATTTTAATGAGATGACCTATGTTTGCTATGTGCTTACTGCTTGCCATATGTCAGAAACTACTTACAATCGGCAGATGGTGTTGAGTGTTTGATATAGGTACACTTTCAATTGCACTGCTGATAACCATGTGTGAGTTACGTACGAAATATTTGCGAGACTTTTTATGTGTCTGTGTGTTTCGCTCTGAACAAGGCTACACACAAGCAACTACCAGCTATGATTGTCATTGCACTGCTGATGCCCATGTTCGAGTCGTTTAATTATTGTTTGACTGCAATGCATTTTGATTACAGTGCTTATTCATGACTTTCTCTTCAAACAAGGCCCCATACTAGAAGATACTGATCCCTATTGCTGTGAATTAATATTTTATTGCACACAAGCAATACGTAACATACACAGTTCAATTGTCACCTCAAATAACAGAATATAAAGTCAGACATTACGTTGCTTCTGGTGTACCAAAGTACTCAATGACCTCTGGAGACCAGCATGGCAGTATTTATACCCAGGGAGCATGCTTCAGTGGTTTTACCCACAATGCCATACCATCATGCTGTTCTCTCATTGGTCAATTGGTCAGAGCACAGTTATCTTAGGATGACAATCACCTGGACAAAATGTGAATGAGGACACACAAGTTAGCAACTGATATCTATTTATATGTAAAAAGCTATACATTATTTGGAAGGACCGAAAAACACATGCTCGTATGTAGCAAATTGCTGATGCTAGCAGTAAGCCGGTCATTAACAAAGTTGAGTGAAATAGCAAAACACTATAGTTAAGCAATGTCGTGAAAAAAATAACTACCGGTAGATAAAAAGCTTGCCAAAACCACATTATCAAATAAATTTTATTTTATTTTTTTCAGAAACAAATCAGAAAAGACTCGATGTGAAGGAATCATCGCTCAAACCAACACAGATATGACTGTAGTTAAGTGATTTTAGAATACACAATCACCTCTATAGACTTCAAACTGTCGTATTATTTATTCTTTACAACTGAAAAAAAGAATATTTATTTCAGTGGTTCCCGACCTATTTATGGCTCGTGGCCTCCTTTCGGAAGGTTTTAGCGGTTATGGCCCCTGTTCATCATCCCAGTGGAATTTATAGTGGTATTTTGATCCCATTATGTTCAAACAATTCATGCTCAACTAAGTGAAAACACCCTGTGAAATAATCTTATCGGGCAATGGAACTAGGAAGTACTGGGAATGTGAAGGTAAAAGTGAAATCAGTTTCGCGCCTAGCATTGTGGCCTCCAATTCCTCCAACTGCTCTGTGGCAACCTTTGGGGGGGGGGGGGGGTCTCTTGTTACCGGCTTTTCATACTAAAGATATGTATTTCGTATAAACAGACAGCAAAGGGGGGGCAGAAATTGTATTGTATGTCACTATATTACAGTACTCGAGCATCAGATAGTATGTAGACCCTAAAATGAAAGTAATAATCTGAAATTACAACCAAGGATGATCAAAACCTGGGCATTTAACTAACTGTATATATTGCCATATCACAGTATGCAGGCCCACGACCTGTACTTTTGTTTGAAGTTCTAAATTCAATAATTTTATAAAAGGAAAGCCAAGAAGCAAGAAAAATGTCTATATAGTGGCATTGTCACCCTAAAATGTCTGAATTTGATAATTCTAATCATGAGAAGCAATAACTGAATAACCAGAATTAACTGTATAATTATATACAATATTATATTCTGTGACTTATTAATGAATGGCCAAAGAACAGGACAATCAAGTTGATGTCCCTTCAAAGTAGAGCCTACATTTCCTCAATCAGCATTCAACTCCTGTTTGTTTTTAGTTATGCATGTCCACTAATTGTATGTCAACTTTCAATTTTAACTGAAAATGCTTGCAAACTGGATATTTATTTAACTATATGTACCCTCATACTGATTCCACCAATTTATGCATCAAACAATTCGAAATGGGGCTATTTATAGAACAGTAAATACTTATCTAGAGTTTTAATTGGGGTGCAGATATTGAAACAACGTTTCTCCATGAACCAGCATTTATACCAATTTTTGATAATTTAAAAATCCCGTCCCAAAGGTTTATTAATTTTATATTGTTATATACAGGTGTATTCCGTACCAGCTTATGTTCGTTATGCTTTTAGACTTTTTGTCAGATTTTACTTGAACTACTGCTTGCTTTCAGTTTTTTTTTCTGTATTTATTTAGTGGGTTGTTTTGACTTGAATATTATATGTTAGATAATTTTAGTGCTAGTGAACTAGTTTTATCGCTTTGCATTTAGTTATTTTTCAATCTTGTTTTTGGGAGGGAGGGGAAATTGTATCATACTGTAAAAATACTAAATTTTAGTGTAAACAAATTTATAAGCTCCCCGTTGATCATTTTCATGCTGGTTCCTGACCACAAAAACTTTATATCTGTCCCAATCCAGAAACATATCATGAATCCTATTTCCCTGTAAATCACTTGGCATATAATATACGGTTCCATTACATTTGAACCCACGTACATTTGAACCCATGACAATTGCACCTGTATGCTATTGCACCTATGGAATTTTTTTTGTTTCACGGATAGTTAAACCCATACTAACCCTAACCCACGGGTTTTAGCACCCGCATATAGATTGAACCCGTGGATATACGCATGGGTTCAAATGTACGTGGGTGCAAATGTACGGTCACCATAATATACACCCACAAAATTGCTGCTGCTCTCCAAGAGCAGCCTACTAAAGAAAGAAAGCCCTCAGAAAGAATATTTAATAAATTTCCAAACCCTGAAATATAGGAGCTACTGAAGTATGTGTACCAAGATGGCGCGCAACCTGAACATAGTATATATGTACCAGATTGGGGTTCAGGTTGTGTGACATCTTGGTGCACATAATCTGGGAGCGCCAAAACATGTCATGTAACTTTTTTTAAAATATCGTGTTGGCATATTCAGTTCTCCACTCTCATTACGTTCAAGAGACAGCCTAGAAAGAAAGTCTCTCATAATAAGAATTTTAATTAATTTTCTTATTTTAGCCAATGAAATTATGTATTCTTCAGTGGTTTTTATTTCTGAGTACTCCACCCACTCTGCTCACCTTCGAGAGACATCCTAACAAAGAAGGAAGCTCCCCAGAATAACTATTCAATACATTTATCATTTTAGCCAAATAAATCATGTATTAGATTCTGGCGTCTGTAATTCACTCAGATCAGTCACCTTTATTTCTGAATGAGTGCATGCTTGTGAGTTTTCTTAAAAATGTACTATTAAGCTGTTATAATATTTTTATGAATGAATTTTTTGTCAGTTTTAGCTTTTTTGTGATATTTGAACTATTGTGATTATGTGTCTTAAGTTTAATGCTATATCTATCTATTGATACCTTCTCTAGTCAATATCAATTCATTATCACAGTTTAATACTGATAAACCCGGAAATTCACTGATCTGGAAGACTAACATGGTGGCGCAATTTTTCTCGAAGCCAGTAATCGCCGCCAAGTGAGACAGAAAATCTATGAATTTCCATTAACTATTGCGCAATACTGTGGTATTCTCAAAAGTACTTCTGGACTTCTAAATAGAGTCAACATTTTTATATTTTTCAAGAATTTATACGATATATACAGGGTGGCCCAAAAGTAGGTATACAGTTATTTTATTTATTTTTATTACCTTCCAAGCAGCTAGAAAACTAATGTAAAATTCACACTAGATTTATTATCTAAAAAAATAAGCATTTTTTGTGGTAATTACCAAGTAACATAAAGTGAACTGCAAGTAGCTTCAAAGCATATAAAATAGTTTAATAACTGTATATCTACTTAAGGGCCACCCTGTATATATATTTATATATCGTAATTTTATTCGAAACATTGAAGCGGTTCTGTCTGTCATTCACATTTTTGCACCGAATCACATTTAATTAATTATAAAGCGATACTACTTAGTGTAGGTACATGTTTAGGAGATTGAAGGTCCCCGGCAGGGTCGTATCCTGGGGTGAAGGGGTCAGAACCCCCTCTTTTGAAATGTGATTAAAGCATTTTTCTGTGTCATTCATAGCATTTTTCATCGTTTGAAACCCTTTTTAGATCAAAACTCTGAAAACTGACATTTTCCAGCCGGATCCGATAAATCATTACAGTCTAACTTGGCAATTAGGAATTTGAGAACTCCCCCCTTTTTTTAAATTCCTGACGACCCCCCCCAAGGTCCCAGGACTCTCTACATCCTAGTTTTGGCAATGCTTATATCATTTTTTTAAATGGAGTTACACTAAATTATTCTGAAAATATAAAAAAGACTATGTCAGCTTAGTGTAAAGAAGTTGTATAATTTAATAATTGAATAAAATTGAATAATTTATCCCGCTTTCATAGAAGTAATTAGGAAATTTATGAGTTTCATTCTTTGGGGCATTCTTTACATGATCCTAATTTTGGCAATGCTTAAAATGTTTTTAAATGGAGTTACACTAAATTATTCTGAAAATATAAAAAAGACTATGTCAGCTTAGTGTAGAGAAGTTGAATAATTTATTAATTGAATAAAATTAATTTAACCCACTTTCTCGAGAAGCAGTTAAGAAATTTATGTTTCATTCTTTGGGGTATTCTTTACATGTATCACAGGACTCTCTACATCCTAATTTTGGCAATGCTTATATCCTTTTTTTAAATGGAGGGACACTAAATTATTCTAAATATGAAAAAAAAACTATGTAAGCCTAGTGTAAAAAATTCAAGTGTAGACAAAATTGAATAATTTATCCCACTTCCATAGAAGTAATTAAGAAATTTATGTTTCATTATTTGGGGCATTCTTTACATGTATCACATATCTGTCATACTGTTTTGAGCCAAATAACATGGGCATAGCCTGGAATATTCAAAGGAGGGAAAATTGGAAATTTCTAATTGCCATGTTACACCCTAAATGCTAACGGGTTCAGGTGTTAGAGTCTTGAGGGGGTGAAAATTGTTTCAAACTATGAGAAAATGGTATGTATCATACAGAAATTTTTTTTTTTCATTTTAAAAAGGTGAGGTCCGACCCAGAAACCTTCCTGGCTACAGCCCTGATATATACATACATTAAATTTGTGAAATTCTGATTCCGGAAATTCAAAATTTTGGTTCTAGATCTCAGACTTGTGATCTATCGATACAATATCATCTATATATCACAAATTACTACGCATTGCTATGCATTTTTAGAATGTTTCTGTATGTTTATAATTATAACTAATCGAACCATTTTGTACAGCAGCAGTTTCCTTTCCATTCTTTGATTTATCTTTGCATTGTGAAATTGTTGTTTTAGCATATTTTGTTCATGGAATTCGTCCCAGTTAATTTTGCTCAGAGATGAGGTCTCAGAAGTCACCTTGACTTCTGAGTAAGTGTGTGTGTTGTCCCACCATTAATTAGTCTTTTGTTTCTGTAAATTTTGCAACTTCAGTAAATCTTTCTCCTCCCATAAATTTGCTATCTTTTGGTCAAAAAGTTTTTTGAGGGTTTATTTGCATGCATGCTAAATTTTCTACTCAAAAAATATCCCCTCATAAAAGTTCCATGCATTTGAAATTTCCACCAAGATAAAAACTCGACCCTAACCTACATTAAGAGGCATTTTGATTGATTATTTGTATTTTATGTCTTCAAACTTGTGTAAGAATGTCTGTGACCAGTTTTATTGTACAGTTCATTATGTTTGGTTTATTATACTGAAAGAAACAATCCCAAACTATTGTGTGCTGGTATTTAAGCCTAATTGATCTTTACATTGTGAATTTGGTACCTACTTAAAGCACAATATAAAAAGGTGTTTTTGAGATATTATAAAAAGCTAATTTTAAGCTTGATATTTTTCGTTTTTATTGTTTCACCAAGGGATAACCGAAAATGAATAATCCCAAATATATGCTAAATATTACTTTGAATATTGATATGTTCCAATCCAGTGGTTCTTAAACTTTTTCAGTCACCCCCCTTTTTAGTCTTGCACCCCCCGTTAAAAAGCTAAAAATAAGCTACAAATAACAGATATTAAGGCGAAATTATGCTTTATTGAAAAACATGTTGAAAATACATGGATGGAACATAAATACCCAAAATAAGAAATGTAAATATCCAAAATAAGGCAGGCAAAATCAATTCTAACAAATATTCATTTGAATTAGCTTCACACCCTCTCAAAAATGTCCACGATACCCTTGGTGGACGTGCCCCACTGTTTGAGCTCCTAGTTGGTATATGTGTTTTAAATTGGGACATTTCTAGAAAGACACATAGGAGTCCATGTATATTAACGAGTTTGAGTTGTTTTGTCCTCAATTTTTCAGAAGCGAAATGAAGGCATTTCTAGTGTTACTGTGAGCTCCTGTTTGAGCTCCTAGTTGGTATATGTGTTTTAAATTGGGACATTTCTAGAAAGACACATAGGAGTCCATGTATATTAATGAGTTTGAGTTGTTTTGCCCTCAATTTTTCAGAAGAAGTGAAATGAAGGCATTTCTAGTGTTACTGTGATGCTTTCTTGAAATTTCACTTTCCACTTATAGTAGGCCTCAGACCTTCATATGAGCTAAATTATGTGAAAAGTAATAAATTGTGATAACCCTCTCTCCCATGTACAACAAAGACCAAGTCAAAAATATCCTGTTACCCAATCTCAGCACTTTTTTATGTATTATCTTAGTTGCAGAATTATTGGATATAATATGATCATTATTATACTTGTGTGTTCGTTTATGTGTTGTTTGATCAGAGAGTCGAAAGACAATTTTGTATTCGCTTGATGCAATGTCAACCTACTTAACCAGTCAGAAGTTAGAGACTCGTATAGTAGACTCAAGACTGCTTTGGAGTAGTATATAGTTATAATAGTGGATCAGGGTCGGCAATCTTTTGTCCCTCGCGGGACAAAATTGGGGGTTGCAAAACATTGGCGGGCTGCACGTATTTTTAGAAAATTGGAAAACACGTTTAGGCGGTCCGCACATCATTCAAAATTGTCATTTCTCTGCGTGCCGCACAGTTTTCCTTGAGGGTCGCAGGTTTAACCCCTTTGTATTAGGTAATTCTTTATTATGGGGGGGGGGGGGGGGGGGGGATTCGCATGATACGCGTCGTTGAACAAAACTTGAGTTTGATTACTACAGTGTTTCCCCGAAAATAAGACCTAGCCTAAACTTTAAAAAAGTTTTTAATATAAGCACTCCCTTTAAAATAAGACAGTCAATAGCGCGATTTTTGTTTACCTTGTCGATAGCAAGAAATCTCTCCCACACGTTTTAAATGATTAATCTAAAACGTGCGAGAGCGGAAAACGTGTCATTTGAGTAAATGGAAATCGGTTTTCCTATTTGAAAATCTCCTAGTTCTATACCTTGTAATGTTGTTTTTGATAAATGAAAAACAAAGACATCCCCGAAAATAAGCTCTAGTGTTATTTTTCGAAAGAAAATTGAAATAAGACAATGTCTTATTTTCGGGGAAACACGGTATATTTGACAAGTTTTGGGGATACAGACTAGAGAAATGTGGTATACCGATAGATAAGTACTTCGAAACACAGAACGGAAATTTAACAAAGTTGCCAAAACTTCAACTGAGGTTTAAAGCATGTGACATCGATCAATTATTTCGGTTCTCTGGCATAAAAATCACGAAACGTAAACAGACAAACAAAATACAGAAATAAGCGCGGCGGTGTGGCTCAACGGGCTAAGCGTTAGGAATACGCTCGCCACTGCATCTCTGATTACTCTGCATGGGTTCGCAGGTTCGAATCCCATGCAGGAATGGTTATGTGCGAGAGGATTGCTGGACTGCTCGCCGTCGTTGGGTGGTTCACGTCACCGCTGGTCGGTTACGGCTTCCTCCACCACCAAGTCCATGCTTCCGAAAACAAACAATATATATAACGAATCCCATACCCGACTTGGAATGGTAACCGGACGAGACGCCGTGGTTCGCCATATGGATAAGCCGTATTATCGGCTTTCCTCTCCTCCGGGATAAATATGTAAATCCTATCCTATATTGGGTACTCCTGAAGTATGCGCACCAAAATGTCGCATAACCTGAACTCTAATCTGGTACACAACCCGATTTCAGGTTGTGCGCCATCTTTATGCGCATACTTCAGAAGGTCCGTACCGTATATTGTGATGGCAAATAAAAGATTGATTGATTGATTATATAAGTTTTTTCGACTTCATAATCAGCATAACAGGCAATGAAATGATTGATAAAAACAGTTAATAAAACTGATTATGAAATCAGGAGAGCAAGCAAAACCATAGTTAAGGTTTAAAACATACAGAATATAAGATGGAAGGAAGATTTTGCCAAGAAGAAGTGGTACGTGTTCACTCACCTGAAAATTATTCACACCATAACACCCCAAACACAGATATTATAAAGTAACAAAAGGTAGAACATGTCAATCAATAAACAGAACGGAAATTCAAGAATGTTGTCAAAACTTCAACTTGGGTTTAAAGCATGCGACATCAATCAATTATTTTGGTTCTCTGACATAAACAACATGAAAAGTAAACAGACAAACAAAATGCAGTGATAACAGGAAAGCGAGCAATACCTAAATATAAAGTTCAAAAAAACGTACGTGCCCACTACCGAAAAAGCACGGCATGGAAAATCTCAACTTAAGAATATAAGTTGGAAATATATAATTTTAAAATAAATTTGACTGCTTTTGAAATTCACATACCTCTTGCTGCAGATTTTAACCTACTGTATTTTTAAAGTACTACGTGACAAAATATCACTAACATTTCTGTAAGAAGCGACTTTGATTGGCTAAGGAAGTTAACGCCCACTTTGGAACAATAACATTGCGAAATTTCCAGTTCCATTCTTTTGCCGGATACGTTTCGAAGGAGTCGGCGCTTGTTTACCGTTTTCGCGGTTTTCCTCGCTTTCATTACCAGGTATTTGGCGAGTTACAAGGTTAGAAAACAAGGCTACATACCGCATCGAGCGAGCAAGGCCGTGCAGTTCAATTTTCGTGTTGCCGATAACGATTGGACTTATTGAACGTAGCAAAGCCGCAAGTCAGCATGGGCGACGAAAAGCCACTTCAGGTAATTTGTAAATTATTTTTGAGTTTATTTCGAATTTGGTACTGTAAACTTGTTTCAGATTATAATTATATTATAAATTCTTAGAAATTTATCTTGGAAAATGAAATGGCGCAGCGGTGTGGCTCAACGGGCTAAGCGTTAGGAATACGCTCGCAACCGCACCTCTGGTTACTCTGGGTGGGTTGGCAGGTTCGAATTCAATGCTTGCTGGACTCCTCGCCGTCGTTGGGTGGTTCACATAACCGCTGGTCGGTTACGGCTTCCTCCACCACCAAGTCCGTGTATCCAAAAACAAACAATATAACTAATCCCATACTCGACCTGGACTGGTAACCGGACGAGAGGCCGTGTTTCGCCATATGGATAAGCCGTCTAATCGGCTTTCCTCTCCCCCATGATAAATATGTAAATCCTATCCTATCCTAAAGATGATAAGATGGCCTTTACATATTGCAGTATTGAGAACCACAACTCATGTCAAGCATGGCGTCGTGAACCTTCCATACACACTGACACATGCAGACATATGGTGGACTATGGCCTCCGTCCCTTTACTTGTACGATACCGAGGATTGCATAGTATTAACATATTTATCCTGATGGTAAGACGGCTCAATCATATGACCAACCACGGCCTCTTATCCGCTTCCAGTTCATGTCGGGTATGGGATTAGTTACCGTAGCTAGTTACGGTATCCGTTTTCAGAAGCATGGACTACACTCTCCAGTTTTTGTTAGACATTATTAAGTTATGACATTATTGATGGTCCAGTTCCTTATGATTTGAACCCAATTCAACCCAACGAAGGAAGCTATCGGCAGGTTGACATTTGCATTTGCACTGAGGCATGCTAGATAGAATGACCTTTTTCTAACATATGTCGATAAGCACAACATATGACAGTACGTCACAGTTCTTCGATTTCAAAAATAGCTCCCACATTGAAAGACATCAATTATAACAATGAGTGCAAACCACTTCTATAGGCCTCCATATCGGCACTACACAAACTAAAAGAAAGCGCAATCGAAAAATGTTACCATTGGATTCTTCCGAGAAAAATAATCAAGCTGTTTCTCTTGTTTTCGCTTTGTAACGATCCCCATATGAGAGAGATTGCTGGCGTTAGCGAGTACTTTATCATCCGCGGAGATGCCATTTCGGACTAGCATATCTTTTCTTTGGCAAGCTCTTTGAGATGATTGTGACGTCGTAGTGACGTAATTTATGGATGGCGTAGTTAGGTCGGGGTTAGGAATACTATATGCAAAAATTGTGTTCCACATCAACTAGAAGTACTTACGATGTGTAGTGAACACACGCCCACATTTATATACAAGTGCTGCCATTTTCACTTTATCGCACAGTTACTTGGCACCACGTTACAGTGTTTGGTAAAAATGCTAACAGACGTAATCATAGAAGCGCCTATGGTTTGCTATCTGATAAAGTCGTCTTATCGTTTTTCTCATCCCTAGGAAAAAAACAAGAAAACCATAATCCTAAACTTTTGTTCTTTACAGTACATGTCAGGGTTTGGTAATGAATTCTCATCTGAAGATCCGAGGTGTCCGGGCTCATTACCGAAAGGACAAAACAGCCCACAGAAATGCCCGTATGGTCTCTATGCAGAACAGTTATCAGGTAATTAGTCTATTTTCTGATATGAAAATGAAACATGAGATGTTCTTGATTCTGGAACATTTTTAGAGAAAAAAAGGCAATGAAAATAGGCTTACATTCTGTGGTGATGTGTGTCTGAAATTCGAGCAATTAAACTGTTATGACATTTGACCCTGCTGATGCATACTGTTCGTCCTTTAATAGCATGGTGTTTCGATTTCGTGGAATTCTTTGGTTTGTGCTGCTTTAAGGCTCTTAGTCGTCATTTGAGATAATATAAGCATTGTGTATGAACTTGTTTATTTCTGTGTTAGGTTCATCACACAAACATTAACATTTTTTTGAACGAATTTGTAATTTCCTGAAATGAAAATATTTTTCAACACGGAGTTTTCTTTTTAATATCTCAGAACTTGGAGTCTGGCATAAAGCTTTACAGCGGTCTATCGTTCTTCAGAATTAATAACATTTTTACTGTTTTTGTTAACTATATGTAAATGTATAATTAACTCGTAAGCTCTAACCCACCAACAGAAATGTGTTATGAATATCAAGAGAGCATATTATGGTCACTTCACAGCTGGTTGGTCACGATTAGTCAACTGTAACTGATGACATCACTGGTCAAACTCAGCCATCTGGGAAAATGCTAGTTGCCAGAAATATAAATAAAAACACTTATTAATTCTAATTTATACTCTAGGATCAGCCTTCACTTGCCCAAGGACTTCGAACAAGAGAAGTTGGCTGTATAGGATATTGCCGTCTGCAAAGCACGAGCCATTTCGCCCATACGCTCACCCGTATGTCACTCATAACTGGGACGATGAAGCCCCCAATCCCAACCAAATGAGATGGTCGCCGTTTAAGATTGCGAGCCAACATGAGAGGAAAGTGGATTTTGTGGATGTGAGTGTTTGTTTACTTATTTGAAGTCCCTTCATTAGTATTTGTCAACGTGCGCCAAACGTAGTAAATATCTTTCAAAGTTTTGTAGGTTTGAATCTCGTGGGGATAATGTATGAAGAGAATTGTTGAATAACTGAAATAGATGCTGATAACAGTGTATAGCGACGTGCCAATGCATTTCAGATAAAATCTGAGTGTGTCGCGAAATTCCAATCCATTTCTGAAAAATCACACCTAGGGCTGTCCCAAGCGAACCAAATATTCGAAATCGAATCGAATCGCAAATTATTCGAATCGTTTTTCGGCTAATTTTCGAATCGCTAAAATTAGGTACCTGTACATAAAGCGGAAACCACCTTTACGGGATGTTTTTCATCGGGCAAGCGGCGGCGCTCCGAGCTCAGACCACTCTTGCTCCCGGCCTAATTGGTTTCCCGATATTTCTCTCGCCTTCATTTTGTGATAAACATGTCATTACTAATGCCCGCCCGGTGGCATGTAATTAGCCATTTCATGCATGGTCATCATAACAAGGTATAATTGGTCATGACGTTTTTGAGAGAGAACAAGGAGAAAAAGGAGACAATTTAGAAAACGATAGTTCTATAAATAGAATCGATTTGAAACTGTTGAGTTGGTTATCATAGGAACATGGTACAGGCAACTCAAAGCTGAAACAGGTGTTTTGGGATCCTTATGATGGCAATACCGTCTTTGAATGGAATTTGTAATTTCTTATGATGGCATTACTGTATTATCCATCTATATACCAAGACAAATAATTGCACTCTTGCATTTTGATGGCTGTTGTACACTAATAATATTATAGTCGTCAAATAATATTGTCATCAAACTATCTTGGAAATTTTAAATGCAATTTTGAACTTTAGCAACAGTTTTATCTATATTGATGGCTGTTATTATTTTGCTGAAATTTACACAAAAAAACATAAGACTAGTGAATAAGATTAAAATAGCATCTACAGGCTTTACATGTCCTATTAAAACTGAATCCATCAAATTGTGATTGCAATTTTTGAATAGTGCAATTTTTACTCTTAACACTCAACAGTTTTCGAGACCCAAATTTTGGAGTCCTCCAATTTTTTTGACCAGTTCATACAAGCGTGTGATCTCCTTTCATAAATCTGAAAACATTGTATTGCAAAATACCAGCAGTAAGTAAGATGTAACTGCACATACGTTACCACAACATCGAAGGGCAGGCGTTTATTGTATAATAGAGATAGATTTAATATTGCGCAATAATATTCGGTTATTCGGTTCGATTCGGCGAAAATATTCGATTCGATTCGAATCAAAAAATTATTCGATTTTGGACAGCCCTAATCACACCTTCTCTGCCTGCATTTAACTTGGAATAAAATTATCACCAGATCAAAAATTAACATTGAGAAATAGTTTTCTACATAAATGTTTTCATAATAATAAATTAGCTGTTGAATTTTAGGGTCTCAGGACAGTATGTGGAGCAGGCGATGCCAGGGCTCGAAATGGAATTGCGATTCATATTTACACTTGCAACACAAACATGGAAGACAAAGCGTTTTATGATTCAGATGGAGATTTATTGATTGGTAAGTAAAAGTTCATTTTTGACTCTGTAATTCATGGTCTAGTACAGGGTGGTCCAAGGTTGTCCCCTTCGGGGGCCACAAAATTATTTTCGCATTGATTGCGGCCCACGATTACCAAATGTGAGGCACGGGAGGATAATTACTAAAATTTCTGACATAGAGGCATCATTGAGGCTGGCCACAGATAACGAGTCTGTGCGCCTGGGTTCGGAACACCCTAGTTTAGCACCATTGTGCGTTCTAGATTAAAAAATATTCAACATTGGGTATGCATAAGATCAGGCATGTCCAACCCGCGGGCCACATGCGGCCCACAGGAAGAATTCGTGCGGCCCACTTGAAGTTTTTATATATATACGGACTTATGAACATATTTAACATAAAAATTTCCTGGTATAATATCAAATCTTACTAGAATTTAGGCTATAATTTCACACGACTTCGCCATGAGAAACGCGTTGTTAAGCGCCATAGAACATGATTTCACAGAGGGCCACTCAAAGGGCAACATCTGGGTCATTAAGGTTAAAGTCACATACCGGTACTTGTTTTATTGATGGTTGTTGAACCACAAAAATAAATCCACCGGTATGTCCGGAACAAAAAAAAAGAAGCTTGAGGATGAAAATCGGAAATATCAAAAGGATTGGGAAGAGTTGTAAGACAGCGATGTATGCATACTATGCCGTAAATCTGTTTCGAGCTTGAAGTCTTTGAAAATTATTTGAAAGCTATGAAGTCGAAGCATAGAAGTACGCTGACAAACAAAAATTTGACAAGCCAGTTAGTTACATTGTGCGGTATCAAAACTACTAGTTGAGCAATGACAATCGAAGGCAAGTTTCGCGCTAGAAAAATTGCTGACGATATTTTTTTTCCCTTTATTTCTTCCAGAAATCCGCAAAAGTAGTGTGCAATCCAGGCGTTTAATTTAGCGACGTTCAAATTCTAACGTGAATCGGAATTGGGTTGGTATTTAAGTTTGGTAAAAATGTTTGCGGCCCGCAATGAATTTCCCCATGTGAAAGTGGCCCGCGACACTTAAAAGGTTGGACATGCCTGCATAAGATAGTTTCATATTATTTGATGCCACAAGATCGCTCACATACCATCTGACTCTGAGTTCTTAAATGTTTATAAATTCAATGACATTTTCCACATCTCCAACAAGGCTGTAATTCCAGATGCGCCTTCATATCTTTATATACATACGAGTTGCCTGTTTCAGAAATGCTCAGAAATATTTCGTTATGTTTTTCATGCGTTTTGCTGTGAACAACGTCATCTAACTATTCATATAGGGCAGTGGTTCTCAACCTGTGGTACACGGGGGCTTTTCAAGTGGTACGCGAGAAGCTTTGAATTATTGCAACAACCAACTTTTGAGGTGGCTGACATATGGCAGAAATGCTTTCTATTTATCTTCCATTACTGAATGTATTCGCTGAATAGTTTATAGCGTTACCAGTCCTTCTCTTTAATGAGCGCTCTCACCCGCTACTGCCCGCCTAAAAAGAAACGAGAAGGGCATATTTTCGCCCGTTTTACGTGTTACGTACACAATGCATCAGCATTGAGAAATTGGCAACGAAGGGAGCGTTCGGACTTCGGAGGGGTGTATCTTCGACGCCTGTCAACTGTCAAGATACACTGATAGAGCCTAGATACATCATAAATATGTTACTATTATTACCTGATGTATGTGTTGGTTGATCGGCATAATCTTGACTTTTGAGTCCAAATAATTTGACGATTAGGTTAGGCAGTGTCGGATAGTGGCTAGTGCCGACCGAAGTGTATTTGTTTTGCGATAATTCAGTGGTGGCGACGATTAGAGCAGACGGTAAACGACACAAATTCTCTCGCGATTTTGCACGCAATTATTACGTTGTTACTGCATATGATCAATACGTTGAAACTTTGCACGAAGCTCTTAAAAATGGATGTATTGCCACATAAAATACTACCATAGAGCGTTTCTTGTGCCATTGTTCCCCGCCACAAAAGCGGTTTTATCGGTGGTATGTGACCAAGGTAAAAAACACAAAAATGGTACGCGGTGGTGGAGAACCACTGATATAGGATCGCAATGAAAAATACTGGAATCTTCCTGGTTCTGCATTGCCTTCTCCCAGGGTGAGAAAGAGAAGGGAGAATATTTCCAACTTGGTATGACAAGCTATTTCAGTTCCAATGCTCAACCTCATAGGTGGGCAAATTATGGCCCGGGGGCCAACTGGGCAAATTACGGCCCGGGGGCCAACTGGGAAAATTACGGCTCGGGGGCCAACTGGGAAAATTACGGCTCGGTGGCTAACTGGGAAAATTATGGCCCGGGAGGGCCAATAAGGTGTTGCATCCTGCCCACTTGTGTCTGCAGACACTACGACTGTAGTTCAATGGATATAAATTGCCAATGAAAATAACGACATAATCAGGAGCGGCCAGGATTTTTCCAACGGGGGTTGCGGTGAAATTATAACGAAGAGTGCAATTCGCGAAATTTACCCGTAACTCATTGTAAGTTAATGTTAATAAATTCTATTTTGCGTTTCAATGCGCTGTGATTTGTATTAATAAAAATGAGTGAGTCGGTAAAAGAAAGTCCTTAAATTAGCTTATAACCCTTCTCTCCTTTTGAGCGCCCATAACGGCGGAAAATTTCGTTCTATGCCTGCACGCAATTATTACGCTGTTACTGCATGTAATTAATACGTTGAAACTTTGCACGAAGCTCTAAAAATGGATGTATTGCCACATAAAATACTACCATAGAGCGTTTCTTGTGCCATTGTTCCCCACCACAAAAGCGGTTTTATCAGTGGTATGTGACCATGGTAAAAAACACAAAAATGGTACGCGGTGGTGGAGAACCACTGATATAGGATCGCAATGAAAAATACTGGAATCTTCCTGGTTCTGCATTGCCTTCTCCCAGGGTGAGAAAGAGAAAGGAGAATATTTCTAACTTGGTATGCCAAGCTATTTCAGTTCCAATGCTTAACCTCATGGGTGGGCAAATTACGGCCTGGGGGCCAACTGGGCAAAATACGGCCCGGGAGGGCCAATAAGGTGTTGCATCCTGCCCACTTGTGTCTGCAGACACTACGACTGTAGTTCAATGGATATAAATTGCCAATGAAAATAACGACATAATCAGGAGCGGCCAGGATTTTTCCAACGGGGGTTGCGGTGAAATTATAACGAAGAGTGCAATTCGCGAAATTTACCCGTAACTCATTGTAAGTTAATGTTAATAAATTCTATTTTGCGTTTCAATGCGCTGTGATTTGTATTAATAAAAATGAGGGAGTCTGTAAAAGAAAGTTCTTAAATTAGCTTATAACCCTTCTCTCCTTTTGATCGCCCATAACGGCGGAAAAATTCGTTCTATGCCTGTTTCATGGAAAATGGAAAATACGCCTTCCGGAATTGCAATCAACAATTACACATTCTTATTTATCATTAACAGCGCCGAATAAAAAGATAACATATCGTGAAGACGAAAAAAGTCTGGCGGTGTTAATCAAGCTATGGTGATAACGCACAGCATAATATCGTTTTGACCTTGAAACCATGATGCGCGACCGCGAAACGACGCTGTTGCTTTTTTGTGGAAGATATTTTGTATCAAAAAATTTTCCTTAGACGGGGGTTACGATCCATGTAACCCTTCCCCCCATCGCTGGCTGCGCTGCTGGTCATACCCTCTGCGATGGTTATGATGTGCTCCTTACCCAGTAACGAAGTATGTTATCTATATACCTGGCCCACTGAGAAAAGCTGGTCCACCCATGGTTTAGCTTTGACCTCGAGGCCATTTCGCTCACCACATGTAACATCACATGATGGCGCTGTTGTACAACAACTTATTTTACTTTTAACTTGTAATGTTAACAACGGTAGCGTTAATTCAAATATGACAATATCTATAAGTTCCAATATATAATGCCATGTTTCAATTATCACCTTGTTGCCACATTCTGACACTACTTTATTACTTATCGGTTTTAATCGGTAAGTATGTTGATAGGTATTTGTCTGTCTGTCTGTTAGATGCACGCGATATCTCACGAAAGAGATTGGATCTGCTGCAGATTTTGCATGTGCATTCATCATATGTCGTACCAGAAGCCTATTGATTTTGGATGAATTATGTAGTACAGGGGTGGCCAACCTTTCACATACCATGCGCCACGTTTTAAACATAATGTTTCAGATGCGCCGTAAATATCTTGTATTCCAACGCCTAATGTCCGCTTCTTGTTGAAATTATATAAATTTATAATACACACACATATATACACACGTATATGTAGTTTTTACAATTTACAACTTCACATGAATAGAAGTTAAGCAAGGAAGTATAATAAATAAAACTGATCAATTTTATTTAAGTACCGCCTTTATGAGACTTTTGCTGCTGTTTTACTTTCGCCAGTTTTTTTATTCTTGGAGTTCTATTTTTGAAAGAGTTTTTTCACAAACAATGCACAACGGTTTTCTTGACGGACCTGCAATAAATAACAACTCATTTTCCCATTGTTCATTAAATTCATGCTTACTATCAGTTTCCGCCTTTCTTTTGTTCATTTTCTTTCGCACTGTGTTGGGTAACAAAATATATAAAAGCAAAGCTTAAGTCTTGGAAAGTACACAACTGCAAATGTTTACAAACAAAAATCAACCTTTAATACACGCCTTTACACACACAAGAAGAAACTTTACCAATTAAATTTACAGAAAACCACTCATTTAGAGAATTACCGAATCACTGAATTAAACACTGAATGAATAAATTTCAATGACAGCCTCATATATATAGTTAACTCAACGAAAATTCTCGTATCCACGCAAAAATTCGAGCAATTTACGATAAACAGATTACGATTGATTACGAAACAGGGAATCATTGTGACGCCATGCTTCAAATAAAAACTACAGCCTTCCTGAAAGTAGGAGAAAAACGCATTCTGTCTTATGAGCATTACGCAATAAAGCTGTTTTTAACAACGAAGAGAAAAAGGTACGATAAAGAAGTAAAGTTAGGCGTAATATTGTGACAACAGGCCTTTAGTATCAATATTTGAACTTCATTTATTTTCCTGTTAAAGATGCAATGCGCCACCTCCAATCATGCAATGTGCCACGTTTGGCGCATGCGCCATAGGTTGGCCACCCCTGATGTAGTATAATTAATGAGTGGTTTAATTAATTAGTGATGGGACACAAGGTGTCACTATGGAGTAAGAGCGCTGTTTTGGGGGATCCCAATTTATTGTGGGGCTCCGTAAATAATTGTCAACGACTTCACGGGCTCCATAATGCTAAAAATTTGAGAACATCTGGTCTAGGCCACTTACAGAATACTTCATTTGTTCTTTTTAGTTCCACAACAAGGAAATCTCTACATAACGACAGAGTTTGGTAAAATGGTTGTCGAACCAAATGAAATTTGTATCATCCAGCAAGGAATGAGATTCACTGTGAATGTTGATGGCATGACTAGAGGATATGTTTTAGAGGTGAGGATAGAGAGAGGGAGTTATGGTGGGTACGATGGCTGAGTGGCTAGGGTGTTGGGGACTTCTACCCAACATGGCTTGGCGGTGTGGCGCATCATGCTAAGCGTTAGTGATATGCTTGCCATCGCACCTCTGATTACCAAGCGTCGGTTCGCAGGTTCGAATCTTATGCGGGATGGTTACGTGTGAGAGGATTGCTAGACTCCTCGTCGCCGTAGGGTGGTTCACGTAACTGCCGCTCGGTTACAGCTTCATCCACCATCAAGTCCATGCTTCCGAAAACAAATAACTGGCTAACTAATACTAATCCCATACCAGACATGGACTGGTAACCCAACGAGAGGCCGTGGTTCACCATATGGATAAGTCGTCTTATCGCTTATCCTCTCCCCCGAGATAAATATGTAAATCCTATTCTATCGAGTGATGGAATGTATCAGTGCTCTTGTAATATTATTTTTTATCCTAGACTTCATTATTTTTCAACAGGTATTCGGAGTTCACTTTACACTTCCTGATCTGGGTCCGATTGGGGCGAACGGTCTTGCGAACCCCAGAGATTTTTTAACCCCCGTTGCATGTTACGAGGACAGGAGTGTTGATTATACCATCATATCAAAATACCAGGTAATGCCTTGCTGTTCTCTTGCATGGCCTAATTTAAGAAGATATTCTTCGATATTCCAAAATATTATTATACAATTTTATCAGGACTCATATAGACTTGTAGTTACTGCAATTATTGGAACTGCAATCGCTTGGTTTTATAAAATGACTTTTTAATATTATTTAATATTCTTTGAATTTTAGTATATAATTTTTATCTCTATATTTATCAAATCTCATCTTGATCCTTTTCCAGTTTAAATAAATGATTTTTTTATAGAATTATTTTTTAATCTACCCGTTCCTTATTAGGATAGCAGATATCTCAATTGGTTTTCCTTCTTAAGCTCTGACCATCTCTCGCTGCTTTTGTTTTGGTAAATAATTTTTGGTCAACAGTTTTTGGTTTTTATTACATGATTTTTTCCCTACTTTCTCTGAATTTTAGTAAATGATAGTTGTGGTTTTCCTAGATTGTAGCAAATGATTTTACAAACACCTTTGGTAATTTATTAAATGATCTTTTTTTACCATTTCCTGAATTTTAATAAGTGATTGTTTTTACATTTTCGAGCTTTAATAAATGAATTTTTGCATTCGCGCAATCTCATTTTGGTGCATGATTTTTTTTTTGCGTTTCATGAATCCTAATAAGTGGTGTTTGTGACAAGTTCAGAGTTTTAGTAAATAATGTTTTTACTGATTTTCTTGGTAATTGATATATGATTTTCATTATCTTTAATTTTCATCTTTCTTTTTAGAGCAAACTCTTCTGTGCCAAACAAGACCATTCACCGTTTGACGTTGTAGCATGGCACGGGAACTACGCTCCTTATAAATATGACCTGGACAAATTCATGGTCATAAACGCTGTGAAATTTGATCACGCGGTGAGTAAACATACATTTCATCTATTCACGAGGTTCATACAAAATGTACAGGCTTGTCGGTTAGCTCAGGGGTCGGGAACCTTTTCGGTCAAGAGAGCCATAAAGGTACATATTTTCAATTGCATTTCCGTGCGAGCCATACAGAATTTTTTCCCTTAATCATGAATCAAATTTTTACCTAAAAGTCAACACATACAATGTCTCAATATACATTTAATGTGACTTTTGATGCTGCATATTGTCGCTGAGGGTGTGAACGAATGCCCACATGCAACACATTTTGAAATCGACGATCGTCATCGACTTTCTTTCTTTTAGGCATCTTCGTAGTGCTAAATGTTACGAATAAATAGTACAGACGGACAGAAGGCTTTACTTTATTGCAACTCTATCGCTTCGTGGTGTCACAAAATATGTTGCAGATAGTTTTGTCACAATGCCTGTCTGGCACTTCTCTAACAAAACATAGACGGGCGTTGAGCACGTGTACTCGAACGTATTGGCGGATGTTCTGCCAAATTTGGCAATAACTTTATAGTTTGAGATCTGGTAACAATAGTGAGCTTAGCCTTAGATTTTTCTGGGAGCCATATACCGTCACCAAAAGAGCCATATATGGCTCGCGAGCCATGGGTTCCCGACCTCTGGATTAGCCAATTGTGCTAAGTCAGTGCTGTGCAATAGGCGGGCCGCGAGTCAGCACTCAGATTTTTCTCCATACGGCTAAATAAAATCCTAATACGACAGTTTATTTTCAAAAAGGCGCTGACATAGATAAAACCACGTAATGCTTTTGTGCCTTTGTCAAATGTTATTTCTCTAAGGCTAAGCGATAGCCCTTTCACTGTGAGAATTTTTTGATTTGTTGTGTTTTTCTATATCTTGCATAGCAATTTTTCGTAGCTTCTTAGACCCGCAAGAGGCTCCACAATGTTTCACCGTCATTATTTTTTCATTCATTCAGGATCCATCAATATTCACTGTTCTTACGGCTCAATCGTTACGTCCAGGTGTCGCCATTGCAGATTTTGTTATTTTTCCTCCCCGGTGGTCGGTCCAGGAACACACATTCAGGCCACCGTATTATCACAGTAAGTAATTCTGAATCTTTACTCAAAGTAAGGGAGGCCCCCGAGTCATTCACTCGGCTTCAGTTGGGACAGAATCAACATTTATCGAATACTCAAAGACTCGGTACGCTAACTCAGTGGTTTCGAAACCCTGGGGGCCCGCATAACGATTTAATATGTCCTGCGGAACATTGTGTTTTTACATTTTTGTGTTTTTGATACCGCTAATTGTTACGTCGTTATCACAGTTTAAGCACATGTATGTTCGTAACATTTTAATTATACCGATATCTCAATTATACATACTGGAATCGACCGATGACAGCGCTTCCCTCCTGGCTTGCGAATATTCTTCCTCTTCCTAATTTTGGCCTCTTCTGTTAATCAAGTTTGGGAACCACTGCTCTAACTGAAAAGATCAGGAATTATCTGTGGGAGTATTTTGCAATAGGAATTTTTTGGGTCAACTTTTCGAGAATGTCTTGACTCAAGAAGGTGGTTTTTTGTTAATTATTTTTGAAGTATGAAATTTTCGAGTGTAATTTTCCTAGTACCATTATTTGACCTTTTCTCTACCCAGGGAACTGTATGAGTGAATTCATGGGAATTATCAAAGGCACATATGAAGCAAAAGTCGGAAGCGTGCCGGGAAGTGCGACGTTACACTCTATGATGACGCCCCACGGCCCCGATGCCGCCTGTTTCGAAATGGCTTCAAAGGAGGTTATGGAGGCAAAGTTTATTGCAGCCGGTACCCAGGTGAGAGAGAAGTTTTACATAGATTGGAAATTGAAAATAACAGTTTTATATCCCGAAGTTTATTTCGGGAACAAATTGTTTTGCATGAAATTCACTATCTATTAGTTGTTAAGGGGGCACACCCAGGGGAGTGAGGGGGATTTGGGTCGTATGTCCCCTTTTTAAAATGTAAAAAAAGCCTTTTTTCTGTAACATACATAGCAATTTTTTGAAGCTTGAAACGCTCAAACCCACGTTTTCCTGCCTCCGGTTTGACCTGCTTGCTGTTACATTTAAGACCCCCCCTCCCCTCAGTTTGAAAATTGCTGGCTTTGCCCCTGGACTGCACGGCTAACATAGTCGGATTCAATGTTTCAACGACCACACTCCCAAGGTGTTTTATCTTATTTTTAGGCATTCATGTTCGAATCTTCATTAAGTATGGCTCTCACTAGGTGGGGTAATGAGACATGTGACGTGGTTGACCATGAATACTTCAAATGTTGGGCACCGATTAAGAAGCATTTTGATCCAGACTGGAAACCAGAAGGAGAGGTAAGAGTAAGTTAGAGATCATGGGTTCGAATCCCACGCCCACCATCTCATAATTCTGTATCAACTCCAACCCGGGTTAACCCTCGAATTTCTGCCTTTGAAAAATTTGGATGTTTTCAAAAATGGGGGGTGCCTGCTCTAAAATATGGTAGCAATAACAACAAAGTGCAAGCACCAATCATATCTTTCCAAAAATGGTTGCTCATCGAATATGTTAAATATCAGAGGATATTACACTTCTGAGCAAAATTTGGGTTACCATATTAATTAAAGTCGGAAGAGAAAAAGTCGATAAGAAGGATTAATTACATTCCAAACCAATTCAGCTTCTAAATTACTAGTTAATTCACTGGTATATGGATTTAAAATACTTCCTTTTTGGCGATTTTCCCGGATCACTGATTAAAAATTATGTTTTTATTTTTCAGCAAACTCAAATGAATGAATGAGTCGCAACCCAGAAGCAAATTTTTTATTATTTACCATATTTTGCCTTTTTTATGCTTTTTATGCCATTTTTACTAATTCCACCCATTTCGTAAATTTTCTATTTTAATGATTCTGCATCGTCCAAAGAATTGTCGATATTGGCCAGATTATTGTTTTACCTATATTTTCCAAAATTTAAGTTTGCAATGAAGGTCGCACGTTAAATGTTTTGACTAATAGAGTAATTAAAAATTCACCTGGTCACGCTGTAAAGCATATCAATCTGTATATAACTAGTTATCGCATTACGCAGAAAATTAATTAATTAGCCATAATCGTACTTTTAAGCCATCCTGTATATTATTCAAGACGTAAAGGAACCAATAAGGGAACTGTAGGCAGGGACATAGCCAAGAATTTTCGAGGGGGAGGGGGGGGAGGTTCTGAAATTTGTAATTGCCAAATTAACAGGACCGGGTTTCCAAAAGTCTTGATGGTCTAAAAAGCATTCGAAGCTACGAAAAATTGCTATGTAGCATGTATGATACAATTTTTTTCTAGTTTTTTCACATTTCAAGGGGGGGGGGGTTCCACCCTGTTTTTTCAAATATAAAAAAATTATTAGTTATAGAAGAGGGTTGGGCAAGGTTTTTGAACCAGGGGCCAAACATTTGGGCCACGTAGGTGTGACGTGAAAAATTACATTTTATGAACAATATTTACAGTGTTACAAAAACAAAAGTGGAAAACAATAAGCCTTGTGCTAAAACTAAATTTAACCGCAATCTCAACAAATTCATTGAACAATTTTTCAGCTAAAACATCAAAATTTGGTTTCAGTTTGGTTGTGGCAGCATCAGGCGAGCCAGTTTGAATTACCTAGTGGGCCAGATTTGGCCCGCGGGCCGTATTTAGCCCATGTCTGTTATAGAACCTAAACAAGACACTCTCTACTTAGTCCCCCAACCCCGTGTGCACGCATCTGTAAATAATTACCAATGTTTAATGAAATCTCCAAATAATATATATAACTCCAGGTGCTCCCGAAGTATGCGAACCAAGATGGCGGACATCGGAATGTAACATGGGTAACAGGTTAGGGTTAGGCGATAATTTCTTTCCAATTTTCCTTATTTTAGTCCTATTATCAGTTCGAAGACTAGCCAAGAGCCTCCCGTAGTATTTATACCTAAAATTAAGGCCTAACCCTAACCTAGTACACATATTACATTCCGATGTCCGCCATCTTGGTTCGCATACTTCGGGAGCCCCTAACTCCACTTAATGAATGCTCTCCAATTAATTTTTTTCCTTTAATTGTACTTATAAATTTTCATTGTGATTGTGTGCTTATATCAAACTGTGTATTATTTAGAATAAAATAATTTCTTTTTTGCATTTGTTGTGATTAGAACTATCATAACATAAGATAATCAGAATCGGTGCTCCCGTAGTATGTGGATCAAGATGTCGCACAACCTGATAACCTTAACCTGGTACACCTACTATGTTCAGGTTGTGCGCCATCTTGGTGCACATACTACGGGAGCACCTTAGAATCAGGTCAGAAAATCGGTAATAACAGGCAACAAGGATGGTTCCTGATCCTAAGTGAAATTTTTTGTTTTTAAAGAATTTCAAGCCTTTTTTTTAATTATCCTCACTTAAGGCTTTGTTTGCTCTCCCGATTCTGTAATCAGTTTTATTTGACTGTTTTTATGGGAGTATTTTATCGTCTATTGCGCTGATTATGGAGTCTAAATAAACCTATACTTAATATGTATGTGCTGGCCCAGTGTCATTCAAGCTTTTGACTTTCACGACACACATGGTACGGCCGAATTTTTTCGCGGATGAAAGTTATATTGTAACGATAGTTCCGTTACGCAAGATGGCTCGTCTACGTTTGTTATGGCGGAGGGAGGCGTACTTCTTTGTTTCTATGAATACTATTTTCTCGGCCCACTCCAGTGTGTTACGTTCAGCTCGGTCAAGTCAGGATCCGTTTTTCTCAGCTGTTTTAAGTATTTCATTGTCAATACTTAAACGAGAATATCGGTCAGAGACCGAGGACTTATCGATCGAAAGTTAAGGGATTCCCCAAAACATCGCTCTTACTCCGTAGTGACACCTTGTGTCCCATCACTAATTAATCAATAACTCGCTAATTATACGACATAATTCATCCAAAATCAATAGGCTTCTGGTCCGTCATATGATGAATACGCATGCAAAATCTGGAGCAGATTCAATCTCGCTTTCGTGAGATATCGCGTGCATCTAACAGACAGACAGCAAATACCTATCAACATACTTACCGATTAAAATCGATAAGTAATGATGTTCTTGAAGCATACCATGACCCCCCATTGAGCACTTTTGTGACCCCTCGCTCTTGTGGGGGGAAAATCGCCCAGTTCGAAAAGCCCCGCCAAAAAAGACCAATCTGAACGAAATCCCCCCCTAATTTTAAATCTTTTTTATTGTGTTTATACATCTACATTGTGTGAACAAACTTTAGTTTTTTTGCGTTTGTTGTTTCTGGAACAAAACCTCACATCTGCGTTAAAAGTTTGTGTTGTGTCTACGTATCATACCGCGTTTCTTTTATTGGTGGATACGTCTAGCGTGGCCGTATACGCCCGTTACTTTGTACTGTTTATTTGTAATATTTAGCACTACGGAGATGCCTAAAAGAAAGAAAGTCGATGACGATCGTCGATTTCAAAATGTGTTGCATGTGAGCATTCGTTCAAGGCCCTCCGCGACAACATGCAGAATCAAAAGTCCCATTAAATGTATATTGAGATATTGTATGTGTTGACTTTTAAGTGAAAATTTGATTCATGATTAAGGGGAAAAATGCTGTATGGCTCGCACGGAAATGCAATTGAAAATATGTAGCTTTATGGCTCTCTTGACCGAAAAGGTTCCCGACCCCTGGTCCAGCGCCACAAGAACGCGTGAATTATCCGAGGTGTGACGGCAGGCGTCTTCCCAACAATCGGCGCGACGAGAACTGCCGAGTTGTCAAGTACTCCAAAGATTTTCAGAGCTAATAATTTGACACGCATTTGCAGCATATACTGAGTGCATATAAAGTAAATTCAACGAAATTGGTGCAATGAGTCAAAGAAATTTATAAAAATGAAGATCCGAAAATGTCTTCAGTCCTCTGGTTGATTTGCATTTTACTTGGATCTGTGGTGACATCTAGCGAATTCGTCGGCGAAGATACGAGAAATTCGGTATAAGATTCTAAAGAAAATAAAACATAGCTTACTCAAGTACAAAAACTAAAATGCGGCGAAGTCGGGTAAGACGTTTTTGACAACGCGACGGTATAGCGTTAGACTAAAAAAGTTGTTACTCATCAAATCGTAGCTAGGATTTTACAAACGGGATTGTGAAATATCTTATTGCCAAATTAACAACTAGTGTCTGGACTCTTGAGGGTCTGAAACGCGTTCCAAGCTTCGAAAAGTCGGTATGTATGATACAAAAAAGCATAAAGAACGAACCCTTGCTAAGATAAATCACCATCAGGGACATTATAAAATGACCTATTTTCATTGAATACGGCAAATTATACAAAGGGGCTAAATAGCACTGAAGTTCATAGTTACATTCCTCATTCGCTACAGATGCATTGATCATTTTTGAAACGTTTGAAAAAGCAATTCTAGGTCAGACAATTCCTGCCCGGAAGCTCATAAACTAAAAATTCATCTTATTCAAGTGGAGCAATGACATTGTTGTGTTGGGGCTCCCGAAGTATGCGAACCAAGATGGCGGACATCGGAATGTAATATGTGTACTAGGTTAGGGTTAGGCCATAATTTTAGGTATAAATACTACGGGAGGCTCTTGGCTAGTCTTCGAACTGATAATAGGACTAAAAGAAGGAAAATTAGAAAAAAATTATCGCCTAACCCTAACCTGTTACCAGTGTTCCCTCTAAGGTGTGCGCGTGTGCGCGCGCACACAGCTTTCAGAGGCTGCGCACACACATAGATTTACTGCGCACAGACGTATTTCGATGTAATGTAACAATGTGCTCGGTTGGCAGGTTGCGAAAGTTTGTTGTTGGCCCACCTATTACCCCATTAGAACGCCAAAATTTCTTCATTGGTTTTTGCACAAATATTAGTAATTTCCAAAAAAGTGCGCACACACCAAAATTTCTGCGCACACATACTACAAAAAATTAGAGGGAACATTGCCTGTTACCCATGTTACGTTCCGATGTCCGCCATCTTGGTTCGCATACTTCGTGAGCACCGTTGTGTTTCATTGAGTGGAGGTACGAAGTTGGCAAGGCAACTAAATCACGTGACATTCCACGACCTCTCATTCGGATAATTTACTACTTCGGTACCATTGATTAATTTGAACAATGAAAAAACTCCAAATATCGTGAAAAACGTTGTAAAAACAGGGAACAAACTACCAAAAGTCGCAAAAAACACCAAAACCTTTAAAAACGTGCAAAGAAAACAGTAAAAAACCGCGGACATGGGGAAGCCGACGAGCGGTCTCATGAACCACCCTCTAGCAGCAAACTGTCCAGCTTTTCGCATATAGGTATCTTGAATGGGATTATTGCCTCTAACTGCACTCACCTCTTCTGAACAGGGAACGGTGCCGGGATCATCAGTATCATCCAACAGAGAATCAAACAGCTCATCCATCTATGGCGGTTTCTGTGTAAAATATGAAACATAAAATAACCTAAAGATATAACCTCTAACCCAGGGATGGTAAGATTTTTGAACCTGGGGCCAGGCAGAAATTTTGTTGGCGGAAATCTAGACTGGCGGCCCATGTAAGTGTGACGTAAAAGTTACATTTCATGAACAATATTCACAGTGTTACAAAAGCAAAAATGGAAAACAATGAGCCTTGTGACGAAACTAAATTAAATCGCAATCTCAATAAATTTCTTGAGCTATTTTTAGCCAAAACATCAAAATTTGGTTTTAGTCTGGATGCGCAGCATCAGGCAGGCCAGATTGAATTACTCAACAAGCCGGATTTCGCTCGCGGGCCGTAGTTTGTTGATGTCAGCTCTAACCGGTCCTTTCATCTAATATACCCTTTGTTATTTATTGAGACAAGTAGGACATTTTGCGATACGAAAAGATCATGTAAGGTATGTAAAATTGATACCGTAGCCAGTTACAAAGCGTAGCCAGCCCAAAATTTGGGAGGGGCCGAATTCTTTTTGTGTAATGACGTAATACGACGCTCACTCGTGTCTTTTGCCCCGAACAAGGCTAGATAAAAGTAGTCAGTTATATCTAACAATATCTTAAAAATTCGCTCTAATGATCTTTTTCGCTGTCGAAGTTATCCAAGGCACATAAGCACGAATTTTCATCCATCTGGTTTGGTTCATTTGGTAAAAGGATTATTGATAGCAAGCCAGAAAATGTCCGGTTTTCAGGAAACCGTTCAAGAATAAAGCAAAATAGTGTTGGAATTTATGTCTAACTACAAATGACGCAAAATTGCATTCAATTTCTGGCGGGCCATAACCACTCAGCCCACGCCCTCTGGCTAAGCCTGTGAGCCAGTGGTATAGGATGCCGTGACGGCGGTCATGTAAAGTAAACCATCCTACGACAGCGAGGAGTCCAGAAATCCCGTTTCACACAAATTTAAACAAATATTACCTTTCAGAAAATAGAGATGAATGCGCTTCATATTTCGCTACCATCACGGGTTTGTTTGCGTGGCAAATCTTCGTTTTATGATAATTCCTAACAAGATTCTTCAGGATTCCGTTCTGTGTAAAATTGGGCGGCATCTTGAGATTCGTATTCAAATTACAATATTGTGACTAATTCTGGAAAAGAGGAATTACAATTGTGTCTGTTTTCAGCAGTTTATTTTTTCGCCAAACTGTAAATACAATTTGTACAAATAGAATGTAAAATGAAGCAAAAATCGCATTCCAAGGGAGACATGGAAGTTTAATTAGGCTATCATTTTCGCCTAAATCGCGAACAGACATCGGCTGGTAATAGAAACCTATTTTGAAACGTTCCAATAAGTCCTTCATTATTTCGTTTTTCTGGTTCACTATCAGATCGTACAAACGGACGCTTAAACCCTACCACATCACTCGCCGTCGCCAGTGATTCACTCTCTCAAACACTGAACTGACTTCGAATTGGTCGCAGGAAAACGGCATCTCTTTTACAGGGCTCTCGAGACGTTGGCCGAATGAACTCTCCGTTCCCGAAGGTTACTCCGTGTCAAATTTTCTCTTGCTTGTTATGGCGCAATGACTTGTAGTACTTTCCACTCTCGGTCACTTGAAAAACGAACACTTCACTTGTTGGATGCAAAGGTCCATAGGTGCAATCAAAATGTGGGTTCTGTAATTTGTGGGTCCAAAAGTATGCAGGTTCAAATGTACCGTAACCATTTATGTGTGCTATTAAGTAACATAGATAATTTATAACTCCGCCATGATACAAAAAAACACAATAAAATCTCACGTAACAGGAATTCAGTGCTCAAATTTATTATTGTTTTCCGCTAGGTCAGATTGCCCATGCTGTGCTGTGTGTTTGTCTTGTATGTTGTTAATCTTTGGTACCCTGTCGCAGTTTAAAATAAATTATTCATCTTTCTGAGACCCGGGAACCATTTGTCGGCAACTTAAAAGTCGACTTGTTCCACGCAGACTAAGCTGCGATGAGAGCTCGTTGTTCACAACTCGTATCTCCTCGTTGTGTGTTTCTTTTTTGATGACTATGTGTATTATGCCAAAATCGATAAACCCATTATTTAAAGCACGGTATCGGGATGTATGATTTTAAAGTTAAATATGCTTGACATTGGCATTATGCTTTGAGTAATGATGTGTAGCATAGATAAAAGTATATATTATAATCCTAATATTTCACAAATACACTTCGTTTTACGTCGTGCTTCAATGGTCCATGTCATTGGAACGAAAAACTGGTTAAATATTTCAATATCCGACGCGGACTGGTAACCGAAAAAAAAGGCAGGGGTTCCCCATATGATTGAGCTGCGCTATCCCTTTTCATTTTCCCGCTAAGATAAATATGAAAATTCTCTTTTATGGTAGCCAGTTTTCTGTCACTTTCGCCGGTAATTCATGCAAAGTCTTGTAGCTGAAAATCGTAATCGCTATAACGACTATGGGATTTGGTGCGTGGCGGTTGCTATGTCAACCTCCTTGTTGCTGTGATTCTCGGAGCGATTGCACTTCGTTTCGGGAAATAATGTCACTGTGGCCATAAATCGGCGTTTTTGAAGTGGAATAGTCGATAAAGTAAGTGTAATTTGTTTGTAGTTGAAGTGTCTTAAATTATACCGTGTTTTTCGGAAAATAATACTGGGTCTTACGTCAATTTTCTTCCGAAAAATACCACTACTGCGCTATCATTGTCTATCAGACTATTATTTTCGGGGGATGTCTTTTATTTTCATTTATCAAAAACAAAAATACAAAGTAGAGAATTACGAGATTCTCAAATATACAAAATAAGAAAACCGATATCCATTTACTTATAAATACCACGTTTTTATTCAAAAAGGGTGCCACGTAGATTCGTACCTAACATACTTATAGTGGTTGTAGCATAACAATTTTTTTTCACTTGTCAATCATAACCCCCATCTGACTACGCCATTCAAAAATTACATCACTACGACGTAATAGAGCCCTTCAAACTATACGAACTGTCATCCAAGACGTGCAGACGAGAACCCAAAATTGAACAGCAATTTCTCTCGTTTTCTCGTCGCAGCGATCCCGATGGGAGAGAGAGCGCTGATGTTAGTCAGTTCATTATCATCTGGGTCGACGCCATTTCGGGCGATTGTACGTGTATTTGACAAGCTCGTGATTGTGACGTCGTAATGACGTAATTTTTAGATAGCGTAGTCAGGTGGGGGTTAGGATTGACAGGTCAAAAAATTGTTATGCAACGTCCACTAGAAGTACGATAGGTACGAAACTACACGAGACCCCAAAATAACCGCAAAACATAGATTATTAATCATTAGGAACGTGTAGGAGAGATTGTAGTTATTATTTTCAGGGAAACACGAAAGATCAAGTGTTACGTCACCCTAAAGTGGTATACTCCAATTCGCCTATTTTACGCTTTAGTGATTTCTTAGGCTAATACATTTTATATGTAACAAAATTGTATAATTATTTGGTAATGCATAACCTAATTATCTTAGGTAGAATATACCACACTGTAATAATCACTTCAAGGGGTTTTTCATATTTTTCCTGGAGGGGAGAAAAACTAATGAGACTACTTAATCATATTGGCTAATTCAAGCAGGGTAATCAAATGACGAGCTTATTCCTGATGCTTACTATGATGCGCCATACCGCCAAGCCTCTTATTTCCCTTTTAATTAACTACCAAGTCTTAAATTTTGATGCTCAATTCCTTTTCTTTCAGGTTGTAGAGCAATGGAGTCATCAATACCGCAACATGGTCAAACTATTCTCGGCGATAACTTCAACGAAGATGAAACAGAATTACAATTTCTAAAGTCAAAACCAACATGCTTTATTGTTCTTGGAAAACCTGTGAGTTTTCACTATTTATTATTTTTTTCATTGTTCTAATGTCACAGAGTTGGGCCACAAGCTTATTAAAAATTGCTTCATTTTTTTCCTTGCCTGCTTCCTATCCTTCTTTATTTATTTATTTGTGGCATCATATTTAAATTTTTATTGTAGGAACAATGAATGATGATGCCGCTTTTCGTGCTAATCATTAAAGTATAAGTATTTATTTTTGCGAAATTTTTTTTTGTTTTCCTTGTTGTTATTACCTTGCATGAAAAAGTATATCGGCCACTGAACTTTAAGGCAACGAAAATCGGCCACAAAAGGTTATAAATATCATAATTTCATTTTCTTCTAGGGTTGTGGTAAAACTACTATTTCTCAAAGACTAGCGCAGATGTGGAGATGTGAACTTGTGCATGGTAAGTTGACTAAATGATGAAAACAACTTTTTATCAAAATAATATCCAGGGTTATGATCTGATTCTAAAAAGTTTGAGTCCATGCTGTTGCGGGTCGGAAACCCCTCTCCTCCCTCTTTTGAAATGTACAAAAAAAGCATTTTTCTGTTTTCATACATCCCCTTTTTCATAGCTAAAAGCACTTTTTAGACCCTCAAAGCTCATGGAAACTGACGTTTTTCGGCCTTCGACCGAACTCGCTAATATAGCAATTGCAAATTTTACAAGTCCCACTCTTAGAAAATTACTGGCTGCTCCCTAGATTAGCCTGATAAATTCCAAATACTTGAATATGAATGGCTAGAGGGCTATCACTACTTTTATTAGACACAAACTGTACTTATTGCTTATCGATTTTGATCGGTAAGTATGTTGATAGGTATTTGTCTGTATGTCTGTTTGCCTGTTAGATGCACGCGATATGTCACAAAAGCGAGATTGAATCTACTCCAGATTTTGCATGTTGTGCATTCATATTATCCCGGACCAGAAGCCTATTGATTTTGGGCGAATTATGTCGTATAATTAGCGAGTCATTAATTAATTAGTGATGGGACACAAGGTGGAGTAAGAGCACTGTTCTGGGGATCCCTTAATTTTCGATCGATAAGTCTTCGGCCTCTGACTGATATTCTCATTGCTATATTATTGTTCTGTTGTTCTTATGGTCCTAATCTCTCCTACATAATCTCTGGTTTAGTTTGTTATTTCATACGGTACCCACTGTAAATATAAGGTATTTCAAAACTCTTGGATTCATACTTTTTAATTAGATATTAGAACCGTGAGTGTCGCTGCTCGATAACCAGCTTTGGTTCCCCACGACTTCCCTCCCCAGTAAAACTGTGTAAATTCTATTTTTGTAGTAATTTATGATTGTTATATTTTTTACTGGTTGGAAAAAATAAACTTGACTTGACTTGACGAAGTGTACTTATTGCTATATTATTGTTCTCATTATTTTTGTTGTTTTTTAAGAAAATATAACCTTTCTCACACTACGAAACCAATCGATTCCAAATTTTCAGTACCGGTACTTGAAAATGAAAAAAGTCACTAGAAGGCTATTCTTGGGTCCTATGCAACTTGATTTTTCTGTGTAGTCATGGAAACAGATTTTGAAATCAGTTTCTTATTTTCTCTCATTAGTTCTTCATAGTGTCATTAGCTCACTGCATTTTAGTGGCATCAAGTCCATGCATCCGAAATAAGTAATTATGTAACTAATCCCATACCTGACATGGACCGGACGAGAGGCCGTATGATTAAGCTGTCTTTACGAGTTTCCACTCTCCAGAACGAATATGTAAATCAAGGGTCGGCAACCTACGGCCTGCGGGCCGAATCCGGCCTGCGGAGTACTGTAATCCGGCCTGCGACGCTTCACTGAATTATAGTAACAAAGCAGCTGTTTTGACGATTATAATCTTTACGTAACAGAATTTATTGTGAGACATGTGTAGACTAAATTATATTATATCCTATCAAGTATATATTTCACAATTACTCGTTCAATTAGCCTATAATTTCATTATAATTAGACAATTGGCAACAAAACGCAAAAAATCTATATTCTAATCGAGAGATGTATCACTGCTTGATTTTTATTATAAATAGTATCATCCATATATGCGGCCTCCCAATGACTTGCAATTGTAACCCTTAATTTTGGCCCGCGAGTGACAAAAGGTTGCCGACCCCTGATGTAAATCCTATCCTAGTAGTCGTCTCTAGCTTTGCTTAGAGACCAATCTCTTTTATATCTGAGTGAGTTCTTTTGACTTCGCTCTGAGCAAATATCCTCAAAAATATTTTCCATTTCTTTCCGAACCTAGGCACAGAGATGATACAGAATGAGATGGAAATGTCGACTGAAGTTGGAAAGAAAATGCATGAACTGTTGCTGAAGGGGGAAGCTCTGTCCAGTGAATTTGTGATGCAACTTATAAGGTGAAACTCACATAGGCAGCAGTCCTTTTACACCCGGGGTGCACAACACGGGGCACGCGTACCAAATTTGGCACGCCATACGCTCAAACATGGCATGCGCACGATTTTGTAAAAAAAATATTTATGACATACATTAAAATATCACGTTTATATCAATCAGAAGAATTCCTTGTTTACTTCGTGACATTGGCCAATCAGCAAGATGCATAAAGTGACGTAATATCGCTTCCGCTCAAACACTTTTTTCGCTCAGACAGATTTTAAGACGTGGCTGTAAACATTACCTCGTTTTCGCGTTTTTGAATTCTATTCGTTAGTTTTTAGTTGTGTTTCGGATATGTAAATATATATCAAATAATTGAATGATCACTTTGTCTTTTTAGGGGTTTCAGTTTAATTGCGGTAATCGAAAATTAATGTAGATATAGCTCTGAAAGACTAGGCTAAAATTCTTTACCGGTTACCAGAATGATGGCTCGAAACAAATATCCCATTTTACAGGCGCCAACTCGCGTAACCACTCTTAAAATAAGCACCGAAAATTTGAAAAAGTATAGCAAAAGAAGAATTTCACGGGGGTCAAAGGTCGGGAAAAGGTCCATACCAACGATTGTGCGTGGCACGCGACAAGAATATTTGGAAAAATTTGGCACGGGTCCTCATTTGAGTTGTGCACCCCTGTTTTACACAACTTGATGTAAAGTAAAAGAACAAAATTAGTTACTTCCATATTGGTACACACACTTCTGGAGCGCCGATTTGTCAAGATAAATGAAATAATTTGTATATCAAAAAGCCACATTAAATGCATTTTCTAACAAAGTTCTAATCTGATCTGAAACAAATAACTACCTAACTAATTCTATACCCGACATGGAATTGTAACCCGACAAGAGGCCATGGTTCGCCATATGGTTAATCTGTCTTATCGGATTGGCATTCCCCCTGTATAGATATGTAAATCCTATTATATTTCTAATCTGAACCCTTTATAATTATTATTATCGTGGCTATGTATAGATTTTAGATATTTAGTGGCAACCAGTGTTCACTATTAGCGCACTTTTTTGCGAAAATTGCGAAACACTTTCGCAACTTTTTTTAGGGACTGCGAAATAGCACTTTTTTCCGATTTTGAAGAGAAAAAGCACTTTTTTCCGATATTGAATGGAATAAAAATTCAAAGTTAACAAATATTTTCGAGTATTAAGTTGACAAATAAGTAACATACTAGTACTTTTGTAACTCAATTCTGCATATCATAACGATATTTATCGGAATTCTAACCTATGAGATGCAGACAAAGGAGATAGAGCTTTTGCATTAACGGCAAAATTCTTGTTTATAATATGATTATTATACAAGCACACCGATTCCGCTTCTCCCGCAAAAAACGCTCCCGGGTGTTTGAAACCAGATGTTGGAATACTAGGCAGTGCGTTTCTTTGAAGGTCATGTGACTATCAATGATATCGATGAATTCAAAATGACTATAAAAGTGTTAAGTAACGTGTTATAGTCACTTTGGATGAATTGTGACCAAACTGCACGATTTTCAAATCAGACGAAACTTTTAGCAGCATGTCACAGATTTGCAAAATCACCAAATTCACAAAATACCATTAAGTGCCATTTTATTGTAATCACAATGTTGAAAGGACGTGGCATTTTCCGGAATTTTGCGATATTTACACAAACTATTCCTCATTGATATGCGAGGACAGGTGGGCAAAATTCAATATTTTTTTGAATCGAATATTTTTAAGGAGTACCGAATAAACGTGGTGGAAACATTAAAAAATCGGCAATAAAGCCTTTTTACTGGTTAATTCCGTTGTAATGGCTAATTGTTCTTGTCACCGATCGTTTTGGCGGCGATATCCAGGTTTTGGGTAATCTATATTCCCGCCTTCTCCTTTTTACAAATATGAATTCTTGTGGGTCGCGGTCATCAAAGTTTTATATTTCGGGTTTACCCGTTCGTTCACATCGGCAACAGCTGTTGAAGACATTGAGGACTCAAATTAACATTTGCGTTGGCTTTAATATTACCTATCAAGATTTGTAAATTTACCGTCCCAATTTTATGGGAATGGTAATATTATTGTCCATACCGTGATGCAGATATTTATTAAGACGATAATTAACTTTGTCATGTATTTCTATGGTGATAAACTTCGCAACCTGAAATTGTGCCAATCCTGATGTTTGATTTAAAATAGTGATTGAATAATTCGGCAATAAAGGCATTTCTGCGTGGTCATAGACGAGATGCGTTAATGAACGGCACTTCTTTTACAGGATATTTTACGTATGCGACTTAATGCTAAAAGATTGGGCTCGAGTGCTTTTTTTTCGAGTGCTCGAGTGCCTAATAGAGGTCAGGCGCTAATTGTAACTAATTCCCTCAAGTTTCAACGTGTTTTCAACAAAACAATACCCCGGCGATAATTATAGCTAAAATGTTACCGAGCAATTCACAATTTTATTTATGGAATTTGCAAATTCACCAGTTTCTTGACGATTTTGATATTGTCACGCCCTAATTATTAGTGCAAAAAATACTCCCTTCTTCCGCGGCGGTTTGACGGGTTCTTTGTTCATTCTTCAGAAAGTTCTGACACGGGGATATAGAATACTGAATCCGGAGGGTTGAATCCCTGTCCACTTACTGGTGATTTTCCGTTTTGAAATGCGTGAAACATTCTTATTTTAAATTAAATGACGTTTCGCGGGCTAGAGTTCTCCCCGAAAATGATGTGTTCCAGACGTTAGTTAGACGATAGATAAAACATTAGATTATTAATTTTCGTGACGTCCCGTTTTCGAAAATACAAAGTTATATCGTAAAAAATGCGTTATGATACATTTGGAATGAAACATTATTTACGGTTAATTCAGATCATATTTTACTCTCCATGTCACCCGCTATCCGAAAATACAGTTGTATCTCGAAAAATGTGTTTTGTTACATTTAAAATAAAACATTTTTGCGATTAATTTAGATCATATTTTACCTTTCAGGACACCCGTTTTCGAAAATACAAGGTTATATCGCAAAATGTGTTTTGTTACATTTAAAATAAAACATTTTTGCGATTAATTTAGATCAAATTTTCCTTTCACGGCAACCCGTTTCCGAAAATACAAAGTTATATCACAAAAAATGCGTTTTGTTACATTTATTTTGCATTCCCAATAAAATACATATTTTCCCTAATTAAGGTCGTCGATGAATCTGTTCCTGTCGTTCAAGCTCGACACACGTTTGGACGAGTGTGGGGCGGTTTTTTTCGACGATTTTATTATACGATATATTACTGATTAAGATTTTATAATAGAAGTGAATTTGTCTCAAGATGGTATTTTACGATTCCTGCCCACAGAAAATAAACACGCTGACAGGCTTGGTTATAATTGATATTCGTTTAATTTTTTTACACTATTAATAAACGCACCACACCAATTGCGACCATATAAATTGCAGTCGCATCGGTATGGACTGTATGTTTTTGGCGCTCTCACATTAATAATAATTTTCAACAAAACAATACCCCGACGGTCATTAAAGCTGAATTCGTTACCGAATAATTCACAATTTTATTTACGGAATTTGCAATTTCAAGATCTCACTTGACGATTTTGATGATGTCATGCCCTAAATTTTACTGCTTAAATGCCTCAAAATACAACAAATGTAATCATTTTCGACGATAACAGGCGCAACAATTCGTAAACGAGCCGTTATAACGAAATTCGCGATTGATTTTACCTCTCTCTTGTTTACAATTTTAACATCCCGCCGGCCATGTATGGTCGAATAAAATGTTCACATATTCGAAACATGACTTGGCCAAGGATGGAAGGGATCACTAAAGAGCTAATAGAAAGTACATACGCGAGGGTATGATATTAATATCGAGAATATTTGTGAGCATATCACAGGACGGAAATATTTTGCACCCGGCTGTTTGTTGGCAGAACAACGATACGCTAAAGTTAATTGATCGAATACAGGGAAGTATTTATTTATCATCTCACTTGCGAACATCGAGGTTTTGGCGGAATTGTACGATCATGTTGTCTTTCTTAAATAATAACTTTTTCAATAAATGTTCATTTTACTTTTGCGTCTTTATTATATGTCGGGTTTTCATTTATTTTAAATTCGAAATTGTCCGAAATACCCAACAGGTGTATAAGTACAATAATATAGTACTTACCAAAGTACTTACCAGGGAAGTTTAATACACACGATGTGTAAAGGGCGTCGTAACTCCCGTTTTTAATTTAAATTTTTTTACATTCTGCTTAAAAAACAACGGCAGCATCTCACGTAACTCTCGCGACCAAATCTTTTTGTTTTGTATGGCATCGTCTTGGCGACGAATTTATTGCCGACTGAATTTTAATTGTGTTTTAGGATAAGTTATTTTCTGTTTGTTGGTTTCTAAACTTTACAAACTTGGGTAGCAATTACTATTAACCCTGCTAAAACGCTTAATGTGAGATTTGTGCATATGAACGATTGAATATCGTGACTGGATGTCCGATATCTGAGAATGCGTAATTCTCTTTCAACATTAATTTTCAGAATATCAGCGTTCATGTGGTCGAATAAAAATTATTTATCAAATGGATTGGTATTTCGAGACACTCTCAAAATTATTTGGGATCCACTATCATATCATTCGTTTATTTTTTTATTCATGTTTTTCTCAAGAATCACCCTCTTATATTTAGTGTACCTTCGCAAAAGAAAACTCTTTGGTGTCATCGTTCCTATTAGTGTAATTGAAATATATGGAAACCTCGCAAGTGGCGTTGTGATGCGAATATTTGATACTAAGTCAGCAGCATTACAAAGAGTGCTATTTATGAATGCTGAAAGTACATGACATTACTAAACATTTTGCCAATATATGATGTTTTCTGCCCGATTTAAACTAACTCGCACGCAAACCAAGGCATGTCGACATTTAAAAATTACTTGTCTTTGGGTAAGCTCTGAAATAGTATAATATAAATGTAAATGAGAATTAGGTCACGCTAGCTCACGAAACGGGAGGATTTTCAAAGTGATCTTGTGTAATATTTCGGAGAAAAAAGTTTGAAAGGAAAGTAGGTCAACCTATCTCCTAAAACAGGGGAGTATCCTGCGTAATATTTCGGAGGGAACGTAGGTTAACCTATCTTTTAAAACAGCGGGTGGCGACTTTCAAAGTGGTTCAAAATTAATAATTATCAGATTAGGTTTAGGGATAAATCGAAAAGTTGAATTTCCAGCGCACCTAACCCTAATTAGGCTATTTATATTTGGGGGATTATTTTGCACGGGATTTGTACAAACGATCCACCCTGTAACTAATATGGTTTCCAGCCTGCCTCGTGTCTGTTAGATGGAAGGAGTAACAAATGTGAAAGTCTTTGCTGTTTAGGCGAGTAAGCAACTGACACCGTGATACATTGCATGAAAGTTTTGTCCGCGGCAGGTGTTAGCAGATGTTATTTCGTTGCCGATGAATTCGCTTGTTTTAATTAAACATGAATTCGCTTAAAGGGAACTCGGTTAACGAAAAGGCTTCTCTTTAATTCATAATATTAACCGGAGGAGCGCTTTTTCGAGTATCTATGCCGTTTTAAATGGGTTATATGAAAGGCTAGGGCACATAACTTGTGAAAATCGGCAAAAGCACTTTCGCACTTTTTTTTTCGACTGCGAAGCACTTTCGCACTCATAATTTGCTTAGAGTTAACACTGGTGGCAACGACCATCAGCTCTTTCTCAACCTCAAATTGAAGGGTTAGGGGCTTCAACTTCTCAAACTTTGCATTCTTCTACATCTTAACCCTTTATAATTATTAACCCTCTAATTTCAGAGAGAAAATTCTCTCACCAGAAGTCCAGCACCATGGATATGTTCTCGATGGGGTTCCGTGCCAAGATGAAGACGTCATGTCTGTCCAAGACCAAATCAAAATGGTCAAGGGATGGAAACTTAAGCCGGATTTTATTATCAATATAAAGGTAATTTATGGTAGGGGTTAAGTGGGACTTAGTGCCTTCCCATTCCTCTATGCCTTTATGCTAGTGGATCCATATGCGTATAATGCAAGGTTGCCGTAGCAGGAATAAATTTACCATCCTTGTAATTCAAGAGTCCTGCTGCATAATAACAAAAATGGGTGCTCCCGAAGTATGCGAACCAAGATTGCGGACATCGGAACGTAACAGGTTAGGGTTAGGCGATAATTTATTTCCAATTTTCTTTATTTTAGTCCTATTATCAGTTCGAAGACTAGCCAAGAGCCTCCCGTAGTATTTATACCTAAAATTATGGCCTAACCCTAACCTAGTACACATATTACATTCCGATGTCCGCCATCTTGGTTCGCATACTTCGGGAGCCCCCCAAAAATGATTCCTTGGAATGTTTTGGTATGAATGATAATTTTTTGTAAGGGGGTGGTGGAGGAATCTGAAAGCTGGGGGGGGGGGGGGCAAAATTGGTAGCGGAAGACATTCCCTGACTCGTATGTAATCCTGATCTTAATTCATTAATTTAGATAACGGTATAATTGAATTGTTATGAATATTCCATGTTCAAACTGTGATCACGACATAAAAATTGGCATATCTAGAACGGCTTAACAATAAAAAACATAAAGTGGTAAGCTATTTCACTCAAGTTTAGCGAACCATATTAAATTGTTACGTGGGCCGTTATTGACCCGGGGGCCGCGATTAGGGAACCACTGCTTTGGAAATTATATTAGACAGTCAGGTACTTGAAGACAGTGCTTGAACTTGTTTTGAATAAATTTTTCGATATTTTTTCACTATTTTTGCTCGTTTTGGCAAAATTTCTAGTGCTTTTTGACAGTTTTTCACTGATTTTGATCATTTTTGCACGTTTTGGCATAGTTTTTAATGGATTTTGAAGGTTTTTCACTGTTTTTGCAAAAAAAAAACATCTATATTTTCATATTTATCCCAGATTCCTGACATGGATCTAAATGAGCGTCGTGTTGGCCTCCGAGTTGACCCTATAACCGGTGATTTATATTGTCGCGAACAATGGGATCCAGACCGTGCTCCGAAGCCCCCAAAATCCCCCTCACTTGGGGAGGAAGAGGGGGAAATAGATGAAGAGGAAGAGGAAATAACGGATGAGACAGAAGAAGTGGTGAGTGACATCTAGTGTTCATTTTATATAAGTTCAGTCATTTTTTTCTTGGAGATGAGTCTCTTTACTTCTGAGTGAGTGCCCGTAACTTTGCTCAGAGATGAGTCTTCTTTACTTCTGAGTGAGTGCTCGTAACTTTACTCAGAGATTAGTCTGTACTTTTTCGTGAATGCACTCACATTGAGCAAATTTTATAATAAAAAATGACAGTTCTATGGCTATGTCTTCTTATCTTTCTACCAGCCAGATTGGGCATTGGATTAGTTACCCAGTAATCTAGCAATCTTCTCTCAAGCTAATAAATATAGTGTGGCATTTCTCAAACTGTGTTTCATGGAATACTGCTGTACGCAAGTTTCTTCGACGGTCAACAGAACAGGGATCACCATGGCAATCAAATTGGTCGCCATGACAATCTCTGGCGTACTTTTTAATATGACCGTAGGCTACATTTTTGGGGAACCAGGTATTAATTTTACCTTCTAATTTCTTGGATCTCCGCAATGCGAGTTAAAAAGCGTAAGTGTTCTGGGCAAAAAAGTTTGAGAAACGCAGATTTAGTGTGTTGAATTTCACGATTATTTTTTCGTTACAGACAGTAACAGAATTCTTCGAGGTTGACGTGGAAACGAAAGAACGACTCGTCAAATTTCCTGAAAATTTACCAGAATATGTGACTCAGCATACTGAGATGTTCAAGGATTTAGCCTTGAAGCCGTTGGAGGTTCGTTACAATTTCAATTTTGCAGATCTTCTCTATGAGCACGGCTCTAGACAAGCGGAATGGGATTTAGTATGTTTTGATGTATCAGATTCACCTAATTGTACTTATTCCAGGGGGAGGCCAATGGGATGACTCAATCACATGGCGACCTAACGAATTTCGTTACTGAAAGATGGTATAAGTCCTCAAATTATAGTGTTTTAAATAATGGGAACACCTTTATATAGTACCTAGTACAACTCTTTAAACATTTAGCTGAAATTTCACTTTTATTGCAGTATCATTAATAAATGAATAATTACTTAATCATTGCTCTCTCCTTTTTTTCTAGGAATACATGGCTGACCACGACCAGCAATATTTAATAGAATTAGACGGTAATCTCACTCCTAATATGCTGTTTCAACAACTGGTTAACAAACTGGATACCTACGTTCTGAGAAGAGCCGCAGTGCCTATGAGGTTGCAGAATCCAGATGAGGAAGAGCTACCTGATGAAATTGAGACGGTTAGTTGGAAGTCGGGGGGTTTGAATCTTGTGATGACTGGGTATTCCTAATGCTTAGTACAATGCGTCACACCTCCGATCCAAGTTAAAAATGAAAATTTAGGATTTCGCATTTGAGTCAGGGCTGGCTGTGGAATTGGGGAAAATTTACAACCTGCTCAAGCTCTCGTGGGAACACAATTTTTGATCATGAAAACTTTAATAAATTTCAACAGACTAAAAGGACCCTTAGTCAACTCGATAAATTTGGACTTCAATTATCAGCTCTAAAAGTCAGACCTTTAAAGCTTTTAAAAACTCATGTTTTATGAGCGGACCCTCTAGCTCAGGGTGGTCCAAGGTTGTCGGCTCCGCGGGACACAAAATTAGTTCGGCATTGGTCGCGGGCCACAATAGTGCCAAGAATAGGTAAGGTGTTCAGTCACAGTAGTGATATAACAACAAGATGTCAAACAATTTTTCTGATTTATTTCATGAGAAGCTATATTAAAATACAATGTTTTAATTACTCTCCGAATGCGGCGCGGGCCACAGATAATGGAGCAGCGGGCCATATGTGGCCCGCGGGCCTGGGTTTGGACCACCCTGCTCTAGTTCATACAGTTTAACTTCTCAATGGAAATTTCAGAACCTTTCCATAGCAAATTCCATGCTATGCTCCGTCATCCTCAAATTGAAGTTTGTATTAAATATTTTCAGGAAGAACTTCTACGCACTCTTGCTGCTTATCAAATGCCCGCACCAAGGTATAGATGGAGAAGAAGTAAATGGGGGAGGATATGCCCCGTTGCACTCAAAGAAGGGAGTATTTTACAGGTAAGATCTATCAGTGGTGGCTCATACAGAACTTTGTTCAAAATGGGGGCATAAAATGGGCCCCAGGGCTCTAAGAGAGAAACTCAGGGGCTCTGCAAGCTATTCATTTACTCATTAAAACACTGAATATTTGTAAAGTTGTGTGCGAGAGGATTGCTGGACTCCTCGCTGTGGGTGGTTCACGTAACCGCTGGTCGGTTACGGCTTCCTCCACCACCAAGTCCATGCTTCTGAAAACAAACAATACAGTAAATAAAACTAATCCCATACCGGACTTGGAATGGTAACCGGACGAGAGGACGTGGTTCGCCATATGGATAAGCCGTCTTATCGGCTTTCCTCTCCCCCGGGATAAATATGTAAATCCTATCCTATCCTAAAAGCAACATATTGAGTAAGCCTCATTTGGAACAAGCAAACTACTCACAAGGGTATAAGCCTGCCAATGGCTAAGCTCTTCAAAAAGTTTTCGAACCACGACCTCTCGGTCCGACTTGAGTCTCCTATTGTATTTGTATGTATACCACGAATCTAAGCTACCATTTGTGGGACCCTAGGTTGTGAAAGTGCCCCATACGAAGCCCAGTGCTCCATGAAAGAAACCTAGAAGCTTCCCGAGTATTTCGTTTGCCCAAAATACTGAACATTTTTTCAATACAAAGCAGCAAATGCATCCTATTAATTAAAATATTGATAATTTAAATAATAAAGTGATTTTTATTTATTCAGGAACTTTAATCTGTAAATAACAACGTTTCTTTTAGTTTTAAAAAATCCAATGTGGGGCTTCGTGAATAATAATCAACCTCAAAAAAAGATAAAACGACATATTTACATAACGCCCAAACACTGGTTCCAAATATGTTTCTATAACCAAGCGGTACCCAAAGTTTTTATGTGTGCGGCGCCAAATTATCAAGAAAAATTCACTGCACACTTACATAAAAAACATCATAAAAAGGAATAGTGAATTTTTTGATTCCTATACACGGCATTTAAAAAAAAACATTTATGACAAATACAATATATGAAATATTAAATCATATATTAGTTATATTTAACACAATTCTATTAATTTTGTGCGCATTTAGTAAATCATTGCGTCTGGTCTCTTTTGTAACCGCAAGTTTAACAGGTTAATATAGGCAGCATAACCTTGGACGGCTTCATTTAAAACAGGGCTGGGCAACATACGGCCCGCGACGAGATTTTGACCGGCCCACTGACTGTATATCAGTACATTATGATCACATTAAGGTCACTAAAAAAACAGGAGCCAAGAAGTGACTGGAAGCATCTGGCGCCCATCAACAGCTTAGACCTAAAAAAAAAAAAAGTAATGTGTTATTTGGTCTCTATTTTTTGTAAAGTGTACACTTCACTTTAAACGCGATTTATAACTTTCTTTCTTGCATTAGCGAATAGATATGTGATTAAGATTTTGAATACATTCATGTTTTAACTCTGCCAACCCCTGACTCAGAACATATCAAACTATCATAGTGGGACACAAGCCTGCCAATGGCTAAGCTCTGCAAAAAGTTTTCGAACCACGACCTCTCGGTCTAATTTACCTTCCATTCTATTCGAATGTATACCATGAATCTAAGCTACCATTTGTGGTAAATTTATATACTAAAATATAAAAAGCCTTATAATTACTTGTTATGGAGTTTAAATTATTTGATGTTGGATAAAAGTATTATGTTTCAACTTGAGAGAGGAGGAGAGGAAAGCTGATGAAACTTCCAATAAAGCATAACGATATTTCTTGTTGCAGTATTTTGACCTATTTTCATACCAAACTGAGGGAGAAAAGTTTGTTTGTCAAAGCCGACTATAAACACCACTATGTGAACCATAGTTATTAGTTTAAGTACCAATCAGAATTGGTAAGCTACCATTTGTGGTAAAATTAGAAATCATCCATCTCTTCTACTTTTATTCCAGTCAATGCAATGAGTTTAATTGTTCAACCTAGCCGTCTTTCCACTTTCCTCTCCTCCCAAACAAATGAAAAAAAATATAATATATTCATTCATAACAATTCTTTTTTAGGGAAAACCAGATCATAGGCCAGCTTCACTTTCACGCCTCCTAAAAAATTCTCTACGTGCCCCTTTGTTTGAGAACCACCGATCTTCAAACAAAAATCTTGTTTTCAGGGGAAGCCAGATCTAGCCGTCAGTTTTCTAGACAAAATGTACATCATGTCCTCTCCGGAAGCGATGACAAAGTTTTTAAAGAATCCGAGACCATATTTACTCCCTCCGTTACCGAAACCTCCTTGTAAGATTTCCATCCTAGGATTCCCAGTGTCAGGGAAAACATCTCTATGCAAAGTACTGGCTGATAGATATGAGGTAGGTGGTTTGGCTTTTTTTATGAGGTGTTTTCATGCTGTCACTTGAACCAAGGGCCAAAAATTTTGCCCACCTAGACTGCCGGGCCATGTAAGTGTTACATAAAAAATTACATTTTATAAACAATATTCACAGTGTTGCAAAAGCAAAAGTGGAAAACAATAAGCCTCGTGCAAAAAATAGATTTAATTGCAATCTCAACTAATTCCTCGAGCTGCTTTTTCAGCTAAAACACCAGAATTTGGTTTAGTTTGGTTGTGGCAGCATCAGGAGGGCCAGATTGAATTACCAAATGGGCTGGATTTGGCCCGCGGGCCGTAGTTTGACCATTTCAGCTCTAAATGAAGCTCTGTGTAGGCGGCCACTGAGTATGTGAGGAGATACCATTTTTGGAAATACTCCTTGAGGTTATTGTGATACTTTCACATCAAACATGGCAATATTCCCCAACCTATGGGCCGCGACCAATGTTCCCTTTAATTTTTTGTAGTATGTGTGCGCAGAAATTTTGGTGTGTGCGCACTTTTTTGGAAATGACTAATATTTGTGCAAAAACCAATGAAGAAATTTTGGCGTTCTAACCGGGTAATAAGGGAGCCAACAACAAACTTTCTCAACCTGACAACCGAGAACATTGTTACATTACATTGAAATACGTCTGTGCGCAGTAAATCTATGCGTGTGCGCAGCCTCTGAAAGCTGTAGAGGGAACACTGGCCGCGACCTAAAACTGAGTTGCGTGAAAATCATCTTGGGCCACCTGATTTTCCAACGAAAACCTAAGAGTCATCAATATTATTTTCTAATAAATTTTATTGTTTATTTTATATGTGGTATTAATAAAGTGTCGTTCAATAGTAATTGTATATGTAGGAAGCATCACTGTGTAAAAACTTGGCAGCATCTTGCTTCATGCATGCCACAATTTCAAAACTCGTTGATTGCAAACAAGCGGGATATAAATGTCATACAGAAATATTTGATTTATATTAGACATTTAATTTTGCGGCCATAAAAGCACTACATGCTGTTTAGTATGGGAGTATGTCCTTGGGTCACGAACTTTTACTAATTTATTTTTTTTATATTTGAAAAATTAAAAATTTCAAATATTTTAACATTTTTGAATTCCAGGCTGTAGTTCTTGACGTGAATGAACTGATGAAAGATAAATTCGCTGAGGCACGAAAAGAATTGGTTGACAAAGCAAGACAGGTATGAAAATGAGTTTTCATTTACTTTGGTTAAATTATTAGTTGTTATGTCCTAGTTTGAGAGTATGTTATCATGTTTTTTCACTTATGTTCATGTATTATCACAAGCTTAAAACTTAATTATAGGGTATAAGGGATAGGATGGGATTTACATATTAATATCGGGAAGAGGAAAGCCTATAATATGACTCAATCATCTGGCGAACCACGGCCTCTCGTTTGGTTACCAGTCCATGACGAGTATGGGTTCAGTTATTCAGACGCATGGACTTGATGGTAAAGAAAGCTGCAACTGACCAGCAGATACTGGAACCACCCTATGACGGCGAGGAGTCCAGCAATCCTCCCGCACATAATTAACGCCGCATGGGATTCGAATCTGCGAACCCATGCCGAGTACTCAGACGTGCGGTGGCTATCGCATTCCTAAAGTTTAGCACGGTGTGCCACACCGCCGCACCCTACTTTCTACCTCAGTGTTCCTGTTGAGTCAAACAAATTAGCTCTTACTGGCAATCTCAATTAGATATCTCAAGTCACTTTCATTCTTTGATAGAATATGTCAGTCCAACTCTAGTCCAGTAGTTATTATAAAATATTAGGTGCTCCCGAAGTATGCGAACCAAGATGGCGGACATCGGAACGTAACATGGGTAACAGGTTAGGGTTAGGCGGTAATTTTTTTCCAATTTTCCTTATTTTAGTCCTATTATCAGTTCGAAGACTAGCCAAGAGCCTCTCGTAGTATTTATACCTAAAATTTAGGTATTTAACCCTAACCTAGTACACATATTGCATTCCGATGTCCGCCATCTTGGTTCGCATACTTCGGGAGCACTATATTATCTATGTCAGGGGTGGGTAAATCACATTTCACAGGCCAGATCCGACCCACTGAAGTGTTTCATCCAACACGTCACTATTGATCTTGTATCTGCTGAAATTACGACTAAAGTTTTTATGAATATAAATTTCCGTTGAAAATATCGACGAAAATAACGTCCTAATGACCCTGATTGTTACATCGTGCGTATTATTATATAAATCTAAGGCTAGCTGTTGTGAATAAACTGTTTTTTTTTACAGTTTTGAGCCTCCGGCCCAGTAACCAAGCCTGTTATCTGTAACTGGCCCTCTCAGAAAAGTGATTTGCCCACCACTGTTATATAAGTATTCACATCAGTCACATGACAGAATTTTACATCCATCCCCGAGAGAATAAGCCCTAACAAAAGAGCATAGTCCAAATCTCGATCCATCTCCGAGAGAATAAAACCTAACAGATAAGCATAGTCCAAATCTCCTGATTTATGCTTTATTCCAGGATGCATTGGAGTCTGCTATCAACCTTGTGCAGAACAAGCTGGAACAAGAAGCCACTGAACGAGCTGATGCCAGAAGGAAAGAAGAAATGGAGAGGGAGGCTGCAGCTGTGGCCGAAAAGGAGGGAGAGGCAGAAGGTACTGGCTATGGTAGGATATGTACCAGGGTCATACTCATGCGGTATGCGGGTCGGAAACCCCCCTTTGATGTTTGATAATCAGCTTTGGTTTTCCATGGCTTCCTTTCCCCAGTGAAATGTGTATCCAATATTATTCTTTTAAACTGCATTTTTTTCACTGGATGGAAAAAATAAATTTGACTATGACAATGCGAGACTATCTCCGGTTGCAAGCAGTAGGCCTGAGGTCGTTAGAGCTTTATCATAGACTCCTGGTGACTTGAGTCCCCTAATTCAGGGGTGCACAACTCAAATGAGGACTCGGGCTGAATTTTTCAAAATAACCTTGTCGCGTGCCCCGCACAATCGTTGGTATGGGAGTTTTACCCGACCTCTGACCCCGTTAAAAGAGTGGTTACACGAGTTGGTGCCTGTAAAATGAGATATTTGTTGCAAGCCATCATTTCGATTCATAGCATTCAACAATCTGTTTTTAATAGTACCGGTGAAGAATTTTAGCCTAGTCTATCACAGCTATTTCTACACTAATTTTTTATTACTGCAATTGAACTGAAACTTCTTCGGCGGTCGTCTCCAGGTCTCAGTGTCTGCCCGGCGCGGCGGTGTGGCTCAACGGGCTAAGCGTTAGGAATACGCTCGCTACCGCACCTCTAATTACTCTGTGTGGGTTCGAATCCCATGCAGGGATGGTTATGTGCGAGAGGATTGCTGGACTCCTCGCCGTCGTTGTGTGGTTCACGTAACCGCTGGTCGGTTACTGCTTCCTCCACCACCAAGTCCACGCTTCTGAAAACAAACAATATAACTAATCACATACCCGACTTGGAATGGTAACCGGACGAGTGGCCGTGGTTTGCCATATGGATAAGCCGTCTTATCGGCTTTCCTCTCCCCCGGGATAAATATGTAAATCCTAAAAAGACAAAGTGATCATTGAAATATTTTATATATATTTACATATCCGAAACACAACTGAAAACTAACGAATAGAATTCAAAAATGCGGAAACGAGTTATGGTAATGTTTACGACCATTGGAAAAATTGGTTATCTTCCGTTTTAATCAGCATTTACTGAGGCTTGGTGTACCAGCATAATTTGATACGGTTTCAGTACCTTTTGATATCTCAGGGGTGCCTGTAACTCTGCTTAGAGATATCCTTGAGAGAGACTATTTGAGCAGGGTGTAGCCAGGATTTTTAAAATTCAACTTGTACCCTGACTTAGTGCTGTGAGCTTATGACCTTTCATGCCTATGCCAGTTGTAGCACTTTCTAGTTTTATTTAATTCTATAAAACAAACGCTAACCATTATTTATGTACATGCCTTTGCGTATCTTGTCACAGTTGTAAAATGCTTGTCTGAAGAAATCTGAACCTAGTCAGACGAAACGTCACAGATTTGTGTTAGAGTGCAGCAAGACTCTTGAATCAAATAGTTTATTCTTTCCTTTTTTTTCTAACAGAGGGGGAGAAAGAAGAAGGTGAGGAGCCACCTAGTGGTGGAGAAACGTCCACAACAGCAGTGGAAGAAAGCACAGAGGAAACTATCACGTCTGATGCAAGGGAAGCGAGTCCTGTGCCTACTGTGACAGAGGAACATCCTGAGGTAGGAAGGGTTTTTCAGTGACGCTATAATCCCGAAGTATGTGAACCAAGATGACAGACACCGGAACGTAGTATCGGTTGGGTTTGCCATTGGGTTTGCCAACGTTGGGTTTGCCATATGATTGTATCGTCTTATAGGCTTTTCTCTCCCCAAGGTTGAATATGTTAATCTTATCCTATAAATCAAAACATACTAAAAACAAATTTTTTGTTTCAAGTTTTGAAAACTGCTTGATTTATGAAGGTTTATATAGCCCAAGGCAATTACTTTTTTTTGAGTGGACCGGTTACAGATAATAGACTTGGTTACTGGGCCGGACACTCAACACTCAATGTGGAAAACTATGAATAAAAACAGTCTATTTATAAAAGATAGTTCATCAGCTTGTCTAACGTTTAATTAATAATGAGAAGCATAATGTAATAATCGAGCCATTATGATGTTTTTTTCATTAATATTTTCAACGGAAATTGATATTGAAAGAAAATATCGATGTAATCTCAAAAAACACAATTGGGCCGAATGAAACACTTTGATGGGCCGAATTTGGCCCCACTGATATAGCCCCATACATAAATGAATAGCGGCTTTTACAAGGCTTTGTTTGGATGAAAATGTTTTTTTTAAATAGCTATTTATCTTCGAAGGTCTTGAAGATTGTCTCAGAAGCAGTCAGTAAAGCAGAAGAAGAAGAAATTAAACTCCCAGCTGATATTTTCGTTGCCGTCCTCAAAGAAACGATTGATCGAATAATCGCAGAAAGATTGGAAGCCGACCCTGATGCTGCAAGGTATGTTTTGAATGTGTTTGTTTTCACTCTCAATAAGATAGACAAGAATGGTTTTAGGTACTCCAGTAGTATTTGTAACAAGATGGCAGACACCGGAACGTAGTATGTGTACCAGGTTAGGGTTAGGCCATAATTCCAGGTACAAATACTACGGGAGTCACTTGGCTAGTCCCCGAACTTCTATAAAAACTAAAATAGGGAAAATTGGAATAAAATTATGGCCTAACCCTAACCTGGTACACATACTACGTTCCAGTGTCCGCCATTCTGTTGCGCATACTAAGGGAAGGCCAAGTTTTATACTTCACCTTCACCTAGGGGTGAACCTAGGTCATTCAAACGATTTTAATATTTATCCCGGGGAGAGAAAATCCTATAAATAACTCTTTTTATGCCGAACCACAGCATTTCATTCTAAGACAATCAATAAACTAACCCTGGGAATTTAGACTCCAATGAAAGACAAACAGTGGGTATGGCGCATCGTGCGAAGCGTTAAGAATATGCTCGTCGCCACACCTCTGATTAAGCTGCATGGGTTCGCAGGTTTAATAATTATATGCGAGTGGAATGCTGGACTCCTCGCTGCTGCAGGGTGGCTCAATTACATGCCAAACTACCGGTAGAGTTGGGACTTAACATGGCTTACTCAATGGCAAACATCTGCCTCTCAGCCAGTCACCAGTCCAGGTTCTTCCACTCTGACTAAGGATTTAACACTAAATTCAATCCAGTTAATTTTTCATCTAAAACCCTAAAAAGTTAACTTGAAAATAAACTCTTAAAGTTGGGACAACAGTTAGAGTTAACAAATGATTTCAAAGAAGTCGATAAAAGGACTTGGTCGTTTGTAATCTAGGTCGTGCACTAATCAGTCTATATATCATTGAACATTGCTGATGGTGGAAATTGTAACAAACCAGCGGTTGCTTTAAACACTCATTAACAGTATGGAGCCCAAGTATGCTTTGTATTCATTCACTAGAATATATGTATCAGTCTAAATATGAGACTTTATTTCTTTTTCAGGGATGGTGGTTGGATATTGGACAACTTCCCAACATCTAAGGAACAGTGGGGAGCGATGGCCGAGGCTTCATTGCTGCCTGATGAAGTTATTTGTCTCACAGATAAAAGCCCGAACAATGAGCTGCTCCGCAAAAGGTAGGAATGTTTTTGTCAAGGGGCTCAACTGCAGTTATTGGGAATTTAGTAGATTTTTCTGCATAGGATATTTTTTTTTGGGGGGGGGGGATGAGAAAAGGGGATTTGATAGCGCATCCAGCATTTCCTAATCAGGGAGAAGGAAGGAGAAAAAAAAGCATGTACCTCAAAAATGTTGGGTACCACTGGCTTGATTGTTATTCATTGTTATTATTTATCAGCCAATAATTGGCCGCTATATATCGATAACGGTATTGGTGCCAGATAGTGATATTGATTGAGGTCTAGTCTTGAATATAACTTTGCAATAAGATGAAATAATATATCAGTCATCGGAATACACTTTTATTGAGTCACTTTTTTATCCCTATATTATCATGAAATATTTACTCCTACTTCTCAGATATTATGAACAAAACAAAGATGCCGTCACTGAGAAATTCAGAGATCGCTTGATTAGAGAAAAAAAGAAACTGCTTGAGGTAAGGATTCTGAGATTTGCAGTTCACCAACCTGGTTGCCAGAGCCAGAGCAAGAGTAAAGAAGCCTGTTCAGTGTGATTGGAGAGCATTTCTGCACACTGACATATATATCATCCCAACTACTTATCTCTCTTCTATGATTTAATGTAAACGAAAAGAATGGTGTGACCTTAACACATGGGGGAGTGTTTATACAAATCACTCATAGGATTCACATATTTCTCTTTGAAGAGAGTAAAGCCGTTAGGACGGCTTAATCATATGACTGACCTCTCGATATGGATTTGGTAAGCCAGTTATTTGTTCACATGCATGAATTTGATGGTGGAGGAAAACCATATTCGATCAGTTACGTGAACTGCCCTACAGCGCCCTTTTTTTCCTTACGGGGAAAAATCTGAGTGTTAACAGGGCCAATGGCTTGGCAGAACGGTTTGCCGCCCGCTGGTTTCAACTCACATTCAAAAATATGCTTATTTGGAGACTTAGGAGACAAAGAAATCTATAAAATACCATGTTTACAGATTTTTTCGAATTTTTCTATAAATTCAGGAAGAAGAAGAGATTCATCATCAGAGGGAAGCGCTTGAACAGGAGGAAGGCGCTGAAAAAAGTGGGGGAGAGACTGCGACGGAGGAAGGGGGGACAGTTGCGACTGAGGAGGAACCGGCTGAAGGTGAGAATCATGGGGAATTCCCTTGGGAGGACTTCACAATGTTATGAATAGAGAGGGGGCTTTGCAATTTTTGTCAGGACGAATCTTTGAACAAAAAACAAGACCAGGGTGCTCCTAAAAAATCAACTCTTTGGGGGGGAGGGGGGGTCAGAAATATTTCTGGGTATTTCTAAAAATAGCTGCTTTTTGTGTATCAGTCGATGCTTGCATTAATTGTTGTTTAAGATAGAGGCCCTATGTTGGGCCCTATGTTGGGCACAAAGTGCCGGATGTGAGATTCCATTTGGGATTCCCTTAGGGTGGGCGCACACTATTATGAATGGGAAAAATTATGTGCAATCTACTACATCCTTGACGTGCTCGTAAATAATTTTTGCTATTTTAGTGGCATTACAGCTTTTACATACCAGTAGCTGCTTGTATTTAGTGTGTGTAGAGGGAAATTGTAATGATATCTGATAAAAAGGTCCTTGTTTTGTACTTGATCTTAGATTTCTGATAGAAAAAATGCTTGATCTAACGATATTTTTACAGTGTTCAATTTGTGTATATATCCAATTTTCGGTGTTTCAGAAGTATGTGTACCAATATGGAGGTAACTAATTTTGTTCGACTACTTTACATCAAGTTGTGTAAAGGAACTGAAGCCTATGGACAAACAGACAGTCCCCGAACTCGTACCGGTACGCATACTACGGGAGTAACCAGTTTTGTATCATGTATTTTAGCTTTATTTTTATTTCACAGAGGGAGATGAGCATACCACGATCACTTCTCAAGCTGAGACTGCTAAGACAGAAACTTCAATCAGAGTGAAACTGCAACAAGGTATTTAGGATAGGATTTATCCTGGCGTCCCACCTCAAAAATAAAAAGCTACAAATAACAGATAATTAAGAAATGTAATTATCCAACAAAAGGCGACAAATATTTTTATTTTTAATTAGCTCCATGCCCTCTCAAAAAATTGTTCACGTCCACCTTGTGGGGTGCGGCCCATCGTTTGAGAATCACTGTTGTAGACTGTTAATAACGCTCAATAAACTTTTTGAGTTTCGGTCTGCGGAAAATTGGATTTAATCCAGTCGGAAATCCTGACTCTGGGAAAATCAGAATTTTGACTCAGACTCTGATTTTCACTTCAGTATTGTCATAGGGTGGTTTGTGTGAACGCTTGTCCAGTGATTTCCATACAACCTGTCTTTAGGGGGTGAATACCGCCTCTAAAATTGAATTGGGGGGTGACATCATATGTTAATTCCTAACATAAACAAAATTGTATTTGAATATTTAGAAAGTGGCTCACATGGCAGTAAGATGACCAGTCAACCTCATAACACATTTTTATAAGTTACAAATAATTATATCACTAATAACGAGATATTTACCACCCCCAAATTTGTAAACACTCCCATAAAATAAAAATCCAGGGAACATACTGCTAGTCAGTTACGGCCTCCTCCGGCATCAAGTCCATGCTTCTGAAAACAAATAACTTGTTTTCTATTATCCTATACCCGACCCGCAAGAGGTCTGTTGTTTGTCATATGATTAGGCCTTCTCATAAGCTTTTCACATAAAATCAACGTCGTTCCAGAAGTATGTGTACCAAAATGGATGTAACTAATTTTGTTTGATTATTTTACATTAAGTTGTGTGAAGGAACTGAAACCTATGGGCAGGGGGTATATTCTCTTGGCTAACACAGATAGTCCCCGAACTCGTAATAGAACCAAAATAAGGAAGACGGAATAAAATTGCGAGAGTACCAAATTAACTCTTGTGAGAGATTATTTTTTGCGAGAAGATTACAGGACTTTTCGCTGTTACAGGATGGTTTATGTAATATATGTTACCATTTTACAGAGATTGAAGAGTTGAAATCGACTTATATTGGAATACCATCAGGTGATGCCCCAGAATTCAATGAATTCAGAGAAAGCCTGCAGGTATGTTTACCAACTTTGAATTGGGTTGCGCGAGACTAACTCCCTGTCTTTGTTCATTTCTTGCCACTGTTGTAAACTGCTTGTCTGAGCAAGTCAGTTACAGAAATACATTTGTGTTAGTGTGCAGCTGGACTCTTTAATTGGATAGAATGTGTATAAACTTTGGTCTTAAACTTATCAGTGGTTATGTTAACCACGCTGAGACGTACATAAGGGTAGTGTGGCTGGACATCAGAACTTTTTTCCACCCACAATTAGAGTTCGATATACAGTCAAGTCTTTTATCATAAAACAAAAGTAAAGGAACTGAAGCGCTCGTCATCGCACCCTGATTACTCTGCTAGGGTTCATATGTTTGAATCACTTGCTAGGATAGTTATGTGTGAGAGGATTGCTGGGCTCCTCGCAGCCGTAGGGTGTTTCACGTAACCGCTGGACGGGTACGGCTTCCTTCATCATCAAGTTCGTGTTTTTAAAAACAAATATTTGGCTAACTAATCCCATACTCGAAATGGACTGGTAACTGACATTATATGATTAAGCCATCTTATGAGCTTTCCTCACCCCCGGGGTAAATATGTAACTCCTATATCTACAACATGTATTTTCAGTACATGAAAAATAAACTACCGATTACTGATGCATTACTGACACCAAAACGGGTGCTCCCGTAGTATGTGCACCAAGATGTTGCACAACCTTAACATAGTATGTGTACCAGGTTAGGGTTATCAGGTTGTGCACCATCTTGGTGCACATACTACAGGAGCGCCCAAAAACTTGGGTGCCCAATAGTCTCATTCCCCCAAATCTTACTTTATTCTAATATTTACCTTATTTCTAGAATTTTGAGAAAGAGTGGGCGTCTCTACAAAACTCGATCGGTGGTGTGGCATCAACACGACCTCTAGTGGTCAATGTACAAGATAAAGAGATCGACAATATTGCAGCGGAAGCCAGAGAAAGAATAGAAAGTAAGATGTCTGTTTTGTTGCTTTTTATGAAGTACTGTACATCCACTCTGAACGAGATTCTGTTCAAGTAGTAGAGCTAAAATCTGAAGCCATACCCGACCCAACATTCCTGCCGGGGCGGACCTGAAATGTCATTCATTACGTTCAAGTCAGGTCTGACTTCTCTATTGTTGACGTTTTTTTTTAAATGAGGCGTTTCGGTCGTGTTTTGGCCACGAGAGACCGTGGTCTGCAAGAAGTTGCCTCATCAACACGACACATACTGTACTTAACTCTTGCAATGACGATTTCAAGAACTTTTGAAAAAAATATGAAATTTCGGGTTTACTTCATGCTCGGGCCTGCAAATTCAATTAATTAGTCAATTAATTAGTTAATTAATACCCACGGGCCAGGGTCAATCCGGGCTGGAATTTTAGGGCTCGATCTTACCTCTAACAAGTGGCAATATTTTTGAAGGAATTGGGTTTTTCTGATTAGACATTGTTTACTCAATTCATCACGCCCTGGATAAGGTAAAGACAGTCAGGGGAGTAGCCAGGGTAATCCCCCTCCCCTCCCTTGAATGTAAACAAGGCATTTTCCAGACTTTTAAGACCCCATATTTTTGACCGAACTTGGCAATTAGAAATTCCAAATTTTATTACTCATCGATCTTGATCGGTAAGTATGTTGATAGGTATTTGTCTGTTTGTCTGTTGACACTTTTGTATGTTACGCAATATCTCTTATATTAATATATTGGATGAATTATGTCGTATAATTAGTGTGTTATTGATTATTTAGTGAGGGGACACGTGGTGTCGATATTGGGTCAGAGTGAAGAAATTGAAACCACAGTTTCTGTTTTGGGAGATCCCCTAACTATCTTCGCTGCGACAGATTGTATGCGTACAATGCCCTGTCTCAGATGTCGAGCGTTGAGGTATTTTGGTTACACGCCGCTAGATCGATAAGTCGGCAGTTTCCGATCGTTATCTCGTTTTGTTCTCAGTATGAATAATCTGTCTCATGAATTTCTTATCCCCTTAATAAATTCCTTTCTATTCGACCAACAGGTCCATTCGGCTACCAAGGATGGGATTTCTCTGGTATGGATGTCGATGAAGAAGAGGAAGACAATAATGCTGATGCCGATGTTGGGGTCGAAGGTGAACAGGAAGAGGAAGATGAGGAAGCATTAAGACATAAACGGAAACATTTCGGTTTTGCTAAACATTATGATCCCGTAGCTTTGAAGGTATTTTTAAGTTTTTAGGCATATTTCGCTTTTTTATTAAATTTACTCTGAACAAGGCTTAGAGCAAGTCAGTCAGTAAGTAGTTTATTTTTTCAAATGCCAAAAATACACATTGTGCATACAGAATTAAGAAAGATAAAAAGTATATTTCAGTGTGAAGGTAGACGCGATACACCAGTGATGGTTATCGAGCAGCGTCACTCATGAGGAAGTCAAACATTAAATCATAACGAGAAAAAAAGCCGAACGTAGGATACTAACAAAAGACAGATTGAGCGTCCCAATATACCGGTGGCACTCGTTCCAATCCCAGTCTCGTTCGACCCAATGTAAGAAGAGGGCTTCACAGGTTGGGTAATCATGCCGCCACGGCAATGGACTTTAAAATATGCTTGGGCGATTTACTACCCCAGCGTCGCTCGTTCTAATCCTTGTGTCACTTGTTCCAATTTAAGAAAACGACTCCCGGCACCCCAGTTGAGATAATCATGGCAATAGGGCAATGGATTTTAAGATATCTTTAGGTGACTCAATGTCCCAGTTCCGATGTAACAAAATAACTCCAGACATTACAGGCGGGGTGACCATGGCAATCGGCGTTCATTGCATAACAAACAGATACGTCCACATATAATTGGGAGATATTCACATGATTACATTTCTTTTTACTATAGCATCGTTAAATTGACAGATTTCCACTTTTTTCAGGATGATTTTGTCCTGTGGCCTGGAAACCCTGACATTGCTGCGAAATATCGAGAGAAGATTTATTATTTCAAGTCTCCTGAGAACAGGTTGGTTATTCAATTATAATTTCAAATTTTCCGGCCGAAACCTCAAACGTATAGGTTTGACTTAGCATTCTTGACAGGCAATAGAAATATTCGGCCCACGAGCCAAATGCGACCCACAGGGAAAACTTGTGCAACGCGTTGGGAAGCGCCACTTTTGAATTCTGTGTGTGCATCCAGGGAAACGAATTTTCAATTTAATTTAGTATGTGCAAGTGATTCCGATTTTTTTGCGCCGCCATGACTATATTTAAGCTTGTGCAATGCGAGCAACAAATATCACAAGATCAATACCAAAATTTTTGTGTCTGCGACTACTAGGATAGGATAGGATTTACATATTTATCCCGAGGGAAAGGAAAGCCGATAAGACGGCTTATCCATTAGCCGAACCACGGCCTCTCGTCCAGTTACCATTACAAGTCGGGTATGGGATTAGTTATTTGTTTTCGCAAGCATGGACTTGATGGTGGGGAAAGCCGTAACCGACCAGCGGTTACGTGAACCACCCAGCGTCGGCGAGGAGTCCAGCAATCCTCTCCCACATAACCATCCCTGCATGGGATTCGAACCTGCGAACCCACGCAGAGTAATTAGAGGTGCGGTGGCGAGCGTATTCCTAGCGCTTAGCTCGTTGAGCCACACCGCCGCACCACTAGAAAGCCTATGTTAAGTAAAGTTGTGACAGGCGGTTTCATCCAGTTATTTCTACCTGGGCCTCCGGTATTGGAAGGTTGCACACCCCTGCTGAAAGATACTTAGTAGTCAAAATTGGTTTTCTTGGGGTCAAGGTTCAAACTATACTTTAACCCTTTCTGTGCGATTTTTATTTTTTATTAAATAATTGTATTTGCTACGCCGATTTTATGCATTTGTACCCCCACAACTAATCGATCGACTAACGAAAAAGTAATGATCCTCTGCTGCCCACTGACAACTCGTTGGAAAGCTTATTTAAAGAGCTTGCAATTGGCGATTAAAAAAAAAAAATTTTTTTAAAAGTGGTGGTCTGAGTCACAAACCGGATAGAAAAAAGCATTTTTTTTTCTTGGGAGTTGAAACTTCAAACAGGGATAAAAAATAGAAATATTCGCTAAATCCTTTACTGTTACGGCTTCATGGTTGGCAAACAATAGCATAATATTGCTGTAGCAATTTCGTGATCTAACTCATATTACTTTGGTAGATGGAAGGGATAATATGCCTTCCATTACCACCCAAAAAACATTGAAATTTGCATAAATTTCAAAAAACTCCCTCATTCCGCCACAAATAAAATTCCCGTCGTAAACGAAAGTGAGATTTACCGCTTATGTTAATCTCGAAGAGGACTTCTTTTCAATAAACTAAAACCCGGAAAAACTAGACCAACACTTTGCGACCGATTGCTAAACAAAACAGTGGCTTCTAGTGACTTTTGTTGTTGGTCTGTATACGTGCCCACCGCACGGAAAGGGTTAATCTGGATTCGGAGTACGTACTGCATCTCTCTATACCACTCACTGGTTGTAAGCCAAATATAAAAATATCGACACTAAAATTTGATTTCATCTTTTTCCAGTAGCTTATGTGTAACATAATTTTATTAAAATTTTCCTTATTTTAGTTCTATTACGAGTTCGGGACTGTCTGTGTTAGCCAAGTGAATATACCCCTCGCCCATAGGTTTCAGTCCCTTTACACAACTTGATGTAAAATATCGAACAAAAATTAGTTACCTCCACACTTCAAGAGGGCCGAACACAGAACGTCTAATTACTTTTTTCTCTTTTGGAGACATTTCTAATATTACTCAATCTATTTTTTTCTAAACAGAACCAGATTCGTCAGCAAACCAATGGATTTCCTGCCAACTAAAGAACCACTTGGCCCCCCACCCCCCAGAGTTTTAATGCTTGGGGCCCGGGGCGCTGGAAAAACAATGCATGGTCGATGGCTCGCTGAGAAGTTGGGAATTTTCCACATCTCATTCCGAGAACGGCTTCAGGTTTGTTGGAATTATTTCTCATAAACGGGAAGCGAATTTTGGATATTTGTACAAAGCCTCTAATTCAAAAATTTGAAAATTTGAGATGAACACCCTGTCATGTTTTAAAAATACTAAATTACGGTAGCAATTATCCATCTGCGGTTAGAAATGATTTAAAATTTGAATTCCTAACCCTATCTGGAAAATTACTAAATTGTAATACTTATATGTGTTATTACTTATCTATATTTAGATCTGTAAGTATGTTGATAGGTATTTGTCTGTTTGTCTGTCTGTCTGTTAGATGCACGCGATATCTCACGAAAGCAAGGTTGAATCTGCTCCAAATTCTGCATGTGCATTCATCATATCTCAGACCAGAAGCCTATTGGATGAATTATGTCGTATAATTAGAGAGTTATTAATTAATTAGTGATGGGACACGCGGTGTCACTATAGAGTTATGAATCGAAACCACAGTTTTGATCGATAAGTCTTCGGTATCTGACCGATATTCTCGTTTTACAGTTAAAACCTATAGTTTCTTGAGATTTGATAGCGGATTCAGACTTTTATAATAATTACAGGAACTGATTTTGCCTAAAACCGGCCGCAAGATGGGGCCAGAGCATGAAGAAGACCATTTATTAGCGAAAGAATTCTTGGTCACTGTGGAAGAAGCCGTTAAGAAAGCTATTGAGGAAGATCCTAATGCTGTAAGTAAAATGGTCATGGGGTGATAACTGAAGATTAGATAAGATAACACATAGGAGTGAAATCGGTTACGAATTTCACTATCAAGTCTTCGCATTTCAAGCAAAATCGTTATAGGAACCACCCAAGGGCACGGGGAATCCAGCAATCCTCTTGCACATAATTATCCCGAATTGGATTTGAACCATGGAACGCACACGAGGTGATCAGAGTTGCGATGGCGAGCGTATTCCTAACGCTTAGCACGATGCGCCACACTGCAATCCTAGTTAATAAACACAGACCGTTTTTTGCATAAGATATACTGTTAGTGTAAAACTAGAAATGGGAACGACCCGAGGGCGGCGAGGAGTCTAACAATCCTCGTATTATTATCCCACACAGGATTTGAACCTGCTAACCCGAGCAGGGTAGTCAGAGGTACGGTGGCGAGCGTGTTCCCAACGCTCGTCACAATGGGCCACACCCCCAAGCCAAGTAATTAATTTTATTTTTGGAATTCCTAACCACAGGAGGCTCCCGCTGAAGAGGAAGAAAAATTTGATCTTGATGATGAACAGGAAGCGATTCGAGCGAATCTAGTGGATGACGAACCGTTGCCCGTTGAAATTTTAGAGAAAATCGTGCCGCAGTGGTTCAGAGAGGAACCATACAAGTAAGTCTGTATTTTTTGTAATGTTTCCGAAAACAAATATCTGGTTAACTAATCTAATACCCGACATGGACTTGTAACCGGACGAGAGGTCGTGGTTTGCCATATGATTAAGACGTCTTATGGACTTTACTCTCCCTCAGGATAAATATGTAAATCCTATCCTAATATGGGGGGGGAGAGAAAGTAGATAAAAAAACTTAGTACTAGTAAAAGAACCTGCCCTGCTAAGCCATTCAATGTGGTCCTCGTCAACACACAGATTTTCCCCATCAAGCATAAAACGAGAATATCGGTCAGAGACCGAAGACGTATCGATCGAAAGTTAGAGGATCCCCTAAAACAGCGCTCTTACTCGATAGTGACACCTTGTGTCCCATCACTAATTAATTAATAACTCGCTAATTATACGACATAATTCATCCAAAATCAATAGGCTTCTGGTACGACATATGATGAAATCACATGCAAAATCTGTCGCAGATTCAATCTCACTTTCGTGAGATATCGCGTGCATCTCACAGACAAACAAACAGACAGGCAAATACCTATCAATATACTTACCGAATAAAATCGATAAGTAATAATAATCATAAATAATAGTCTATGTTGAAAAAAGTGGTCACATGGGTAAATATACAAAATAAATTTTTGTTCTCGTGAGTGTGTTAAATCTTTCCCCCGTTTTTCCCGATGCGTTCATTACAAGTTTGTCGAAGCTGATGTTAGCAAACTATGCAATAACTCAAAATGTTTAATAATCCAAATTTTGCATTGTGAGAATTTTTTTAATTCGTTGGGTACATGGAAAAACAATTTTCTGTGTGGCCAGCTAGATGTCTGAAGTTGGTTTTATGGCCCCACGAACAAAAAGAGTTGTATACCCCTGGGTGCTCCCGAAGTATGCGAACCAAGATGGCGGACATCGGAACGTAACATGGGTAACAGGTTAGGGTTAGGCGATAATTTTTTTCCAATTTTCCTTATTTTAGTCCTATTATCAGTTAAAAGACTAGCCAAGAGCCTCCCGTAGTATTTATACCTAAAATTATGGCCTAACCCTAACCTAGTACACATATTACATTCCGATGTCCGCCATCTTGGTTCGCATACTTCGGGAGCCCCTACCCCTGTGTTAGAGGGGTGTGGGGCCATGTCCAATGTAAAATAAAAAAATCACATGCTGGAAATATAAAAAATTAAAACGAATTCACAGAGAATGGAAGTAAAAGAAGGAGTACCGAGCTTCATTTCAAGGCGAAAAAAAAACTTTATTTTTGTAGATCCACTGGCTTCATTCTGGAAGGATTCCCTCGAACACCAGAGGAAAGTCAGTTCCTGTCTCAGAGTGGATTGTTTCCTGATGCCGCTGTTTTACTCATGGTTGAAGATACAGATGTTGTTGACAGACTTCTGCCTCCTAGGTAAGATTTTTGCATTTTTCTGGGGGAGAGGAAATGGTCAAGAACAGTTTTTTTTTAACCGAGCCCTGAGTTCCAATAGTGGCCACCAGCCGTTCTCCGAGAGCGACATTGAATGGGTTGTCAATTAAAGGCCATAGCGTAGAATTTTCAAATGGCAGGCTCTGAAACTTCCAATTGCTAAGTTAGATCAGAACACCTAGCGTGAGTCGAGCATTTAGCGTTTTACGCTACAAAAAATGTATGCTAAGTAGGACACAGAACAATGCTTTTTTACATTTTAAGAGGGGGTTCCGACCTTCAACCCTGATGCCCCCCTCCCCAGGTAAGATTTATGGGACCTCCAGAAGTATGTGCACCAAGATGGCGCACAACCTGATAACTCTAACCTTGTACATATACTATGTTCAGGTTGTGCGCCATCTTGGTGCACATACTTCGGAAGCGTCGATTTTTTTATTTTTTTCTGGAGAGAAGAAAGTTATAAGGTGATCAAGGACAGGGTTTAACAAACTGGGCCATCAGCTCGTTGTCTGGGGGCCACAGAGCGTTGTCTGGGGGCCACATTGAATAAAGTTGTCATTTTCAGGGTGGTAGACGAAAAATTTCTAATTGCCAAGCTACAGCTAGCCAGTCTTAGGGGTCTAAAAAGCGTTTCAAGTTATTAGAAATTGATATGTGTGATACAGAAAGATGTTTTTTTACATTTTGAAAGAGGGAGGTTTTGACTCTTAAACACTCTGTGAAATAACATTTATCTAGCAATGAAACTAGGAAGAAATGGGTGTTTTTTTGTAAATGGAAAATTTTTGCGCCTCGTATTGTGGCCCACTTCAATTGAGCTGTGGCCCCTGATTGGGAACCGTTGCCTTATAAGATATTCATAATTTAGTGATGAAAAAAATAAAAAAAACATAATTTGTCTGTTGGGATAGGATTGACATCTTTATGCCGAAGAAAAGGAAATTAAGCAGACAATATTTTTGTATTTAGAATGGAAAAATGGATCAAACGTCGGGATCATAAGAATGCCAAGAAAAATAAAATCAAGGAAACAAAGACAAAGATTAGGGTAAGTCTTCATGAACAGTACTGTGTGTTTTTTATGAGACTGAGTGTTAACTCCAAAGTAAGGAGTTACAGGCACTCACATAGAAGTAAAGGTGACTTATCTCCGAGTAAAGTTACGGGCACTCACTCAGGAGTAAGTGGACTCATCTCTAAACAAAGTTACGGGCACTCACTCAGAAGTATAGGAGACTCATCTCTGAGCAAAGTTACAGGCACTCACTCAGAAGTAAGTGGACTCAGCTCTGAGCAAAGTTACGGGCACTCACTCAGAAGTAAAGGAGACTCATCTCTGCGCAAAGTTATGGGCACTCACTCAGAAGTATAGGAGACTCATCTCTGAGCAAAGTTACAGGCACTCACTCAGGAGTATAGGAGACTCATCTCTGAGCAAAGTTACAGGCACTCACTCAGGAGTATAGGAGACTCATCTCTGAGCAAAGTTACAGGCACTCACTCAGGAGTAAGTGGACTCAGCTCTGAGCAAAGTTACGGGCACTCACTCAGAAGTAAAGGAGACTCATCTCTGAGCAAAGTTACAGGCACTCACTCAGAAGTAAGTGGACTCAGCTCTGAGCAAAGTTACGGGCACTCACTCAGAAGTAAAGGAGACTCATCTCTGCGCAAAGTTATGGGCACTCACTCAGAAGTATAGGAGACTCATCTCTGAGCAAAGTTACAGGCACTCACTCAGGAGTATAGGAGACTCATCTCTGAGCAAAGTTACAGGCACTCACTCAGGAGTAAGTGGACTCAGCTCTGAGCAAAGTTACGGGCACTCACTCAGAAGTAAAGGAGACTCATCTCTGCGCAAAGTTATGGGCACTCACTCAGAAGTAAAGGAGACTCATCTTTGTGCAAAGTAACACAATGATTGCTCATACAACTCCCTATTTAGGAATGACAAATTTTCACAAAAAGTTATTTTCTACAGAATGACAAGATTGAAGTACGCCGTCGAGAACTCATGAACGAGCGTGAAGCGGCTCGAGCAGCGAAAATCGCTGAGAAGTTAGAGAACGCTACGGAGGGGGGGGAAGAGGGAGAAGTTGAGGAGGATGAAGAGGAAGAAGACATTGAAGAGATTCTCGCTCAAGAATTTGAGGTGGGAGGGGGATTCCCATTATTATGATGGATTATTTATTGTTCTTATTTTGTTTTAAATATGTCACGCAGTGCTAAATATTACTAATACAAGGTGGTTGCTGGAAAAACAGAAAAATTTGTCAAAGAGGTATTTATTTTTACAAAGAATAACTTTTACATAGTTTTTTAAAAGCATATGTTGTATTATACAGAATATTACAAAAATCAAATAAAACCTAAAAGAAATGAAAACGTATCGAAAAATAAACGAGAATATCGGTTGGAAACCGAAGACTTATCGATCGATAGTTAGGGGATCCCCCAAAACAGAAACTGCAGTTTCGATTCATCCGCTCTTGTAACTTGCGCACTGCGCATCGCACACACACACTCGGGGGGTCTCAAATGCTCTCGCTTTACAAAAATCTAGATCACTATATCAATAATTGATTGATAACTCGCTAATTATACGACATAATTCGCCTAAAATCAATAGGCTTCTGGTCCGAGATAAGATGAATGCACAACATGCAAAATCTGGAGCAGATTCAATCTCGCTTTCGTGAGATATCGCGTGCATCTAACAGACACACACACAGACAGACATACATACAAATACCTATCAATATACTTACCGATCTTAAGATCGATAAGTAATGAGTAAGCACACATTTTATTCGTGATCTCATCCGACCTTAAAATTTTCTGCTTTACTAGCGACCATCCTGTAGTTACATATATGTTAGATATCAGTGACTGGCTAACTAACTAGTTCACAGGTTTGAATCCCATGCAGGGATGATTATGTGCAAGAGGATTGCTGGACTTCTCGATGTAATAGAGTGGTTCGCCTAACCGCTGGTTAGGATAGGATAGGATTTACATATTTATCCCGGGGGAGAGGAAAGCCGATAAGACGGCTTATCCATATGGCGAACCACGGCCTCTCGTCCGGTTACCATTCCAAGTCGGGTATGGGATTAGTTGTATTGTTTGTTTTCGGAAGCATGGACTTGGTGGTGGAGGAAGCCGTAACCGACCAGCGATTACCGTACGTGAACCACACAACGACGGCGAGGAGTCCAGCAATCCCCTGCATGGGATTCGAACCTGCGAACCCACGAAGAGTAATTAGAGGTGCGGTGGCGAGCGTATTCCTAACGCTTAGCCCGTTGAGCCACACCGCCGCGCCGCGTTAGTTACGGCTTATTCTATTTATTTTTTTTTTCAAATGTGTCACGCAGTGCTAATTATTACTATTCATTATCTCTTTACATATTGTTAGATATTAGTCACTGTTTACCCATTCTCATGGACTGGTAAGTCAAGTCCAACAAGAAAAAAGTAAGTTTTACGTAAATAAAATAAGAAAAGATAAGCACACATTTAATCTGGGAAATGGAACGGTAACTGGTCGAGAGGCTATTGTTCGCCATATGGATAAATCGGCGTACAGGCTTTCCTCTCCCAGGACAAATATAGAAGCCCTATCTTAAATTCAATGTCAATTGGAACATAATTTTGATGTTGCATACTTCCCTAGATGAGCTAATTTACTGAGCTTTTTGTCGATTCTGTTACGTCATTAGTTTATATGCAACGTAGAGACTGGCATGCATGACAATAACAAGGGTCTTATTAAAGAGTATCTCATTATTTTTCCCATTTTTTTTTTAATTTGACAAAGCGAGATTGCCCATGCAATACTTTTACCTCATTTACATTTCCATCCTCTGTGTGTTCGTTATTCTTTTTTATTTCATGACAGAATTTTCATTATCCATTTAATAAATTATCTTACGATATAGGAATTTCAGAAATCGTAAAAAAACATGAAAACCAATTTCTATTTTCTTTTTTTTCCAGGAGGAAGAAGAAGGAGAAGAAGAAGAGGAGGAACAAGAGGAAGATGCGAGAGACAGGATGAGAGGAGAGTTTGGGGAAAAGTTTGATGATGATGTCACTAAATTACAGGTATGATGTCATTTTTGTGTGATCATGTCACTAAAATACAGTTATGGTGTCACTAAATTGCAGGTATGATGTCATATTTATATGTGACGTCATGATACTCAATCGTAATGTCACAGTTCAACATATTGTCTTATATTTGAAATGACACGATGTTGCATTTGTACATTATCAGGAACTATCATAAATCTTATAAAACTATAAGTATGATGTCATAGTTGCATGATATCGTCACAAATATACACATGTGATGTCATATTTGCATGAGGGTGTCACAGGAAACTTCAATTCTGATTGTATATTTTAATGATGACCAGAATAAATATATGATGTCAGATTTTCATTTTGATGACTTCACAAAACTAAAGCTATGATGTCATATTTGTATAACGGTGGGAATGTCACAAGTCTCTTTTTATACAAAATACGTTATTTTCTCGTGAACTAAAAAAAATTTGTAATTCCATTTTATCTAGACTGTCCAAGAACAGCTTGAAGAAAGCATGATTCCTCGTATTGAAGTGCAAGCCAGTAAGAAGCCGAGGATTGTTCGATATCTGCTCGATCAGAAAATGAAACCACTAGTGGAGAACAGGAGCAGGTGAGCAAGCACATGTCATGTTTAAAAGGCTGAAGCTCTTGTTAGAAATTAGGCTCGAGGATCGATGGATTGTGCTAAGCTTTGGGAATACGCTTGCCACCGCCCCTCTGATTACCTTGCGTGTGTTCGCATGTTCGAATCCTGTAGGGGTAATTTTGTCTGAGATGATTGCTAGACTCTTCATCAAAAAAGTGTGGTTCACAGACTCATATGTTCTCAAAGTGCTCCATTTGGAGCCCCACGGCTCCGTGTTCTAATTGTTTGCTGAGGTAAATACTGACTTGGCCAATTTTGTAACTATCTAAATAAGCAATAACATTATTAATAAATTAAACAACGGTAGCGTCTAAATGTGGCAACAAGGCGGTAATTCAAACAAGTTCCAATAGTAATAAAGCCATTTTTTAGTTACCGCTATGTTGTCACAATTCGAATATTTTACAAATACAAAGCAGCAAATACATCTGAGTCATTGAATAATCATTAATCGGCAGTTAACAATGTGTTTTTATAAATAGTAGTCAACCTCTTCGCAGGCTCCACAACACTAACAGGTTGAGAGCCCCTGATCTAACTTATATTCCCAAACATTTTGGATGCTGTGGGAAGTCTAATGCTCTCATTACTATGTCTAAATCCATTTTTTTACAGTTTGTTTGAAAAAGTTTTCCCAGTAAGTTTCGAACTCGCTTCCAAGATGTTACTGACGGGATACAAGCACCCAAGTTCGTTTGGGAGATGGGACCCAGTTAAGGTATGTCGAAATCTCTATCACACTGGCCTAAGGTCATTGCAACTGTACTTGCATAGTCCTGCTCTAATTCTAGCTCACTGGTTCTCACTGCTGAGACACAAACTAAAAAGTGCCAGAGTTGGTAAAGTTAGTTAAATTTGATGGTAGTAGCAATCAATGTTGCTGTTTTTTGTTACCGGGTGGTAATTTTCCCCTGAATATATAGTGACCTTTGACTTGTGTCCGTCCATGTCTGAAGATGACTTTTAGGTTCCCTACGTATCACGTGTACCGTGGTACATTCTGACATTAGCTGGTATGAGTTGTTACTGTGTGCATTACTGTTAGCGTTTCTATCTGAAATGTGTTCTGTTTCGAATGTGAATAAAGTCTGAAATAGCAATATAGTTGTGCGTGTACATACAACACCTTACAGCTCCCAAATTTACTTATTTAGTATTTATTATTCTAATACAGTGGTCAGCAAACTTTTCTAGTGGGCCCTCAATAAATTTTACTTATGGCAGTGATACACAAAAAAAGGCGCTCCTGAAGTATGTGCACCAAGATGGCGCTCAACCTGAACCCTAGCCTGGTACACATACTATGTTCAGGTTGTGCGTCGTCTTGGTACACATACTTCTGGAAGTCCCAAAAATGTTGTATAAATCCAACGTTACATATAAATTTTTTGTCAAATGGTCTTGGTTCATATATCAAACAATCATAGGCATATGATTGATCCGTCTAATCGGCCTTCAGCTTCCCCGGGATAAATATGTAAATCCTATCCCAACATGACTATTGATATTACTTATCTTATATTTCTACCTCAAAGATGATAATGCTGTTGTCAAGTCAAGTCCATACATCAGAAACAAATAACTAACTGGCTAGTCCCATACCGGCATAAACTGGTAACCGAACGAGAGGCTGTGGTTCGCCATATGTTTAATCCGTCTTATCAGCCTTCCTCTCTCCCGGAATAAATATGTAAATATCTATCCCAACATGACTATACAAATCATTTTTATACTTTCAGCTCAAAGATGATAACGATGTTGTCCAGCCAATCTCGACACCGATAAGCCCGCTATTCCCTGTAATATACCACCATCACATCTACTTTCTCTCCTCTCTTAACTCTCGGACAAAATTTATGGCGGACCCGCTTGCGTATGTTCTCCACCAACCGCCAGCAAAACCTGTGGTACCGATACGCCTAGCTGTGATTGGGCCTCCCAAATCAGGAAAAACCACGCGTAAGTATATCTGTAAATTCTCATTTTTAAAACGTTAGAGCTATAACTACTAGAACATCATCGCATGAAAATATTATACAGTGAAACTAACTCTCTGTTTCTTTAAAAAAGAGAAATAAATAAATGATTAACTAATCTAATACCGACATGGACTGGTAATCGGACAAGAGGCCAGAGTTCGCCATATCGTTAAGCCGTCTTATCAGCTTTCCTTTCCCCCGGAATAAATAAATCCTACCCTATTTCAGAGTTATCCTGTCCATTCTGAGAGGAAGCATAAATCTTTTCTAATTTATCATGCTCATTTTTGGATCATTGTCAGTAGTAAAAAGTAACATCGTTACTTCCCCTCAACAGCTGCTCAGTCATTGGTATATGATGACATTACGGCGCAGCGTTGTGACTCATCATGCAAAGTTTTAGGAATTTGCTCACCATCGCACGTCTTATTACGCTGCGTAGGTTCACAGGTTCGAATCTCAAGCAGGATAGTTATGTGCGAGAGGATTGCTTGACTCCTCGTCACCGTAGGGTGGTTCACATAACAGCCGGTCCATTAGGGATTTCTCCACCATCAAGTCCATGCATCTGAAAACAAATCCCAAAACTAACTAATCCCATACCCGACATGAAATGGTAACCAGACAGAAGGCCGTGGTTCGCCATATAGTTAAACCGTTTTATCGGCTTTCCTCTCCCGCGGGATAAATATGTAAATTCTATCCTATCCACTGGCCATGCTCAGGAAAAATGCTAGTTGCCAGAAAAACAATAAAGATACAGTTAACAGGCAATGTTCAACCATAATAATTCCAGTCAGTTTTAAAACTTTCTTTCTCATTTAAGTTTTCATTTTTCAGTGGCAAATAGATTTGCAAGGGAGTGCGGAGCGATGCGTATTTCTGCAGGAGAGGCGATCAGGCATGTCCTCACAAAGCAACCCAAGTCTTCTCTTGCGATTCATATCAACTCTCATCTTTACCAAGGAGCTGTTGTTCCAGACGCTCTCACCGCGGAAGCCATAGCTACTGTTATGTTGGATACCACTTGTACCACTAGAGGGTGAGTGAGTTTTTTAATTTGAGTGTGGTTTGGGAGGTAGAAGACAGGGAAAAATCCGTTTCTTCTTGCGAAGTTTCATATTTTTACTCGTTCCTCAGATTACCCCTGGATCGGCTTTGGAATATGACACTTTCAATAGTGATAAAACATGTCAAAATTTCCAGCAAAGACTGAGTGAAAAACTGAGTGTTTTTTCTATGAAACGGCGTTTTTGATTAAAATTTGAGGGTCTACATTGCTCTCTGTTATAATTTTTATTTATTATCTAAATGCTTTTACATTTTAAAGGTGAATAATTAAATAAATATCTGGTTGGATTTAACATCAACAAGGTCTTGTATCATGTCTCTTCCTAATGTCTATTTGTTATGTATATACTACGTTCCGAGAAGAATAAACAGCGCTACCGAAGTATGTGCACCAAGATGGCTCACAACTTGAACCCTAACCTGGTACACATACTATGTTCAGGTTGTGCGCCATCGTGGTGCACATACTTCTGAAGCTCCGAATAAACATACATGTCTGTCTTAATTTGAAATTTCAAACTGCTGTAATACTTGCGTCATGTATTGAAAGTTACTGAGCGATCTTGAACCTATTATTTTCCTATTTCAGGTATGTACTTGATGGTTTTCCTTGCACCAAACAGCAAGTTGAGTTGTTGCACAAGAAATGTATCGTACCTGTTCGCATCATTGAGCTGAAGATAGAAGGATCAGAAGTCGTTAAACGAGCGGCGAGTGACAGGCTGTCTGCGGATAGAATCTTCCCACTTCATGACAGGTAGGCAGCAACACTATTAAAGTTAAAATTTTGGTTTGAGTATCTGGTTTGGTGTGCATGGTACACTTCTGTCTTGACTGGTATCTTGATTGGTACCCCACATTGTTCTTTGACTTCATTGCATGTTGATTGGTATATTACCGTCTCAATTAGTACCCTACCATTTTGAATTGTCCCGTGGTTGATTGTCATCATGGTATTTTGATTAGTACTTCAACATATTACGTGGTACCTCATCATCTTGATTTTACCATTACCTTACCATCTTGATTGGTATCTTATCATCTTGAACGGTACCTTGGTATTTTGATTGATATCGTGATATCTTGTTTAGTATCTCAACATTTTGGGTACCTTACATACATCTTGACTGGTACCTCACCATTCTGATTGGTCCCTTGGTATCTTGATTAGTACTCTCACCTTTCGCATGGTACCTTACCATCGTGAATGGTTTCTTAACATCTTGATTTGTACATTACCATCTTGATTGGTACATTACCATATTGATTAATACCTTACCATCTCAATTGGTATCTAAGGATTGGTGATAAGTCAATTAAAAGTTTATTGTTAAAGTAAATAACTCAAACAGACAGAGCACATGCTCAACATAGCATCAAGGACAGACTTATTGTGCCTTAAGGTGCCTTATTGTCTCGAATGGTATCTTACCATTTTGATTGGTATATTACGGTCATGATTGACACCTCACCATCTCGATTGGTACATTTTTGTTGTGAAAAAAACATTAATCAGAACAATAAATTTTAAATTTCCAGTGCTTGAACACAGAAGAATTTGCTACATGGCTTTTTTTTTCAGTTTTTCTGAGTCCCACGATATTTCAGTCCAGTATTTCATCTAAAATTCTGCTTTTTTATTTTAATTTATGGTAACACATTTCTTTGCTATATGAGAGTGAGATTTATTGTCCTGTCAACAAGAAAACAAGCATTGCATAAAAAAAATACAAATTACACAAGTTTATTGGGTATAGACTAGGGAGCGATACAACCTCACGGTCATCCGAGTCAGCCCCCTTCAAAAAACTTTTATGTAGCTTAACTCAATGTCTATATATTTGAGCATTACTGACTTATGTTTCAGCGAGGAGGCATTTGTGATCAAACTTGCTGCATTTGAAGAGAACGTTGGGGGAGTTAGAGACTGGTACAAAACACAGCACCAGAATTGGGTGGAGATTGATGGAAAATTATCGAAGTGGAGACTTTGGGAAGTTGCTCTCAATGATTCTAAAGATTCTATCAGAAAGATACAAAATTACTTGGACAGGATTGCGAGAGGTAGGTTGGTTTGTTGTTTAAGATAAGCAATGGCTGGGATTGTGGTTCATATGGTATCTTGATACCTCGACAACCAAGTTGGTACCATTTGAATCTTACTCTTGGTCAGTATATGGCATTTTAATTGGTTACCATACACTACTCTGGTGTCTTGTTACTTGATTAGTACTTCGGCAATCGTTTTTGTACCATTCTGAATGGTATTCTTTGTCAGTATATGGCATTTTAATTGGTTACCATACACTACTCTGGTGTCTTGTTACTTGATTAGTACTTCGGCAATCGTTTTGGTACCATACTGAATGGTACACTTTGTCCGTATACGGCATTTTAATTGGTTGCCATACACTACTCTGGTGTCTTGTTACTTGATTAGTACTTCGGCAATCGTTTTGGTACCATACTGGATGGTACACTTTGTCAGTATATGGCAATTTAATTGGTTACCATACACTACTCTGGTGTCTTGTTACTTGATTAGTACTTCGGCAATCGTTTTGGTACCATACTGAATGGTACACTCTGTCAGTATATGGCATTTTAATTGGTTGCTAACCATATGGTACTCTTGGTCGGTATGTGGTATTGTAATTGGTTTCTTAATATGATACTTTGGTGTCTTGACTTGTACCTTGATATAATTCATGGTTTCTTAGTACTTTGATTGGTGGTTGGAAAAGGTACCATCCCATGGTATCTTAACTAAACCTTGCACCACCAATTAATATCTTGATCTTGGTAAATTTATCAGAACCTTATCTTATCTATCCAATGGTGCAGCCAGGTTTTTTCAACGAGTGGGTTATTGGAAATTAAAACAGTGCACCGGAAGTGCAATTCCACAACGTCAAAAGGCGTTTTAAAAAACTGAAAATTGTGTGTCTTTTATAGCGAAACGCTGTAGATTGAAAACCATGTTACCACATGTAGCTCGCCTCCCTTCGCCTGACGTTGTTTGGTGAATATTTTGCTTTTCCTATTTCAAACATCTACTATTCGTTGACTATTAATACATAGCCGACGATACCCATGTCACATTGTTCACTCTTTAATGTTCTTTTTGGTACTTTTCTAATTTTTTTTACTACTTTACTGAAATTTCCAGGTGAAGCAGCCAGACTCAATGATCTATGCATCACACCACCTGAATTCCATGCCAGACTGAGCCAGTATGGGGAGTACTGTCCTGTGGCCCTCAACAAACGTGGAGAGCTAGTCGATTGCTCAGTGACTCCATCTTTGGAACTGGCCGCAGAATTTAGATCAAGATATTACAAGATTGGTTCGAAAATGGATTTAGATGAGTTCTTGGGTGAGTTGAACTTGTGTGTGCCACAAACTTGGTTTCTATCTGTGGAGCAGTGGTTCTTAAACTTTTCAAGTTGCAGCCCTCTTTTTAAAATTTGTCAAGTCTTGCGCTCTACTTCAATAATAACTAGCTAATAATAAGCTACAAATAACAGATAGTAAGACGAAAGTAAAGTATACCAGTATCTAAATTACACGTACCGGTACCGATGTCGGCTCCCCTCACCTGACCCGCAAATATCCTTGTCACTGTTTGTAGCAAATGCAATTATTTTTTTACACTAAACCAGTAACAACACTATATAGGTGTCGCCACTTGAAAACTTAACCAGGTTTCTCGCGACTCCTGTCACACAATTAACGTTACTAGTTCATTTATTCTCTGCGCCAATCTTTGTGAATTTGTTTTTTGTGACGGCAGATAAATGATTGACTGACTGACGATCAATCAACTTTGGGAACCGCTGGATTAGAGCCTCATTCATGTAACAAATAACTCATAAAACTTTATATTTTACAGCCAACCCTGAGCAGTATGTTCCACCTCTTGCAACACGTGAATTACCACCCCCAGAGCTCCTGCCACATCGCAGAACTCGAGCCGAAGTCAAGTCTATGTTCCCGAAACAAGTCGAACTTAAAGGTTATTGCCCTGTGTCATTCCTGGATGGGAAGTTAAGGTAAGTTCATAGGTCATCGGCAGGGATGAGATTTTAGGAACTTGTTCCCAGAATTTTGAACCCCATTGATGGTCATGATTCACAGGCAGGCATGCCTCAATTGAATCAAAGTTTCAAATACGTTAGAAATTGGTGTTATTCTATTTCGGTGGTTGGCAAACTTTATGCACTACTGGGCAAATTATACACATGTCCTATAACATCTTCGCCGCACTAATTTTTGCCTATAAACAATCGCCACATAAAACTTCAAAATATGACGCATCTGCGACAACAGGCAAATTAATTTCTAATTGCCTTTTCTGACAGTAATAAAAATTTGTCCACAACATTCACGCAAAAAGATACAACGGCCTCCTGATTGAAATCAATTATTAAAGATTGATCAAAGTCTTTTCATATCGTTGGTGATCCCCTATGCAGTCATCGCGGACCCTAGTTTGGAAAACACTAAGACTAGGATTTACATATTTATCTAACAGGGTTCAACCCATATGGCGAACCACGGCCTCTCATCCGGTTACCATTCCATGTCTTGTATGGGATTAGTTAGTTATTTGTTTTCGGGAGCATGGACTTGATGGTGGAGGAAGCTGTAAACGACCAGCGGTTACGTAAACCACCATACAATGACAAGGAGTCTAGCGATCCTCTCGTCGCATGGGATTCGAACCTGCGACCCCATATTTGTGATGTAGCTACCACAAGTGAAAACATGAATATCAGATTGATTTTTATCTATCATCTTATTTTTTTTCTTGCAGATATGAAGCTCTCATTGAAGGGAATCCTGAGTTAGTGGTTGAATACAGAGACAAACTCTTTGTTTTCGAAACTGAAGAAAAACTCCAGAAATTTATGAGATTGCCTGAAAAATATTTTGATCTGAAACTTCCTCACAAACTACCACCGAAAAAGCAACCGATGGAGTAAGTGTGACAAAAATTTTTATTGATAATATCACTCTGCGTTCAGAGCTGCGTTTCTCAAACACTTTTTGCCCCGACACATTTTGCTTTCTATCTCGCCTCACAGCGCATGAAGAAATTAGAAGGTAAAATTGATAATAATAATAAATTGTATTGTGTAATAGATTTGTGCGTCAAACTGCACAACCGAGTTATCACGACAACTTTTCAGGTTTTTCAGGATCGCCATGACGACCAATTTAGTCACAATTTTGATCCCTATCCCATGGAACACTCCGAATGAACCTAGATTTCTTGAATCTCTGCTTTGGCCCCCTAGGGTCCCTCGAAGCGGTTCTCTGGGTCCCTCGAAAAAAAGATTCACTTGGCACCTTTGTAATGGCTAAATTTAATTTAGAACAAAACGACTGTGATTTGTTCACTTTATGACTGTACTGCATTTATTTTTTTGCTTTTTACTATTTTTCGTAATACTTCGTCAAATTGGGGAAATAACGCTTGATTCTATGACAAAAGAAAGCCTTGTAGTAAAAGGCGTGAATAGGTGCCGTATAAAGAATAAAAAAACTGTCCTGTTCATGTTTTCACAGCATCACTTCTCTTCCAATGCTTGGTTATCTTGAGCAAGGAGCGGCAACTTCGATCATAAAAGCTCTGACTTCAGTCGGTTGTTTCAAACCAAAGTTCCCGTTCATTTCTGTTACAAGAAGTTGCCTCCTGTTTGTGGCTTATCATTTGAAAGGTTAGCTTTTATTTTTTGTATAATAAACTCAGGTCTTGTGCACTCACACAGAAGTAAACAAGACTCATCTGCACGAACCATGAACTAATAATAAAATAAAGCGGGAATCTTCTAACAAAGAGGTTGTTTATTCGTTTTGAAACTGATTATTATCACCAAAAGAATGCACTGTGGTGGACAGTTTGATTAGTCATTTGAGTGGTTCATGGAGTTATGGGCATTCACTCAGAAGTAAAGGAGACTCATCTCTGAGCAGATAGTTATGGGCACTCACTCAGAAATGAAGGAGACTCATCTCTGAGCAAAGTTACAGGCACTCAATCAGAAGTAGAGGAGACTCATCTCTGAGCAAAGTTACAGGCACTCACTCAGAAGTAAAGGAGACTCATCTCTGAGCAAAGTTACGGGCACTCACTCAGAAGTAAAGGAGACTCATCTCTGAGCAAAGTTACAGGCACTCACTCAGAAGTAAAGGAGACTCATATCTGAGCAAAGTTACGGGCACTCACTCAGAAGTAAAGAAGACTCATCTCTGAGCAAAGTTACGGGCACTCACTCAGAAGTAAAGGAGACTCATCTCTGAGCAAAGTTACGGGCACTCACTCAGAAGTAAAGAAGACTCATCTCTGAGCAAAGTTACAGGCACTCACTCAGAAGTAAAGGAGACTCATCTCTGAGCAAAGTTACGGGCACTCACTCAGAAGTAAAGGAGACTCATCTCTGAGCAAAGTTACGGGCACTCACTCAGAAGTAAAGGAGACTCATCTCTGAGCAAAGTAATGAGCACTCACTCAGAAGTAAAGGAGACTCATCTCTGAGCAAAGTAATGAGCACTCACTCAGAAGTAAAGAAGACTCATCTCTGAGCAAAGTTACGGGCACTCACTCAGAAGTAAAGGAGACTCATCTCTGAGCAAAGTTACGGGCACTCACTCAGAAGTAAAGGAGACTCATCTCTGAGCAAAGTTACAGGCACTCACTCAGAAGTAAAGGAGACTCATCTCTGAGCAAAGTTACGGGCACTCACTCAGAAGTAAAGGAGACTCATCTCTGAGCAAAGTTACAGGCACTCACTCAGAAGTAAAGGAGACTCATCTCTGAGCAAAGTTACGGGCACTCACTCAGAAGTAAAGAAGACTCATCTCTGAGCAAAGTTACGGGCACTCACTCAGAAGTAAAGGAGACTCATCTCTGAGCAAAGTTACAGGCACTCACTCAGAAGTAAAGGAGACTCATCTCTGAGCAAAGTTACGGGCACTCACTCAGAAGTAAAGGAGACTCATCTCTGAGCAAAGTTACAGGCACTCACTCAGAAGTAAAGGAGACTCATATCTGAGCAAAGTTACGGGCACTCACTCAGAAGTAAAGAAGACTCATCTCTGAGCAAAGTTACGGGCACTCACTCAGAAGTAAAGGAGACTCATCTCTGAGCAAAGTTACGGGCACTCACTCAGAAGTAAAGAAGACTCATCTCTGAGCAAAGTTACAGGCACTCACTCAGAAGTAAAGGAGACTCATCTCTGAGCAAAGTTACGGGCACTCACTCAGAAGTAAAGGAGACTCATCTCTGAGCAAAGTTACGGGCACTCACTCAGAAGTAAAGGAGACTCATCTCTGAGCAAAGTAATGAGCACTCACTCAGAAGTAAAGGAGACTCATCTCTGAGCAAAGTAATGAGCACTCACTCAGAAGTAAAGAAGACTCATCTCTGAGCAAAGTTACGGGCACTCACTCAGAAGTAAAGGAGACTCATCTCTGAGCAAAGTTACGGGCACTCACTCAGAAGTAAAGAAGACTCATCTCTGAGCAAAGTTACAGGCACTCACTCAGAAGTAAAGGAGACTCATCTCTGAGCAAAGTTACGGGCACTCACTCAGAAGTAAAGGAGACTCATCTCTGAGCAAAGTTACAGGCACTCACTCAGTAGTAAAGAAGACTCATCTCTGAGCAAAGTTACGGGCACTCACTCAGAAGTAAAGAAGACTCATCTCTGAGCAAAGTAATGAGCACTCACTCAGTAGTAAAGAAGACTCATCTTTGAGCAAAGTTACGGGCACTCACTCAGAAGTAAAGGAGACTCATCTCTGAAATGAAGGAAAGTGAGAAAATAAATAATCCACAAATCTTAAAGAAATAACTAGTCAACTAATCTCATACCCGACATGAACTTTAGGCGGGCAATGCGCCCTGGTTTGGCATGATTAGACCGTGTTATCGGCTTTCCTCTCCCCCGGAAAAATATGAAAATCCTTTTTTGATTTTACCAGCGTACAATCCAAAAGCTTCACCCTACGTTCGCAAGAAGTACAAACAAAAACTGGAAAACTTTCAAAAAAATTGCGAACTTATCACCTATCTTGGATCGAACATGACGAAGCGTTATCGCGATCCTGCAGAGCGTCCTATTGACTTTGACCACAAGATGGGGCAGTTTCTTAGTTTACAAAATTCAGTCCCAATTGAGGGGTGGGCCAAGTAGTTCTTTTCACTGTGTTAATTCCTGAGAAATTTTAAAGTTTTGTTCGTAATATTAAAAAAGTTAGGAATCCCTTAATCTGGGAACCAGCACATTAAAAAGAACAATATGACTCAATAGGGGTTAGTTGTACATTTATGAATTACCACCGCACAATTTTTTAATGCTTCTGGTATTCAAGATTACTCACAGCCTTCTATTTTTAATGGAAAAGTAAATATACATACTAATATATATACTTAAAGTGGAATACGTTTAGCACTGTATGTCTATATAAATAAATTTGGGCGCTCCATAAGAGTGTGTACCAATATGGAAGTGACTAATTTTGTTTGCCTACTTTACATCAAGTTGTTTGAAGGGACTGAAACCTATGGGCAGGGGTATATTCACTTGTCTAACACAGACAGTCCCCAAACTCTTAATAGAACTAAAGTAAGAAGAATCGGAAAAAATTAAAAATTATGGCCTAACCCTAACTTCGTACACATACTACGGAAGTACCAAAATTTGGCTCCTTCCCCCCAGTATGGATATATCAAAATGCTGTGACACCCCCGAAAATTGAGATGTCGTGTTGACTTTTTTTTCCCTAGAGATATTTATAAAAATATCATCTCAATAGTTCTCCTATTAATATCCTTTTCAAGTGCTTTCAGCAAACTTGTAAATATGTTAAATGAGTCATATTAAATTTGAAGGATGTTACAAAAATGCTGTATATTTCAGATTGTTTTTCATGTGACTTTATGTTTAAATTGTACAGTTTTCGATAAAATATATATATATCTCTTGACTATGAAATTGAATTATGGATTGATATATCCCTCGATTGCGTAGGTTTGAGTTTTGGACTGTGTGAGGGGTAAATTAGGGATGTGCAAGAGGGTTATCGGAGTCCTAACCAATGTTCCCTCTAATTTTTTGAGTATGTGTGCGCTGAAATTTTAGTGTGTGCGCACTTTTTTGGAAATGACTAATATTTGTGCAGAAACCAATGAAAAAATTTTGGCTTTCTAACTGGGTAATGGGTGGTCCAACAACAAATTTTCTCAACCTGCCAACCGAGAACATTGTTACATTACATCGAAATACGTCTGTGCGCAGTAAATCTATGCGTGTGCGCAGCCTCTGAAAGCTGTGTGCACGCGCACACCTTGGAGGAAACACTGCTCCTAACTTTCGTAGGGTGGCTCACATCCACCGCTCTCTGGTTATTACTTTGTTAACCATTAAGACCACACATCTGAAACAGTTTCATTATTGATATAACCGACACGAACTGGTGTCCGGGAATGGAAAAATGAAGGAAAGAGTAGGATTTCAATATTTATCACGGTGTGAAAGAGAGTCGGCAAGGCAATCATACTTAACATAAAAAGAGGCGATTATTAAACACAGTACTATGATTATCGGACAAAACGACGTTGGAAGAATAAACGACAATCAGCATCTTTTCATAAATGCTAAAAAGGCGCGGCGGTGTGGCTCAACGGGCTAAGCGTTAGGAATACGCTCGCCACCGCACCTCTAATTACAATGCGTGGGTTCGCAGGTTCGAATCCCATGCAGGGATGGTTACGTGCGAGAGGATTGCTGGACTCCTCGCCGTCGTTGGGTGGTTCACGTAACCGCTGGTCGGTTACGGCTTCCTCCACCACCAAGTCCATGCTTCCGAAAACAAACAATACAGTAAAACTAATCCCATACCCGACTTGGAATGGTAACCGGACGAGAGGCCGTGGTTCGCCATATGGATAAGCCGTCTTATCGGCTTTCCTATCGGATCAATATGTAAATCCTATCCTATCCTAACCCGAGTGGCGAGAGCGAATTCGATCAAAAAAATGGCTAGCTAAGGAATCTTAAATAGCATTGATTAGGTATGTAATAAGTCAGATATATATTTGAATGGAAAAAAAGCAGTTAACCTTGTCAGCAAACCGTCGTACTATTTTTGATACTAGTATTGACCTTAGAGTTGCCAACCGTCCTTTATTTCGAAGGACAATTCTTTAAACAAGCTTTTCGGTCCTTGTCCTTTTTAGCATTTATGAAAAGATGCTGATTGTCGTTTATTCTTCCAACGTCGTTTTGCCCGATAGTCATAGTACTTTGTTTAATAATCGCCCCTTTTTATGTATTTTCAAGCTTTTAATTATTCTTTTCAATTTTGCTTTGGTCCGGTCAAATAGCCAAAGAACTAACAATTTTATTAACATTGTTTGGGTCAAAGGTAAATAAAAATTAAATGAAAAACACGTGAAGATTGTTTTAATATATCTTTTCAGCTTGTATATAATTTTAATTTCATTGTTTTATTTTGTTCTTTCATGCAAGTTACAAAATAAATGATGACGATAATCAAAGTTCTTCATTAAATCTTTTCATAGTTGGCAACCCTAATTGACCACTATCTTTCGTTATTTTTGTCTAACTTCAAGACATTTTTGAATCCGACATACCCGGGTCCGTGTTATTATTCTCTGTTTCGATCCATCAGTGCCATTTGCCAGAAAGAGGCATCGGTTTACTGTAAGTCTCTGTTTGTTACAAAAATCATTAATTTCATTTTTCCTTTTAAAAATTATCCTGAGGGTCTCGCGATCCGATATTTTAATCCAACTTTATGTTTACTCTTGAAATCTTGGATGAAGATGATCTCCAAAAAATAAAATAGGTCAGACTTTTTTAATAACCTTTATTTTTCTTATATAATCATTATTTTCCATGTCTTCTGAACAAATATGTTCAATATGTCATTTTTTGTGTCTACCCGATTTTTTTATATGCTGCAATTTGTGTGACCTTAAATTTCACCCTGCATGTGTTGCCCCATTGCTCCACCCAAATTTAAACTATATTTGTGAAGTGTGCCTTGCTCAAAATTCTCATGCCTCTTTTCCATATACCTTTTCATGGGAATCATTGAACTTGCCCTCTACTATTTGCCCTATTACAAGTGAATACCTAGAACTCCCTAATATTAGTGGAACTTTATCGCAGCTCAAATCGACTGACTTCATTTTTTTGCATGTCAATATAAGATCCCTTCCAAAGCACATTGATGACCTAATGCAAATGTTAACAAGTTTCGACCAACTACCGCATATCATTGCCTTAAGCGAAACTAGACTTAATGAATCTCCCATTAGTACTATATTTATAAATAATTACAACTTCATTCATTTTCCATCTCCTACCAAGGCTGGGGGTGTAGGGATTTTTATACGCCATGATGTTTTATTTGTTGAAACAATTGAGTTTAGACTCAACTTTCCCCATTGTGAAGATATATGGATTCAGGTTAATGAATCCTCATCTGATAACCCCAAAAAGTTCATTGTTGGAGTTGTTTACAAACATCCTCGCAACGATCTTTCCGATTTCATGGAAACAATGAATTCCCTACTTTCCAAACTAGAAAATTCGAAAAGCCTTTTTATAATCTTGGGCGACTTTAATATTAATTTACTATCCAAAGATAATTTGTCTACACGTTACACTGACATGCTTCTATCGCACCTAGCCGTTCCAATCATAACGCGCCCAACAAGAGTAACCTCGACATCACATACATTAATTGATCATATATACACGAATGCAATCGATCGCTGCTCCTCGTCTATTATCATACAACATGATATATCCGATCACTTTCCTATTATGTCATCCTTTTCTTTTTCGAACACAACTTTCCGTAAGGCCAAACCCCGCATGAAAAGAAAAATGTCTCATTTCAATGAGGAAACATTCAGAAATGATGCTCAAAATGCATTCTATGGATTTTTATTGACAGAATTGTCCACTGATAGCTTCAATGAGGTGTTCAACATCTTTATGACCTCATTGGAACACTTACTCGATGAACATGCACCTATGGTACCTGGTTCTCGCAAAAAAACAAAAATTCTATCCAAACCCTGGATTACGAATGGTATCCAAACATCCATTAGATTAAAAAGTAAAATGCATAAAAAATATTATTTGCATGGCAGTGAAAGCCAACGCGCACATTACAAAAAATACCACAACATCTTAGTTCACCTACTAAGAAAATCAAAACAAGCCTATTATTTGTCAAAAATGAAAAGCAATAGAGGAGATGTAAATCAAACATGGCAGACAATAAAGGAGATTGTGAACATTAAATCGAGGAACAACTCCTCAATATCAGAACTAAAACTTCAAAATGGACTCAAAACTAATGATAGCCTAACCATTGCATCCGAACTTAATAAATTCTTCTCAAATATTGGGAAAAATTTAATAGCAGATGTTCCCACAACAAATGAACATTTCTCGAGCTTTCTAAAAGCTCCCGTTAAGGAGTCAATTTATATGCGAACAACAAATGTGACCGAAGTCTTCAATACCATTCTTGCTTTGAAAACGGGAAAGGCCACAGGCCCATATAACATCTCTACATTTCTCCTTAAGAAGATTGCTGACATAATCTCACCCATCATAGTAAATTTCTTCAACACGTCTATAAGAATAGGCATATTTCCATCTGCGCTGAAACTTGCCAGAGTCATACCATTATACAAATCAGGTGATAAAACTAACCCATCTAATTATCGACCAATCTCCATCTTATCATGTCTGGCAATTGTCTTTGAGAAACTTCTGTATTGCAGATTAAGTGATTTTTGTGGTGAGAACAAACTAATAAATAAATGCCAATTTGGTTTCCAAAAAAATCACTCAACAAGCCATGCCATAATTGACCTCATAGAATATATCTATGATAAATTCGAGAAGGGAGAGCATGTCTGCTGTGCCTTTTTAGACCTAAAAAAAGCCTTTGATACCGTTAGTCATAGCATACTCCTTCGCAAACTTAATCACTACGGAATTCGAGGTTGCGCGCATGCCCTCATCAAAGATTATCTGCAGGGCAGACTCCAATTTGTCGAAGTTGACTCTCACCGTTCCCAAGTTCTTCCAATCGAAGCTGGTGTAATCCAAGGGTCTTGCCTTGGCCCATTATTATTCGTTCTTTTTATAAACGACATCTCTCATTGCTCTGATTTGATGACCAAATTATTTGCAGATGACACCGGTCTTCTCTGTAGTTCCAAATCTTCACTGAATCTCCAAAATCATGTCAACCTAGAAATGGTAAAAATTTATAATTGGATGCTTAGTAACAAGCTCACCATCAATATACAAAAGTCTAAAGTAGTCCACATTAAGCCTAATCACAACCGCGACAAAACTCCTTTAGAAATCAAAATCAATGGAATCGAGCTCGAGTCTGTGCCTTCGTATAAATATCTGGGGTTAAACATAGACAATCGTCTACAGTGGGATGTGCACATCAATGAAGTGCGAAAAAAACTTTCACGTTCAGTAGGCATCTTGAGCAAACTCCAACATTACACGGACAGAAATACACTGAAGATAGTTTATTATTCTCTCTTTCAAACATATATCCAATATGCAGTTGTTGCATGGGGATCAGCCTCCAAGTCAAAACTAAATCCTATTAAAGTTTTACAGAACAGGGCCGTTAAAATTCTCTATAGGCCTACTGCTCATATTAACATGAATATTATGTATCATGAAACTGGTGTCCTGAAGTATACCGATATTTATCATCTAGAAATTGGTAAGTTGATGCACCAATTCCACAATTGTTGCCTGCCACAGGCATTTAATAACTATTTTGTCAAGCAAAGCAATGTTCACAATTATAACACTAGATCAGCATCCACTTCATCACTCCATGTACCTCGACAGACTTACACTAAAACTCAAAATTCACTCAAATATAAGGGTGTTATTATGTGGAATGCTCTCCGTGCTGATTTACGAAGCATGTCATACCAACTTTTCAAATCAAATATGAAAAAGAATTTCGTGTCGACTTACTTCGAATGTTTGTAACAACCCGACCAAGATCTTTATTGTGGCTGCTTTTATGACACCACCTGAAAAAAATATAATGTGAAAGGTTATTGAATCACTGCAATGACCTAGTAATTACTGTATACTTGCAATAGTTAATATATTATGTCTTCATTACTTTACAGCAACAATCTTTCTCAATTTATAGCTCTTGTATCTTTATATGACAAACGTTCATTACTGTATTTACTTTAATGTAGTGAATGAGTTCATATCTGATTTCTGTAATTGAATCAATGCCCTGAGCATTGATGACACATGTTATTCATATGTTAAAAAGCAAACAAAACATGTCCTATTAACATTATTTTTTTTGTCGACTTACTTCCAATTGTTTGAAACAATCTGTCTCCTAAGTTGTTGTATTACTGTTTTCATACCCTCACCTAAAACAGAGTGAATAATGTTATTGAACTATTCCTAATGACCAAGTACTGTAAATATGGCTTAGCTGTGATAATTGACGTAATTATTGCATTACTAATTTTCTCATTACGCTGTCCTTATATGTTCAAACTGTTGTCCAGTGCAAATTATTCTTTTAATGGACCACGTCTGCATTGATATACAGTATATCACTGCAGCACTGAGTACCGTTACCGGTACCTACCACGTTACCGTATCTCGTTTAATTTAATTTTAGCGTCACAGATATTCCGTCTTTCTATTTAATGCTACAAGATTTTATTACCTGTTTTCTTTGCTCTCAATATCCACCGCGTCTAATTGAAAGCCAGTGTTACGCCTTCGGAATCTGACGTTTATTGCCGACTGTTAGACAATGCGCATCACAATACAGCAATAGTATTGTTGTGACACAGTCCATTAATACCATCTCCATGGTTACCAAGTTAGTGGTGTTCAGAGTCGTGTTTTGTTGAAGTGAGCGACTGTTGATTATAGCAGATTGCCTCGAGATATTGTATGCATTTTATTTTCCAATTTATTTACACTGTATTTGACTTTTTCTTCTTTATAATATAGTGTCCAGAGTTATTTTATAGGTGCCGCTGCTCGATAACCACCACTGATTTCCCGCGTCCTTTTCATCCTGTAATATGGCCTATTTATAATTCATTGCCATTTGCATGTTTGCGCCTATTTAAACTATGGTTATATATAAACTACTTATTAGTGTTTATAGTGTTCGCATTCAGGCTATTTCTAAACAATATATACAACACGTATCAGCATTTCAGACCTTTACTTACCCGATTAATCAGGGAATACCCTACGAGTTATCCGATGGGATGGGATTTTCAAACCTGTACCGGTACATTTTATTCTTAAAACATAACTTCCGAGTTTCCAATTAAATTAGATGACGAATCTTGGGTGTCGCTGCTCGATAACCAAATTTGGTTCCCCGCGGCTTCCCTTCCCCAGTAAAAATGTGTGTTAAATTTTGTTTATCTTTTGATTTTGTATGTTATTTTTTTGCTGGTTGGAAAAAATAAAATTGACTATGACTATGACTATATTTTTTCAATAAATTCACGGTCATACAATTATATGACATTCGGTACAATTATTTAACATTCGGCAGAAATCTTGTTGACATCGCGATGATTTCACGAGTCATTTGACCTTAGTTTCAGTGTTATCAGGCATTGCCTGGAATACGATATAATTATGTCCAGATATTTGTTGAGCTGTATTGGAAGGAGGCAAACGATTTATCTAAGGAACATCAGATGTTTCGCAACAGAAGGTACGTTATCACTTTTGTTCATTATTATTGTAATGTTTGTGTGAAAAACCAATACCGGTACGTATCGTCTTTTGGTCATTGTTTATAGCAGGGCTACGGGTACGATACTCAACTGATTGATTATGGTCCCAATCCGGACCTTTCGAGTATTGGCAGGCAGATTATATCAAGGTTCGCAACCCACGCAGGGATGATCATGTGCGGGAGGATTGCTAGACTCATCGCTTAGGGCCGTCTCCACCATAAAGTTCATGCTTCCGAAAACAAATAACTGGCTAACTAATCCCATACCCCCGGACGAGAGGCCGTGGTTCGCTATATAATTAAGCAATTTTATCGGCTTTCCTTTTCCCTGGGATAAATATGTAAATGGTATCATAGTGTGAAATATTTTTTACTTGAAAGATTGGACCCCAATACTTTTGAAGTTTTGTATACGGATCTTTGGTGAAAATAGTGGAGTAGCCTTGGTTTATAGTCCCTTTGTTCATGTCTCGAAGAAAAACGCTCCATGGCCACCTGTGAGGGCCGAGCTTGATGCACCATGTTCTATATCTACATATTTTCATTTCAGAGCAAACCAGTGCAAACGTTCCAACAAAGAATGAAAAGCCACCACATGAACCTTCTAATCCTAGGCTGAACAAGACGGTTAATTTGTCGGACTTGAACAAGTTTTTTCTAAGAATGTCAGGACGATGGAAATTTGGGAAAGAAATTCCAGATTCCCTGCCGTGAGTGTATGAAGGCTTTTATTTTTCATTGCTTAAATATATAGGATGTATCCGGTACACTGGCAGTACGGCACACTTTACAGATCGAGTGACATTGTCTCGTTGCAGAGAATCCCATTTTGCTGATGAACAGACACTCCTCCTTTCAGGGACGTCTAGACATTGTTGTCCCTCAATATTGATGAAAATACAGTTAAATTTAGTTGTGCAATAAATTAAAAGAAGCGCAATTTAAAAACATCACCATTGAATTTCTTGTGAAAAAAAGATTCCGATTTTTGATATGACACATCCGCCGCAGACGCCCCTCGTTCGCGAGACACATGGAGTGTTTTGTTTTATTGAACGAAATGACAGGACATTCTTGGAATTTGGAAAGTGTGTCCTACTAATATGTAAGTTGTATCTGGTACACTGGTGATGTGACGTCATGGTGATAGTTTTTACAAAATTTCTTTATCCCCATGGCCAGGGGGTCAACTTTTCTTTTCGAAGTCAAAATGTCCTTCCATCCAGTTAGCAGTCCTTGTCTGGTATAGGATTAGTTAGCCAGGTATTTGTTTTCAGATGCATGGACTTGATGGGGGACGAAGGCGTAACCGACTAATGATTACAGTAATCACCCTACTGGAGCAAGGAGTCCAGCAATCCTCTCGCACATAACCATCCTTGCATGTGATTCAAACCTGCGAACCCACGCAGAGTAATCAGAGGTGCGGTGGCAAAGAGATTCCTAACGCATAGCACAATGCACCAAAATGCGGACGAGTTATTTATTCTGCAGTTATTCTTCCCAGTGGGTATCATGGTGGTGGAAAAAGCTGTAAACGACCGGAAGTTTATAACGTCGACTAGGAGTCCAGCGATCTTGCCGCACCCAGTTATCCTGATGCTGGGTAATCAGAAATGTGATGGCAATCGTCCTAACACTTTTTTATTTCAATTTCAGGCAAGACAAATACAACAGTGATATGTGGGTTGTGAGGATAAGAGTTGCAAGTGCGATGATGGTTATGTGGTTGCTGCTATGTCTCGGAATTGCTTCCTGGGGAAGAAAGGTCTGTGGGACCTCCAGAAGTATGCGCACCAAGATGGCGCACAACCTGAACATAGTAGTGTGTACTGGTTAGGATTAAGGTTGTGTGACATCTTGGTGCGCATACTTCTGGAGCACCGGTCTGTGTCTAACATTTTTTCTCATACACTAATTATTCACGCCTTTTTGGTTTGAACAAGACTCAGTGAAACAGTGGTTCTTCAACCGCTGCCCACGGGCCAATTATGGCCCGGGTAACGATTTATTATGACCTGTCGAACTTGAGTGGATCAATTTTTGCTGAAATTTTGTTACTCTAGTTCAGGGGTGCACAACACGGGGCACGCGTGCCAAATTTGGCACGCCATACGCTCAAACATGGCACGCGAACGTTTTTGTAAACAAAATTTTTTTTATTTATGATATCAAAATATCACGTTTATATCAAAATCAGCAGTTTTTCAGGACAATAAATAGATATTCATTCGTTATTTTGTAATATTATTGAAATTTGTTTGATGTGTGTTTTACGGGAGTCAATTTACAATACCAATCGTTCAAAGTGGCACACGACAAGATTATTTTGAAAAATTTGGCATGTGTCCTCATTTGAGTTGTGCACCCCTGCTCTAGTTATTTCAAAAGTTACTGTGGGCTCTAAGGGAATCGTTTATTGTTTGTGCCATGACGTCATCAAAATTGGAAAATTATTATGCATCTTGTGGCGGTTCCACGTTTGTGACCTTGTGCTCAGACGACGTCGCAAAGACTGTGGTATTGGTAGTCTACTATTACAGATTGCATACCAGTACTACCTAGTTTTGGCCTACGTGTCCATATATTTGAGCATCTCTCTCTTGTTTCAGCATATCAATGATTCACACCATCGTATCGTGATGCAACAATACCTCGAGCAACTTAGCGACAAAGAGCGAAAAGAATTTCTAGAAAAATATGATGTTAAAATGGACTCGAGGAACGGGAGATGACAATTTTAATTGTTGTCAATTAGCGCACTGTCGATTGATTCAAGCTGAAATGCTCAAAATAAATGTTTTCTAGTACACTCACCATATATATGAAGTGAATTGAAAAGTGAAATGAATAAACGTGTGTACAAACACTAAAATCAAGCATGGATCATGGTTGAATGTCTAAAATGATTCCATTTAGTGCGGAAATACTTTGGTCCGACATGAATTTAAAAATAACCTATTATTGTCACATTAGTTAGAACCAAGAGTTCCCAATATATTGAATAACGGTACTGATGTAGTATGAGAACCAAGATGGCGGACACCGGAACGAAGTATGTGTACCAGGTTGAGGTTAGACCATAATTTGAGGTACAAATACTACGGGAGTCACTTGGCTAGTCCCTGAACTCGTAAAAGAATTAAAATAAGGAACATTGGAATCAAATTATGTCCCTAACCTGGTACACATACTATGTTCCGTTGTTCGTCATCTTGGTTCAACCTTTCATCGTTCGCCGGCCACACATGTTTTGGCGCTCCCGTAGTATGTGAAACAAGATGGCGGACACCGGAACATAGTATGTGTACCAGGTTAGGCCATAATTTGATTCCAATTTTCCTTATTTACGAGTTCGGGTACTAGCCAAGTGACTCCCGTAGTATTTGTACCTGAAATTATGGCATAACCTGGTACACATACTATGTACCGCACATCATGGTCCACATACTACGAGAGTAACCATATACTATTTAAGAACAACAACAACATAATCTGCTCCGCGATCCTAGATTATCAATCAAACTATGGTTAAAATTCACAGCCACCGTTTTGTCGCTAAATTTCGGTGAAGGGCCGCAGGGCCAATTCACTCCACAAGCCGGATATGGCCCACGGGTCGTAGGTTGCTGACCCCTTGACAAAGGGACTGCCATTTCTGAGATTACTTGAATCTCTCCCGCGTTTGGCATTGCTTTCAATTCATCATATCCTGAGTGAGATGATTGTCACAGGATTTAAACTAGAGACATGTATTCTGCAATACCTACTGTACATAGCCAATATATTCTCAGCTTTTTATTTTTTTTTGGGGGGGGGGGGGTGTTTAGCGAAAAAATTATTTGTAACTTATAAAAATGTGTCGTTTTTGGCAAATGATCTACTCTACACTGTCATATTCTATATATTTAGATACAATTATACTTGAGTTAGGAATCAGTGTGGAATTGCACCTCAAAATTGTTCGAAATTTAGGAGGGGTGTTCACTTCCTGTAGGGAGGAGGTGGGGAGATCACTGTACAAAACGAAGTCCTATTTTATTGAGCCAACTTCCTTCTCTTATGAGAGGGGTGTGCAACTTTGAATGGTGTGCGGCCGGCAATACGAGTTTTTAATTTAGTTCAACTGGTACGTGCAAATAATTCCAAACCTATACACGAGTCTAATATGCCTATGACGTTACAACGCCCTCCTTCTTTGTGCCTGAAACTACTAGAAAGACGATGTTAAATGAAACTGTGACCCGCGGATTAGCCCAGTGGATCTCCTGTATCAAAGGTTGCACACACCTGTCTTATGGGGAAAAACACGAAATCCAACTAGTTCCTACTAAGGCATTGTGTTGATAACCTCAAACATATTTGACATGCATGCATTATTTATTTATAAAACACAGCAAATGAGGATTTTTATAAAAAGGCTGGATATCCACAAAGCCTTAATAATTTTAGAAATGAAACATAGCCCAGAGGCAAATGCTTCGAAAAAATCTTAAGACAATGGATGCTTCCCAGAGTCTCGATTTCCATGTTTATTTCCCTAACATCGACCAATCACCAATAAGTCAAGAATGACATGAGAATTGCATTTTAGCATCGTATTCGTGGTTTTGTGTGTTTTCAGTTTCAAAAATTTGTTGTAAATCAAAAAACTTGAATTTCAGTCTTCCCATGAACTTCGGATTAGTTACAATAATCAAAAATTGGCTGCTAAAAGGCATTGATAGACTCGCTATCAGTACCGGTTAGCGTCACATGGATAAATGTTTTTAATAAAAAAGGTGGTCATGAACATGTAAACCAGTTTGTGAGCGCTCTCCGAAACACTATCAAAATAAGCAAAAAAATTTGGAATAGTAAAGTATAGGCTGAATTTTCCATGGTCAAAGGTCGGAGAAACATCCATGATTTTGATAAATTTATAGACGCAATTATACATGAACAAGGACGGAAGTCCTCCTCACAATATTTCTAATATATAGACTTTGACGCCATAGACCAGGGATAGGATAAGCTTTGAGCGCTCCATAAGTGTGTGTACCAATATGGAGGTAACTAATTTTGTTCGCCTACTTTACATCAAGTTGTGTAAAGGGACTGATAGCTATGGGCAGGTCCCCGAACTCGTAATAAAACTGGAATATTGGAATAAAATTATGGCCTAACCTGGTACACATACTACAGGAGTACCAAACTTTGTTTCAGAGGTTAAATGTTTCAAACCAAGACTGGACGGACAATGTAGTTTGGAGTAATAATGTTGAAGTTTACAAACAAAATATCGGCATTGAACTAATTAATTGAAATGTCAAATATTGATCAATCCACAAATAGCAGCAATCATGAAATTGGACTCTCTACTTGACAAATACGCCAGTCGCCCCTTTATAAAGAGATTATGGTACTCCCGTGGTATGTGTACCAGGTTAGGGTTAAGCCATAATTTTATTCCGATTTTCCTTATTTTAGTTCTATTACGAGTTCGGGAATCTATGTTAGCCAAGCGAATATACCCCCTGTCCATAGGTTTCAGTCCCTTTACACAACTTGATGTATAGTAGGCGGACAAAATTAGTTACCTCAATATTTGAAGAATCTAAACTTCAGAGCCCTATATATAATCACTGCGAAACTAGGAAATCTTGAATGAATTCAAAAGCAGAAATTCCGGCACTCTAGCAGAAGTGTATGTGCTACATGGAGGTAACTAATTTTGTTCGCCTACTTAACATCAAGTTGTGTAAAGGGACTGAAGCCTATGGGCAGAGACTATATTCACTTGGCTAACACAGACAGTCCCCGAATTCGGAAAAGAAGTTAAATAAGGGAAATCGGGATAAAATTATAGTGCAACCTGGTACACATACTACGGGAGTACCGAAATTCACAGGAATAGAATCTGAATTTTGTCATAGCTCAATTTAACAATGACTTCGATTACAATCAGTCTTTATTTGGCGGTTACTGTCCCTTGATTGAGGGATTTTCTCTTCAATACGTCCCAATTGTAAACCCGAGCCATGCTAACTTCTGTCGTTGTGCACTGGTCACGTAAATAATCTAAATCGTCGTTCACGGAATCAAGATTTTTGACAGCAGTTTTTAAATTGTTGTTCAGAAGATCGTAAGCGTCTTCCACCGAGTAGTTGAGCATGACATTGGCCTGAAAAAGATCAGAGATTCGCTGAATGAAAGTCCATGCTCATGAAACAAATATCTGGCAACTAATCCCATACCCGACATGGAATGGTAACCGGACGAGAGGCCGTGTTTCGCCATATGATTAAGAAGGATGTAAATCTCATTCTAAATCAGTGCTCCCAAACGGGGAGGAATAAAAATATTTTGGGAGAAAAACTTTTCTTTGTGATTACGGGCAGCATTGCTAACATAGTTGGCTCAACACTCTTCCATACTAAAGAAATTTCTCCCCTTTGCCCATTTTGGAATTCCTCATTCCCTCCTTATGCATGAGACTACTTTATTTGTTTGGTCTTAAATGGATCATTAGCTATCGCACTGCGCTTTTGTAAAGATTGAGTAGTTTAGTTTCCAAGTCAGGGGTCGGCAAACTTTTGTCGTTCGCGGGCCAATATTAAAGGTTTCAAGTCGGGCCGGCCGTACTTATTTTTAAAAATTTAAAAACTGAAGGAATGACCAATGAATCATATCTTTTCACACAGATTTCAGTTAAATTTCAAGCAGTGCGAGAAGACTGATCATTTAAATATTTTCTGTGCCTTTAACCCATTTGTACTCAGCATCAACTTTTTTGCGTTTTGTTGCCATTTGTCTAATTATAATCAATTATAGGCTCATTAAACAGAGTGATTGTGAATTATATACTTAGGTTAGGTTATAATACAATTTAGTGTCTCAAAACAAATTCTGTCACGAAAAGAATATAATCGTCAATACAGCTGTTTTGTTAATATAATTCAGTGAAGCGTCGCGGGCCGGATTATAATATTGATCCGAGCGGATCCGGCCCACGGGCCGTAGTTTGCCGACCCCTGGCCCAGATGATTATTACAGAAATAACGAGAATATCGGTCGGAGGCCGAATACTTATCGATCGAAACTGCGATTTCGATTCATAACTCTATAGCGACACCACGTGTCCCATCACTAATAAATCAATAACTCGCTAATTATACGACATAATTCATCCAAAATAGATAGGCTTCTGGTCCGAGATATGATGAATGCACATGCAAAATTCGGAGCAAATTCAACCTCGCCTTCTTGAGATATCGCGTTCATCTAACAGACAGGCAAATACCTATCGACATACTTTAGGCTTCTCGTCAGAGATATGATGAATGCTCATGCAAAATTTGGAGCAGATTCAACCTCGCCTTCTAGAGATATCGCGTTCATCTAACAGACGGGCAAATACCTATCGACATACTTTAGGCTTCTCGTCAGAGATATGATGAATGCACATGCAAAATTTGGAGCAGATTCAACCTCGCCTTCTTGAGATATCGCGTTCAGCTAACAGACAGGCAAATACCTATCGACATACTTTAGGCTTCTCGTCAGAGATATGATGAATGCTCATGCAAAATTTGGAGCAGATTCAACCTCGCCTTCTAGAGATATCGCGTTCATCTAACAGACGGGCAAATACCTATCGCCATACTTTAGGCTTCTCGTCAGAGATATGATGAATGCTCATGCAAAATTTGGAGCAGATTCAACCTCGCCTTCTTGAGATATCACGTTCTAACAGACAGGTAAATACCTGTATGTCGATAAGTAATAAAAGCCCACCATAACCCCCCCAGATAAACATGCAAGCTATATACTTACTCCAAGCCATAGACAGACATCCTTCGTGGGTGGTATTGTTGCTTTCGCTCTGAGAGAACCAGAAAGTAGGAAATGAGTTTCCATTGATTCATCTTTGTCCTGTTAATCAGTGAATTTTTATTGAAATAAAGCTTTACATCAGTGTTTCCCAATCAGGAAGTTATCTTCTTGAAGGAGGATATTCTAGTTTTTATTTGCGCTTGATATTACTATCACAATAATTCGGCTTGCTTATTCATCAAGTCCAAGCATCCAAAAACAAATAACTTCAAAACGAATTAAGGAAGGATGCATTAAAAAGCCTTCCAGTAGTTTTCTGTATTTCAGTGTTTGTCCTACGCGACCCACTCATTGGGAAACACTGGCCATCACCCCAACTCAGCGGGCATCATGCTAAAATTGCTGATTACCCTGCGTGGGTTCGCAGGTAAGAATCCCATGTGACGATACTTCTAAGGGTGATCAACGTGCCTGCTGGTCGGTTACAGCTTCCTTCATCATCAAGTCCATGCCTCCGAAAACGAATAACTACCTAACTAAACCCATACCCGTCATGAAATGGTAATCGGATCTGAGGGTCGCTATATTATTACGCCGTCTTATCGTCGTTTCTCTCCCCAAAAATATATATATTTGTGAATCTTATCCTAACTTGGAATAAAAATTAGTTTTGGGGAAATAACAGGAAAGTCCAAAATGAAGATCTTACTTTAATATCATTCAAATGCTTCACAATATCTAAAGTTGTTTTGATCTCAGGAATCTGATTCTTCAATTTCTCTTTCTTATGATTCAACGACATCTCCATCATCTTGTATTTCTGGTAACGTTCCTCAAGTTTTTTCAAAGCCCCCTGAAATAATAAGAAATGGATAATTGAGCGTACTGTAATACCTTTGAAGTGGAGGGGAGGTCATAGCACAGTGACATATCTCTGTTATGTTCGCATGATGGAAATTAATGGGATTATCATTTTACTAACACGCAAAACCAAAAAAGGCAATGTTTACAACCACGTTTGAATATCTGTCTGAGCGAAAGAAGTGTCTGAGTGGCGACATAAATTCCAATTGTTATGTCATTGTTAACTTATTGCTGATTTGTAATTGTTACGGGAATAAACAAGGAAATCAGAAATGGTTATAATACACCCAATAGAAGTACTATGGGTACGAAACTACACGAGAGCCGAGTTCATAGAGTTCTTGCTACAGTCAGACAGTATCTGCTATCGTGCGCAATCAGTGAATGAATCCACTAACATAAATGCGGAGAGAGTGGTAGTAAGATAGGTGTCAGTTCAATCAGCCATAGCTTACTGTTACCTGTGCTGAGGAATCAGGCTCTTCTGCCATGAATTTGTCTACATCTTCCTAAAAACAAAAGAGCGATGTTTAAATAAAGGTCATGGATGTAAAATCTAAAAATGGTCAGGTGATAGGATTAATATATTTGTCCCAGAAGAGAAGAAAGTTAAAAAGACGGCTCAATCATTTGGCGAACCACAGCCTTTGGCGAGATTACCAGTCCATGTCGGGTATGGGGTTAGTTAGTCAGTTATTTGTTTTCAGATGGACTTGATGGTGGAGGAAGGCAGGACCAGCCAACCAGCCAGCGATTACGTGAACCCCCCATGCTGCCACGGAGTGAGGAGTCCAGCAATCCTCTCGCACAGAATTATTACCACAGGGTAATTAGAGCTGCTGTGACGAGCGTATTTTTAACACCTAACATGATGCCCACACGGTCGAGTCGAGTTAATTATTCAGCCTTGGCAATACTGCAATAAGCTAACTTAACGCAAGATAAACAGGATGGCTGGATTCCTTCACATAACTACTGGCAGACTGGTCGGGTATGGCTTCTTCCACCAGCAACTCCATGCATCTGAATCAAATACCGGCAACTGGCAGAATGGACTGGTAATGCAGTAATGAGACAATTTAATATGTTTTGTGTTTACAACTTTTGTAATTGAGTTTGAAGGTCTACCAGTCTCTAAGTTGGCAAAATTTGTTTCAAAACGTTACCAGTCCAGCAGTCTGTAAACTGTATGAATTGAGAACCGCAGAACCAGATCAATATTTTTTTAACGTTAATGGATCACGTTATGACTTATCGATCTTTAGATCGGTAAGTATGTTGATAGGTGTTTGTCTGTCTGTCTGTTAGATGCACGCGATATCTCACGAAGGCGTGGTTGAATCAGCTCCAAATTTTGCATGTGCGTTCATCCTATCTCAGACCAAAAGTCTATTGATTTTGGATGAATTAGCGACTTATTAATTAATTAGTGAGGGACACTCGATGTCACTATAAGGTCATGAATGAAAACCGCAGTTTCGATCGATATGTCTTCGATCTCTGACCGATATTCTCGTCTGATTATTATGATAGGATTTACATATTTATCCCGGGGGAGAGGAAAGCCGATAAGACGGCTTATCCATATGGCGAACCACGGCCTCTCATCCGGTTACCATTCCAAGTCGGGTATGGGATTAGTTATATTGTTTGTTTTCGGAAGCATGGACTTGGTGGTGGAGGAAGCCGTAACCGACCAGCGGTTACGTGAACCACCCAACGACGATGAGGAGTCCAGCAATCCTCTCGCACATAACCATTCCTGCATGGGATTCGAACCTGCGAACCCACGCAGAGTAGTTAGAGGTGCGGTGGCGAGCGTATTCCTAACGCTTAGCCCGTTGAGCCACACCGCCGCGCCGGACAGACACTGAGACCTGGAGACAGGCAAACTTATGACTTACCACAAACTCTGCCTCCGGAATCCCTAGGTGAGCTTTCTTAGTTTCAGTCGCCATATTTAACTAGCCTTTGAAAACTTCCAATGTTCAAGTTCGTTTCCTAGTTTTCGACAAATCCAATAATAGCAAAACAGCCCAAAATGAAGACAATTTCTGACCGAAACTACCAAAAGGAATGGTCGGGACTTGTGAAGTCGCTATAGCGACGAATCGTTGACCCAGTCATGCGTTTCGCGACCAAAAATAGTCATTTTCGCGAATGCCATAAAAAAATCGTTTCGAATGATAAAAAAATACTATTTCTCAAAAAAATCATTTAGGATTTATTAGAGAAACATTTTTGTATCTGCCTAAAGCTATAGTTCAGGTACCTAGTTTAAAGTCCGGTTGACGAGTGAGTTGTTTTCACCTACATTCTATTTCACAAGATGAAATGGTATATGTAGTATCTTTATGTCTCATTTTCCGAACTTCATTTAGGGATTTGACAACTTTCTTAAATTTCCGTCCTGCGTGTTTGTCCTATGAGCTGTTATATTTTGCGCCATGGACCTGTTCAAAATGAAATATATTAAGAGATAGCTGATCTTGACTGACTAAACTGATATTGCAACTAATGTAAAACTCCTCGGGAGACAGTCTGAATACATATATACTTGAATTTAGCAAACACAACTAAAAACTAACAAAAAGGTTAGAAAACCGCGGAACTGTGCCAATCTTTTCTTCTGTCCGCGTGAAAAATGTTGGAGAAAAATCAATTGTTACATCACCGTCAACCAATTGCTCATTGGCCATTATTTCGGAAATAACCAAAGGAGCCAGAAGCATCTAATGTGAAAGCCACGCTGTATGCTGGATGTTTGTGATAGCCATTATTCAGGCTAGAAATGATGAAAAAATTCGGGTAACAATTCTCTAGTTCATTTACAATGTCGTTAGAGGTTTGAATGTTTAATCGGATACAACACTGCCTGCGACGCAAGCTGTTTATTCAAGTAGGCTACCGGCAACATACGTTTCATTATTTCATCAGGTCAGGATCTTACTTCTATGGGTGAGTTTATATTTACTCGTGTATTGATTAGATAAATCATTTTTAACTCCGCCACCGTGCCTAGAATGACGGAACACCGGGCGAGGATTCGAAAACCTAAAGGAGGCCGTCCGACCGTATGATGTAAAAGCTGATGTCTTTACAGTCTATCGTTTTAGTTAGTTCGGCTCGGCCAACAAGTCCTTGTGTCTGAAAACAGAAAATAACTGGCAAACTAATCCCATACCCGACATTGATTGGTAACCGGACGAGTGGCCGTGGTAGGGCTTCCCTCTCCCCGGGGTGAAATATGTAAAATCCTTTCCTATCCTAGCTAGATGTATGAGTTTGGTTGGAAGCCGTTACCGAACCACCCTGTAAAGACAAAGAGTCCAGAAACCCTCGCGCACTCGAACATTATCAACCTTTACCCTGAAGCGGCATTTTCACTTCATTTTACATGCTGTTTGTACAAAACGCGTTTTTTGTGTGGATTCGGACCAGCGAATCCCGCAGGGCAATTATTCATTGATTAATATCAAAGGCCGGCATATAAATTACCATTATCGCCCGAAAACTCGCCTCTGCGAGATTAGACAGTAGCAATCAGGTGCTGAAGTCGTATGTAAGTTGATTTGTGCAAAACGTAACTTCGGCAAAAGTAATTCGATCTGTAATTACCAAGTGTCAGTACTTTCAGTCAGTACTCAGTGTTACTTTGCATGCTGAGATTCGCTGACGTAGATGTCAGAAGATGCTTGCTAACACGGAAGTTAGTGACGTTCTTCGATTCAAACTTGATTCAACTCACTCTCAAATTTTCGTTTGAAACGTTGTCGAGTAGCTAGCTAGCTTGTAGGAATGGTCGATATGTCCAGAGTAGGGCTGGACGTATCTTCGAATGACGAATGGAATATTCAATAACAACAAATATTATAAGGTTAATTTGTCATTCCCATAACTAATTACATTCAATCTGTGCAATTCGCAAGCTGTGGAGCCTATGAGAGAATTTAAACGAATTACGCGTCCCCAGAAATTTGAATAATAACAACGTAATAATATATTGCAACGTATAGCTATTTACATTATGCAATGGATCTACTTACAAGCATGTCCGTCTATTATTTGAAATGTTTTACAATTGCTATCAATGGCCTTCTAGATTATAGTATAATTAGTATATCCATATCGCTATATTTATTTATTGTATGTACTCGCTGTTTGATTAAGGTATGTCTTGTTTTGTCTTAAATTTCCATTAAACAGCAGACTGCCCTTTCGCTCTGGATTGTAAAGTAAACAGGAAAGGCCTGCTGCTAAATTACGGAAATATATATCTGCTTAGGAATTAAATGCCTCTTGTTATTGAGCGAAACGTTCGCGGAATCATTCGAACGCCAGTTTCTTGTACCAAAACTCAGCTTTGCCCCGCTCTGTCACTGACGGAGTTGATGAAAGTTATGTTAATGTCACCAAAATTTGAATGTAAAAACGTTTAGACATGAGTCTTAGACACGTGGCACTCAAAGTTCGCAAAATCTTCTCACATACCGCAACCTGGGTGAAATAGATATCGGCTTCAAGTAATAGATCAGAAGTCATAAATAAAAGAAACGACACCAAAATTACTTTGTTTTGGAGTATCGCTCTATTGTTCAATGTTTTTTTTTGTGCCGCAACCTCCTACGGCCGACGAAGAATGTACTTGATCGTGAATTCAAAAGCTTTCAACTTTTATATCAAACCCGCGAAAGAGGAAAGCCGATAAGACGGCTAAATCACATGGTGAGCCACGAACTTTTGTCTGGATACCAGTCATGGGACAACCCGTCATAAACCTCTTTCGCCAATTTATAACACAACACGTACGATAAACATGACCATTTTAAAATTGCTATTTAATTCAAGAAACTTTTAGAACTTAAGAGAATAAAGTAAAAATATGATAATAAAATCTCATAATGACATTTCAACCAGAAATATACTTTGCCTAAATAGGCTATAAGTGATAGGGTGTCGGTGACACGCTCGATCGAGGTTTCGAACTAGAATAAAAAAAATATAATTATAGCTATAATTGGGTTAGACTTCAAGTTAGGAATGTCCTGCCATTTTTTGCGGCATATATCATGATTTTTCTTTAAAAAAGATCAGTTTAGATAATTTGTGATTGAAATTAATTCATTGAATACTAGACTAATCTGATGGCTCGGAGGAATAAAACTGTGTTTGCGTCGTAGGTTATAGATCTTACGTTCAAACCCCGTGTCTACCCCCTCATCCAAAGAGTGTGGGCCCGTGGCCCCCAACCTTTTATTGGTCGTGCTCTCCTTCTGGAGGGGTTTAGCTCTCATGGTCCGTCCCCCTGTTTATCATTCCAATGGTATTTAAAGTAATATTTTAATTGGTAGGTTCCAAATCCTATTAACTTCAAACAAATCATGCTCAACAAAGTGAAAACACCCTGCGAAATAACATTATCAAGCAATGGAACTATGAAGAACAGGGAGTTTTTTCCTGGAGAGAAATTTAAAACCAGTTTTACGCCTAGCATTATGGCCGCCTTAAAGTTGCCACGAGCCAGGTTGACCGCTGATGTAGGTCAAACCGGAAAAAATAAGTAATTCAAAACAATAATAAATTTTTGCGCATCACAATTGACCGAATGTATACAAAGTAAGGCGTGAAAAATTTTCATAAAAATGTAGGTCAATATTCGGGTCGGATTGATTCGATCATAAAAGTGCTTCGTCATTGATAAATAATTTTAATTTAGCAAGTCTTAGAATTGTGTCTTACAGAGTCACACAACTCTTTTATGAATGAAAAATACTGTACAGAATAATCAATGCTGAATGAAAATCAAAGGCCTATTTTGCGAAGAAAAAATAAATGATTTGATAATAAACATAGGATATGGAGTATGTGGTGAAAGTATTATTGATAGCAAGCCATGAAACGTCAGTAAGATTCTTATATTAATACATAAATATCGGTAAGGAACATGGGTATGTTAAAAATTCGAAAAAATTTAACCATAAATAATAAAACGAAAACTGTGTCACAAGGTCTATAAAATACACAAAATCATAGAATAATTTTTATTCGCATATATAATAATATAATAACGTTAAAACAAATAATGGTTTTCATCGACAAATTTTGCTAAGTAAACGAGATGAAAAAAAAAACGATGTCCGGACAATTTCTCCCGGAAATTTCTAAAACCAGTGACATTATTCAGAAAATTATTAGCTACTCCTGAATTATGTGAACCAAGATGGCGGACAACGGAACGTAGTATGTGTACCAAGTTAGGGTTAGAACATACTTTTATTCTAATTTTCTATATTTTAGTTCTATTACGAGTTCGGGGACTAGCCAAGTGACTCTCATAGTATTTGTCCCTGAAATTATAACCTAGCTCTAACCTGGTACACATACTACATTCCGGTGTCCGCCATCTTGGTTCACATACTTCGGGAGCACCGCAAATTAATTTAAAAAAGTCTTTTAATATAGCTTAGGGTTGGATTTGTCGGGGAGAAATATTCCATAAGTGAACTATATGAGGGAAAAATTTTCCTAGTTCAAAAAATATTTGATGAAATGAATACATATAGATATGCTGGTTAATCTAACATAACATGAAAACAGAAAATGCATTTTTATTATATACAGATAGAAGTGTTTGCTTTTAAAGCTAATATATATCTCTAAACACGGCTTAGATAAATTTAGTTATATTTAAGCATGGGGTTACAGTAATAGTTCTCAAACGGTGGTGCCCGCCACACAAGGTGAACGTAGACAATTTTTTAGGGGCGGGAAGTTGATTAAATAAAAAAATATTTGTTAGCTTTGATCTCATTTTAGATATTCACGTTCCATCTCTTCTCGGTAATTACTGGACAATTGCTTTGAACTTTTCAGTGGTTAAAGATTTTATTTTTGGCTTGAAGGCTATTTATTACTTTTATTTGATTCAAAATTTTTTTGGGCTCTATGGAATTCGTTTTATTTTGTGCGATGACGTCATCTGAAATTGCGCACCTTGTGTCGGTTCCGCGTTTGCCTTAGTCGTGAAGATTGCCGACAGATTGCATACTCGTACTACTTCGTTTTGGCTTTCGTGCCCATATACTTGAACATCGCCTTCTTGTTTCAATTCATGGTAACACTTTTATCACCTTTTCTACACTTTATTACCCCACGCTTGTCCGCCGATGCTCAGCTAAGACAGTACCGGTACCGATTCTCGTGTCCATATTTTTGTGCATTGCTCTTTCTTAATTTTGGGTTATGGGTATCGTTTAGGTTTATTGTTTTAAACTTTGCTACAGTTCTGTACCGTAATCTTTCAAGATATTTTCAGTACTTCTTGAATACTTCTTTTGTTTGATTAAAGAACTGACTGGGGAATTCACCGGAAAAGCATAATCGTCATAATCGCTACCATTGTTTGATAACGAATCCTCTGTAATAGGGAAAAATCCAATATTATCTGAACGACTTAACGCCAATTTCGGAGAACTTTTGTAATGGGGAATCCTGTATGATGTATGGCCACGTGTACTTGGGATGTCACGGTTGGGTGAGATTGCAGCCTTAGTGACGTCACGATGCTGACAGTCCCAAGGAATTGAATACTCGTTGTCGTCTGGTAAAGATATGATTTCTCCTCGTCGTGACGTTCTTTTTCGCTCGTCCCATCTTGATGGGGAGTCTTCAGATTTCGATTTCACAAAAGTGGTTGTTGGTAATTTGGGGGCATATTTTGAGGAGGATCTTTTAAGTGAAGTTCCGAGGGGGTAAGTGGGGGTAGCGGGGATTGAAGATGGTTTAGGTGTCAAACTCATCCTGTGTTGTAACGGGCTATTTTTAATTGAATAGTGTTGTTGTTTTCTGGGGTTGAATTGCGCAATCGCTTTATTAGTAGTCAATTGTTGCGTAGGAGAAGACGACCGTCGCCCCATTAGTGCGACATTTGTCTCTGAAATCGAGCGGCTGCCTGATATGAGTGGACTCTGTCTATGTGGAGTGTGAGGGGTGGTGGGAGGAGTATGAAATACATTACGAACCGGTGATAATGATTCATTTCTTCGTTGAATAGGGGGAGAGTATACTTTTTGGACCCTTTCGCCATCTGGCGGTGGCGTGTGAAAACCATCACTCATATGAATGGGGCTTGTAAAAGGTGTGCTTTCGTTACTTGGGTATTTCCCTTCTGAACGATTCAATCTTTTCCTGGGGGAAGTCGGGGGAAGTTCACTCGAAGCAACACTGCTCCATGTGCCCATGTCCGAATCAGAAGGAACACTGCGTTTGATATTGTGTGAGCTATGGGATTGTTGAGATTGCTTACTTTCTGATGTATTTTCCAAATTCTCTCGTTCGGACATTCGTCTTTCAATCTCTTTAATAATGTCTTCAGCGTCTGTTTTTTCGTCGACATGAATGTCATCGAGATTCAAATCTTCATCTGAACTTTTCATTTCAATTTCCAAAAGTTTTTCATGAACAACCAATTTTGGTTTTGGTGGTATAACATATCTTTGCGAATCCCTTCTTTCTCGAGTAGATTTGAATTTCGACTCCATTGCCTCTCTTCCGTTTTTCTCAAATTTGCCTCTGTGTTTGTTTATTTTCCCTTCATTTGCCCCGCCAATCTCTGTATACCATTTCAATTCGCTTTCTGTTAAATGCATACTAGGCAATGAACTTCTTCGATGCTTTCGTGTTATTTTAGCGTATGCATCGATATCATTTGTGTCGTTTTTACCCAATTTTTTTTCTTTTTCAATTTCTGACTCGCTAATGGACGGAGGAGATAGGTTAGTCTGTTGGTTATCATTGGAAGACGCAGGCGACAGTGGTAACGACACAGCAATATTATCTTTTTTAGTTTTTCTGTTTCTTCTCGGAGGAGGTATAGGGGGTGTAGGGTCTGACTGCTCTAAAATACGATTGAGCTCTTCTTCAGATGGAAATGAAAATTCTGTTCTGCGAACGATAGGTGGAGCCGTTTTCGGAATTTCAATTTCCTGATAGTCATGATAGCGTCGCCTCTTTTGAAATGGCAACGGAGAAGTAGTTTCCTTGACGACATTTTGGTTTGTTGCTGTCGTCGATTGTCCTTTCTCTGTTACGTCACTACTGTCTATATCTCTGTTTTTAGTTCCATCACAGTGGTGCTGATAAGTGTCATCTGCGTATAAGACGAATGCTGAATTCGGCCTAGATTTCGGTTTGCTGTTATTTTCACGCTGCCTTCTCTTGGCCACAGTATTGGCATCTCCAGTCTCACACAAATAAAGTAAAGTTTCAATAACCATTTCCAAATTGTCAGACTGCCTATGCCGCGGCCCAAGCTCTTTTTTCAATTTCATTTTTAATTTTTCGCGTTCGAATCTCAAACGGCTCTCTGGCGACTCTAATGGCTTTTCCTTTTTCCTCGAACTCCGAACATTTTGCTTGTATTGATATAACACGTCAATTAGACTTCCATACTCGTTCGATAATTGTTTTTTCAGTGGAGGATGTGCACTTGAAGGTACTGAAGTTTCGTCAACGGTGCGCAAGTCGCTTGTCTTCAAAGGTGACATTTCGTCTGTTAACTTATCTATATGGTTTTGCCCGTCGGATTGAATCAAAATAGTCTGATTTTCGACGAAATCGTTAGATTTTTTAGACGTAACTTCTTGCGAAGGCGACAATATTTGATTCACGGGCCCGAGCGGCTCGGAAGGGATTGGTGGTACTACAGTGGGAAATGCTGGTATAGTCTTTCTTTCGCTTTGTTGATTGGTGTGTGCGAGAGACCCTTCTGGAGCAGAAAACCCCATCCGCGCGTTTCCGGAAGGGCGAGTGAACTGCCCAGGTACTTCCTGGGTCAAAGGTGACAGGTTGTGATGGTACGCAGATAATGCTTGTTCATTTGAAGTAACTGAATGCGGTGGTTGATGATGGTAGTCATGAATACGTTGCCTGTAATAACCTTCAGATGACCTTGGTCTCACCGGTATCGGTGCAAACTCATTTGTGTAATGTTCGATGTGGTCTATTGGTAAATTTGGTGCGGTATTTGAGTGTCTTGTGTGTTTTATATGATGTTGATTCTCTGGTAGTAAATCTTCCAACTTGCTTCCTTGACTTTGATACCTGAAATTAAAAAAATTTATGAAATTGTAATTAGATCGAGTCTAGAATAAGAAGGATTTAATATAAGATGAATAAGCCACACGAATATGGTTTTTGTTAGTAGTTGGTGGGTCGATATGCAAATGTATTCTAGAGTAGCAAGAATCAGAACATCTGTATTGAGTGGTTCAAAGGTGTTGCATTTTATTTTCACAAGATTTATTCTGTAATATTTTCTCTGATCCAATTAATTAAATGACAGATCTATATTTTTATTCTGAAAAAAAAGGTTATGTGACAACCAAATTATCTTTGTGCTGATAATTTGAAGTTGGTGAAAGTGGATGAAATTTGGAACGGTGGTCCTGAAGATGAGTGGCATGCAAAGTAATGAAACAGATATGAAAAAGATGTTTTTACTGCCATGCTAAACGATTAATATCTGCGATTTTACTTCTGGTCGATTCTGGACCTGTTCATATTTGCCCCGCCACTATTAGTATGCTTTCGCCAAAGTAGGTAATTGTTAATAACCTGAAAATATTTATTGCTTTACTTTAAACTTTATAATATTCATACAAATTTATATATATCTGTTTGGGCGCCAGGAATCGTTCGAAACCAATGCTGTGTGTGTGTGAAGGAGCTCGCTTTGAACAATGACCCGCCTTACTAGGATTCTGGCCCGAGATATTTTGTCATCGCTTCCTGACTCATAAAATATGATCAAATTCAACATGGCATGACTTTTCAATTATGGATAGGAATGAAATATGGAGGTGTTGCAAGCATATGCCAATGATTTTATAAAACCTTCAAAATTGTGAATTTTCTGTTGCATGTTTCGGCTGTAAGTCTGGGGTTTGTCTCGCCTGAACCCGATAATGCGGGAAAATATCACTGTGGCGATTTCTAGAAGTAAATTAAGAAAAAGCTTTCAGAAAAGTCGAGCTTAAGAGGACCACTCGCTGCAGGAAAAAAAAAGTCGTTCCCGAAGTATGTGCACAAAGATGGCGCACAACCTGAACGCTAACCTGTACACATACTTTTTCAGGTTGTGTGTCATCTTGGTGTACATACTTCGCGAGCTCCGAAAAAAATGTGTACCGTCGTATTTCTTATGCGGGAATTTTTTCACAATTTTCATTATGAACATGGTCTTAACCGTATTTACTGGTATGTCACGATTTGTAAAACTGTATTTTTGTAAAGGTCAGTTGGCTTGTGAGATCTGTACCCAGCATTTTTAACCTTTAATTGTGTTGTTCAAAATTTGAACCTATGCCCGCCAGCATACCCTACATATTCAGCCACAATGTTTTGTGAGACGAAAAAATACCTAGTATTAAAAAAATGCTAGAGATCAAAACGGCAATACCCCAGCGACCCCTTCTTTTTTTAAATGTAAAAAAAAAAAAGCAATTTTCTGTATTATGCATAGCAATTTTTCGTAACTCGAAATGTATTTTAGATCTACAAGACTCTTGTAATCCGGGACCCGGGTTCCTCTATTGAACACTGGTACAACTCATTTGTTAGGCTTTTCTCAACATCAGGGAGGAAGAGTATTAGAATCCCATCCGAAAATTTGCTTTTCACTTACCCGGATGAAAGCCTCCTTGTTCTTCTATGTTTCGGAAAGTCTCGGACGATATCGGAATCGTATTGTTCTTCTTCGATCAGTGATCGTCTATATTGTAGTTTCCTCTGCTGATGAACCCGTGGGGCGTAGCTGTCATCTCGAACGAAATCAGAATTGCGACGACGAAATAGAATCTCGTCCCCCGACGATGGGTCTGAAATAATTGAAAAAGAGAGCAATGATAGATGTGGATATATATATATACCGATAAATGTACGGTTTCAAAAACATGTCCCACCATAAGACACCATTATAACTCTGCATATTTGGCATATAGCCATTGGCATTTCATTGGTCGTCCGTAAATTTCATTTCTTTCTGAATGAGTGCGAGTAACTTCGCCCTGAGATGAGCCTTCTTCACTTATGACTTAGCGCATGCAACTTTGCTCGAAAAAGAGTCCTCTTCACTTTTCAGAGAGTGCCCGTATATTTGTTCAGAGATGAGTCTTTTTTACTTCTTAGTGAGTGCATGTAATTTACTCAGAGATGAGTCTTCTTCAAGTTTGAGTGAATGCGAGTAACTTCGCTCAGAGATGAGCCTCTATTACTTCTTAGTGAGTGCATGTAACTTTAATCAGAGATGAGTCTCCTTTACTTCTGAGTGAGCGCCTGTAACTTTACTCAGAGATGAGTCTTTTTTACTTTTTAGTGAGTGCATGTAATTTACTCAGAGATGAATCTTCTTCATTTTTGAGTGAATGCGAGTAACTTCGCTCAGAGATGAGCCTCTATTACTTCTTAGTGAGTGCATGTAACTTTACTCAGAGATGAGTCTTCTTTACTTCTGAGTGAGCGCCTGTAACTTTACTCAGAGATGAGTCTTTTTTACTTTTTAGTGAGTGCATGTAATTTACTCAGAGATGAGTCTTCTTCATTTTTGAGTGAATGCGAGTAACTTCGCTCAGAGATGAGCCTCTATTACTTCCTAGTGAGTGCATGTAACTTTACTCAGAGATAAGTCTCCTTTACTTCTGAGTACATGTAACTTCGCTCGGAAAAGAGTCTCCACTTCTGAAAGAGTGCCCGTGTTCGCAGATCACTTGTATATTTGAGTGAGTGCGAGTGCGCATGACCAACATGTATTGTACCACTATAATTCTCGATAGTTTATAGCTCTTGACATTTCAGTGGTCAGAGATGGGTTTACTTCACTTCTGAGTGAATGCGCATGTGCTTGCTTTAAAAAAAATTTTTGAAAAAATATATATCTTCTCTCTGCAGTGTATATTGGTTAGCCAAAATTGGACATTGATTAGCCAAATATCTTGTAAAATACAAAAATATCAAATCATTAGCATTTTTGTTTCCATGAATGTTACTAACCTTGTGTCATTGACCATCTATTCTGGTGGAAGTATGGATTGAAATCCTGTGAAAATAAGAAAATGTTAGAGTTGCGTTTGCAAAGCACGTTTAACTGACACTCGTTTGATTGGTTTACTTCCCGGAAGCCAAGAAATTGATTAAGCGGAAGGTCAAATTAACCAATCGTGTTCAATGCAAAAATTTTTTTTTTCTAAATTATGGTCATTCCGAACAACTGGTGACAATTATAAAAGTAATGGGCTCATCCGCGTATCACATCTATATGCTTTACGCCAGTGGCTCTCGAACAGTGGGCGTTCCCTGTAATGGGTGGCGTAGACAATGTTTTAAGGGGACGTGAAGCCAATTAAAAATAAAAATATTTGGGGCTCCCGAAGTATGCGAACCAAGATGGCGTACATAGGAATGTAATATGGGTACTAGGTTAGGGTTAGGCCATAATTTTAGGTATAAATACTACGGGGGGCTCTTGGCTAGTCTTCGAACTGATAATAGGACTAACATAAGGAAAATTGGAAAAAAATTATCGCCTAACCCTAACCTGTTACCCATGTTACGTTCCGATGTCCGCCATCTTGGTTCGCATGCTTCGGGAGCACCAAATATTTGTTAGATTTGATCCTGTCCGCAATATTTCAATATTTACATTTCTTTATTCTGGATATTTACGTTCTATCCAGGTATTTTCAAAATGTTTTTTGAATAATATCTTCGCGTTACTATCTATTATTCGTAGCTTATTGTTAACTAGTTATTTTTAGGTGGGGCGCGAGACAAACACAATTCTAAAAAGAAGGCGCGGTTTGAAAAGCTGAAAAATTATAAGCTACAATGTTTTTTACGAAAATCAGTGGATTTTCGATTCTCCGTTTGGTAACTACTTAAATCATAGGCGCTCCAGAAGTATGTTTACCAATATGGAGGTAACTATTTCGTTCGCCTACTTAACATCAAGTTGTATAAAGGGACTGAAACCTATATGGGCAGCAGGTAGATTCACTTGACTAACACAGGCAGACCCCTAACTCGTATTAGAACTGAAATAAGGAGGGTCGGAATATAATTATGGCTTAATTCTAACCTGGTACACACACTACGGGAGTACCAAATTATGGACATGGACTATCTCCCGATACCAATATAGATATGATATTTATAACGCGCTAACAACTAAGCAATGATATGTTATTTTTTGAGTTATGAAACACGGTATTTTTTGATTTACTGACCCTTTGGTATTTATTCAACCGGTTACTGAAATGTCAGTTTTAAAAATTCAGTTAATTTCGAACAATCGACCACATTTATGTGGTTGGAGCTACAATTGGCATCAGCGACTTCAATGGGGCGTTCTTCTTATTCTAAGTAAAACTTTTGTCGAGCTATTGGTACGTAGGGAATCACCATGTTCTATTTACAAATATTGAAATTTTTCGGCTCGGTTTGGCTTGCACCATTCAATATTTATTATATATAACGAAATATACTGCATCCTTGAATTAGTGATCTGACTGTCGGTTGTATTCAACCTAAATATTAGCTTTAAAACACACAGATATTGAAGTATTGAGAACATCGGCGTTTCGCGGTTTTATACACTGTAAAGTGTAAACAAACATCTTGGCGAGCAGTAGAGTTAACAAGTTGGGAACTGCAATGATTTTTGCTAAAATTGAAACATTTGCGATTCAGTAAGGCTCACTTCGTTTGGAATTTTCTTTATGGGTTAAATTATGGACATGACATGGACTATAGCGCATGATTGCCACCAGGTATATTCATGTCAAAGATAAATAAACCACAACCGGTATATATATAGCAAAACGATATAATTTGCCGACGTTTCGAATTTCTATTCAGAAAAACTTCATCAGGGCATGATATGAGTACACTATCATATATATATAGAGTAAAATAAAAAAAAAAATAAAAAAAGGTAGTAAAAATTAAACGGCGTGAAAAACTGAAAAAAAGGGACAATAACTTCACGCCGATCAATTATCATATTGTCCCTTTTTTTCAGTTTTTCACGCCGTTTAATTTTTACTACCTTTTTTTTTTTTTTTTTTTTACTCTATATATATATGATAGTGTACTCATATCATGCCCTGATGAAGTTTTTCTGAATAGAAATTCGAAACGTCGGCAAATTATATCGTTTTGCTATACACCGGTTGTGCTTTATTTATCTTTGACATGACATGGACTATGTCGCGATACCAATATACTTATTTTTAACGCGTTAACAACGAAGCAATCAATATGGTATTTTTGATTTACTGACCCCTTTGGTATTTATTCAACTGACAAGCGACCGGTTACTGAAATGTCAGCTTTTAAAATTCAGATAATGTGCGTCATGAGGCCGTCGACGTTCACAGACGGTTCAACTTCCGGAACTAGAGGTCAATTAATGTTGGTTGGTTTGGCTAAGAGCATTACATGTAATTTGGTACAATTCGCTCAGTAATATCGTGTTTTGAAAGAATTCAACTAAAGAAGTTCTGATTGAAACAAAAATATGAAATTTCTACAGGAGTCAAAGTATGAGTTTTACATTGGGATTTCGGGGCTCCCGAAGTATGCGAACCAAGATGGCGGACATCGGAATGTAATATGTGTACTAGGTTAGGGTTAGGCGATAATTTTAGGTATAAATACTACGGGAGGCTCTTGGCTAGTCTTCGAACTGATAATAGGACTAAAATAAGGAAAATTGGATACAAATTATCGCCTAACCCTAACCTGTTACCCATGTTACGTTCCGATGTCCGCCATCTTGGTTCGCATATTTGGGAGCACCGGGATTTCAAATAAAAAATGTGAAAGCATATTCGTTGGTGACCGTACATTTGAACCCACGTACATTTGAACCCATGCGCGGGTTCAATCTATATGCGGGTGCTAAAACTCATGGGTTAGGGTTAGTATGGGTTCAAATATTCGTAAAACTAAAAAAATTTCATAAGTGTAATGATATGCAGGTGCAATCGTCGTGGATTCAAATGTACGTGGGTTCAAATGTAATGGAACCTAATCGTTATCTATTTTTTCTACAGTTTTCAGAAATGCCATATTTTCGTTTTAGACACCCCTGTGCTTCTCCTCAATTTATTTTAGGGATTTTCTACATTCCGAAATTTTGATTTGGAATTAAAACTGATTGCGCTTAGATCACATAACTACTGTTCGATCATTCTATTTTTTTTATTCTTAACAAACAAACAGTCTTTTCTGTAGTGAGAACATCATGAAATTTATTGGGCATAAGACAAGGTCGTAGTTGGGAATTTTCAAAGGGCGATTATCAGCTAGCTGGAGGCCGGAAACGTTGGTTTTCAAGAGATTTGAAACGGTGTGGCGCATCATGCTAAGCGTTAGGAATAAGCACCCCTGGTTACCCTGCGTGGGTTCGCAGATTCAAATCCCATGCAGGAATAGTTATGTGCAAGAGGATTGTCGGACTCCTCGCTGCCGTAGGGTGGTTCACGTAACCGCTGGTCGGTTACGACTGCCTTCACCATCAAGTCCATGCATCTGAAACAAGTAACTGGCTAAATAATCCTATACCCGACATTGACCGGTAACCGGACAAGAGGCCGTGGTTCACCATATGGTTAAGCCTTCTCATCGGCTTTCCTGGCCCCCGGGGAAACATGTAAATCTTTTTCAATTATCAAATGCTGCTTACCCTACTAACCCTGTCGGCGTAATACTGGCGTTCATAGACCATGTCGGAGTAATCTGAAGCGTCAGAGAAACGTTTTGTTCGATCCGGCATTCCACCATTAGGATAGTAAGGCTGTAAATTGAAGTTAACAAGTTGTGATTGATTAGATTAGCTTATACCTAATAACCGTCCCTTTTTTACTACCGTTGCCGTATTGTGTCCGTATTCATTGACTGCACGTGTATTTATAATAGAAAACGGCTACATTGAGTGATTATCCAAAGTGGAAAGAGTTTTCAAAGAGGGCTCCGTAATTTCTACTTGCGAAGTTAGACCGTAGTCCGGTCCGTAACAACTAGAGAGTCCAGCTAGAAGGTCTTGGGGTTTCAAAAAAAGTTTGAAGCTACGAAAAATTGCTATGTGTGACACAGAATTTTTTTTTCATATTTCAAAGTTAGGGGGTGGGGGAGGGGGGTTTGAACCCCAAAACTACCCATAAGAATGATTGCCATATGATATCATTTTTCGTTTTCGTCGGGCTGAATGCATCGTGTCACAAATTTTATTCATTGGCGTTGGCGTAAATGTTTTTGTTTAAAACTACTCGTCAGAGAAACACAGTGTAACATAGCAAAATTAAGTCAGTGGAACTGTGAGACCTTCAAACCGCTCAGCAGCATACAGCTACTGTCTTGAATTAAATTTTGACTTTTGACCTCTGTTAATAAACCGGAACCGGAAACTCATACCTTTGGTCGCAGATATACTCCTGGTAGTAAGTGTACGTGGTTTGGGTCGTAGTTCGCTAGAGGAATATTCCCCTGAATGACGGCGTTGACTTTTTGTTGCCGCTGTTGAAGATATTGGCGTTGCCGTTCGTCGTAGTTGTCCATCGGTCTGAAATGAAAAGTATGTTGAGATTTGAAGATTCGGTACTCCCGAAGTATGTGAACCAAGATAGCGGACACCGGAACATAGGCAGCCAATCTTCATAGAGGATAAATTCAGATATTTGTTTCCGTCGTGCAACATATGAACAAAAAATGAAAAAAAACGTATGATTTTGATATTTATACCGGAAAGAGATGAGCCAATAGAAAGGCGTGATCATGTGAAACATTCTATGAATTTTTGGATTTTCAAGAGAATTCGTCACTTTATACATACTCACTTAGTGAAAAAAGACTCATCTCTTAGCGAAGTTAAACGTACGACCAATCGGAGGCCAGTGGATGGTACATCTTGGATACAAATCCTACACCCGCCACTTTACGTAGGGCGTAATACATTGGGCATGTCTGTAACTCACATATTATAAGATACCAGTGGCGGATCTGGTCCGGGTCGAAAAGCGTGTAAACGTCAAAAAAAACTTAAAAGTTCTAACGATAATTTGATAAATTGTATATCTTCACTCACCTTCCTCGAGCGTCTCCATTGCTCGGACGATACCGCTGCGCATCTGGATGTATAGGGATATTCCTGTAATCTCTAAGGGAGTAAGCAGCAGCAGGTGGATTGCGTTCATCTATGTACGCCATGTTGTCAGAACCTGTAGGGGTGAATACATTATCCGATCCGGGAGTTGTTGGGGTTGGTCGGTTCATAGGAGACCAGTTACGATCATGGTAATTTGGATAATTCGGTAAGTAGTTCGGTTCGAGGTTTCTTCGTTCGAGTTCGGGCGAACGTGTTTTGTTGACCTGATAAGTGTTTAGAGGTTGAGCGATTTTGTCCAGTTGTTTATTTTGAACTACGATTTGTTTTTCACCAGGGGCGGGGTTTTGTAGACGTGGAATTTCTTCTGACCAATCACTTTGCGACACGCCTACAATTGAGTCCGTTTCTTTATCGTGTTCACCCAAATATCGTCTCAAAGGGATAGGTGGGGGTGAGTCAGCCCCTGGTGCTGGTGGTTGGGGTACATTATCCCATTCCCCGCTTCTGCGGTCATAATGTGGGAGTCCTTTCAAATCTCCTGGGTCCGAAGGTGTCACTCGTCTTTCCAATTTCTCGTGAAGGTGTTGAGTGGGCGGGGCTTCTGACGATTTGACTCGCGCACGTGATTCCCGTCTTTGCTCTAATTGGTTGCCACTCTTGTCCATTGCGTCTTTTCTATCACGATAGTACACAATGCTGCCATCTGAAATATTGAAGTGATGTAGGTTTATTATAATAAGCTATTGAATATGAGTGGGATATGAAGATGATAGTTTCAGGCCCCGTGGAGGTGGGTAAATAAAGACAGGGGTGTGCAACAGGTGGTCCACGGGCCACATCCCGGCCCGCCAAGCTATTGAGTGTGTCCCTTATCAACACTCATATATTTCCCCACCAAGTATAAAATACCAATCTGACAGTTTCTGTTAACACTTAACAGCTGAAATTTTAACTGTCCCACTGAAATGTTAAATAACTAAAAATTTGCATCATGTGGATTTTTTAATTTGTTGTGTACATGGAAAACTAAAATTTGTGTGTGGTCCAGCTAGATGTCTAAAGTTGATTATTCGCCCCGCCGACAAAAAATGTTAGTACACAAGTTTACTCAAATTTTATATTATGGTATTTAATAACAAGACTTTAAACAGGAGAGTGGGGAGGGTTCTCCAGGCCAATATAGCCTACGATAAGCGTTGTGTACGGGCATACGCGCGCGGGCTACAACCCGGCCCGTAAAGCTATTTAGTGCGTCCCTTGCAACACTCATATTTTCTTCCACCAAGAATAAAATTCTTATCCGACAGTCTATGTTTAGAGTCGTATATTTTAAAGCTGATATTAACAAACTGTACAAAAACTCGATATTTCAATCAATCCCACTAAAATGTTATTGGTGATTGGATTCAAAATTCTATTCTTTCGTATCGAACTCACTAACAACAGGTTCCCCCTATTTCAGAAAATGTATGTTTTTCATAAAGTAAGCCACATTAACATGATACGCTGTACATAAATCGATACTCCCGTAGTATGTGTACCAGGTTAGGGTTAGGCCATAATTTTATTCCGATTTTCCTTATTTCCCATAGGTTCCCGTCCCTTTACACAACTTGATGTAAAGAAGGCGAATAAAATTAGTAACCTCCATATTGGTACACACACTTCTGCAGAACCAATAAATATAATCGACAACAAAATAAACAAGAACTGGTTTGAGAATTATCAAGACATTACAAAAAGGATTCGTGCAAAGCCCCTAAATGCCCAAAATCAGCCTACTACTCCAAAATAACGAGAAAGAAATCGCGATACTTGCCTTTAATCTTCTCTGTCACGGGTCCGTTTCTGTAAACCGGGAACGCACTGAGAGGAGTTTCTGAATTCCCGTCTATTGCTGATTGTGGCGAAGCTTCATCTTGACCTTGGCTTTGTCTTATGAGATCTTCAAACGAAGCGGATGTTGGAGGACTCCTTGGGGTGATAGGACTTGATGGTGTCTCGATTACTGACACTGGCCTCTTGCCCCTTTTTCCTGAGAAATTAAGAAAAGTATTATACGAGTTAGCAGATAAACTTAATTGTCAGTCATTGATACGATGAGTCATCGAAGTGAAATAACTCGTCACTTGCAACTTGAAGATAATTTTGAGCGAGTTTTTGTAACAACAACAAAAAATAGAAATACGATTTTCTACGCAGATTAATGGGCGCACCAGAAGTATGTGTACCAAACTAATTTTGTTCGTATATTCACTTGGCTAACACAGACAGTCCCCGAACTCGTAATAGAACTAAAATAAGGAAAATCGAATAAAATTATGGCCCAACCCTAACCTAGTACACACACTACAGGAGTATCGATTAATTGTTGTATTGAATTAATTTAAAATGCATTTGTTGACTCGTTGCAATAATAGCTCGAAATAGACCGTGTTGATACCGAGGTAAATGATTTCGATGTTTGAATTAAATACTAGTTCACTAATGAAACGTTGTTTTAACGATAAATAATGAATTATCGGCGTCATATTATTTGTTTCACACAATTTTCAAACTTTTAATTAACTTACTGAAGCTTCTTCTTGATTTCTTTTGAGTTTTTTCAAATAGTTGTCCGAAAAAATGTGTTACCCTTTTCATTTTAATTTACATTTTTCTATACTGTATATATTTCTGGTATCTAAATCTTAGTATCTATATATAAAGCATAGCCTATTCACAGATGTTAAAAGTAAATTTACTCTCATTTTTTTACATTTTCACTTCTAGAAAGCATGGCTATAATGACCCATGGGGCAGAAGTACTTTGGTTACACTTACAAGCTAACAAATATAGTATATTTAATACGAGTGTTTTCAAAGCAGGGTTCCGATTTTTCATTCAAAATCTCTGACTTACTAAGAGCTGTATATTTTATTCAAGTTTGCTCAAAGCCGAGTTCTGAGTCCTCAACTAAAAGTATTAAGAGCACTAACACAATAGTTACAACCAACCACTGACAGCCATATATCTTAATACTAGTTTTTGCAAAGCAAGGTTTGGAACGCTCAACTGAGAGTAGAAAGACTACTGATAAAAAAATCGCAAGCTATCATTGTAGAAATATCGATGGCCAGCCGTTTACACAAAACTAGAAACTATTCAATTCAGCGCTGTCACGAAAACATCTCAGCTGAAGGAAAATTCAAATATTTGTACATGTCTTCCGCAACATAACTTTACTCCACAAACTTTTATAAATTAAAATCACTTAAGCTTTGATATATCTTGCCAACCTACACTAAGATTCTGAGTCATTCTGTCAGCTGACGACTTCCTTGTATAGATAGGCACGCAATATTATGATAAGTAATAACATTTAACTATGTTGTAAAAAAAGTTAAATTTTATGTCATTTTCTAGTTATTGTGGTTAGTTGGGTTTGTAAAACCTAACGGCCAATTGATTGGTTGAATATTGGTGGTTGGTGGTTAACCGTAACCGTTAGAATACTGAAATCCGTTTTACTTTCGAATATTATAACGTATCAAGTCCACGGGCCCGTAGTTCTTCAATAGTACTGAGTAGGAATGTAAGTTTCAAAATTTTAAAGCGATTCGAATCAGCAACAATTCGAATCAATTTCAGAAGAAACAGTTCTATTGGAAAAAATAATTAAATAGATAATACGAGGCAAATGCACGGCCCAGCGGCGTTGTCTCAATCTCAACCAAAACCTTTCTTCGTTTATTTTACAGCTTTTCCCAAGTCGTAACCAATGTTTAAGCTCATTTTGTACGACTAAAATGTTTCATGTCATTATATAAACGCTCTACTGAATTGCCAATATATATAGTATCTTATAATAACAACCTGATTGAATTATTTCATATTATAAAGAACAAAGGTCTGCGATATTTACCTCGTAGTCATTGCTTCCATTAAAATCACAGCGCATACTAAACACATTTAACAAGCGTTTATTATTCGGAAAAATTTCAGAAGAAAACTATCACTATATACTTTTTTTTTTGTACCACACCACTCGTATATATTTTTATAAAATGTAACTTTTCACGTCACACCTACATGGCCTGCCAGTTTAGGTGGGCCCAATATTTGGCCCGTGGTCCTAAAAACTTGCCCACATTTGATATAGCATGTATTTCCACTGCGAAATGTACCTTTTTTAAAATTTTCTCTTCGTTCTTAGCATATAGCTTGTATTGCCACTTTGGGCAGCAAAATGTACCGCACTATCTTTCTCAAACTCTTCTATACCTCGCTTTTATCATATCGCTCGTATTGACGACCTAAAAGCAGTTTCTACATATGATCTATAAACCAATGTCTGACTGACTTTAATTCCCCTGTAACAGCTATTACAAACTATTTTTCGACCTCTCGCTAACTTATGAACCCCGGATTATACAACACTATGAATACACGAGTTAAGGGCTGACTAATGCAGGTTGATAGAAGTTTAAACTTTAGCTGTGTGATTTGTCAGACTCTGTCTGAATATACATTGAAAAGATAAATGACAACGATTAACCAACTTAACTTGTCATTTAAGTTCCGAAATTTCTGGTTGCCAAGCTAGACCGTATCAGCAAGCGGGTCCGAGTTCCAATTGTCTTAAGGGGTCTTAAAAGCGTTTCGAGCTATGAAAAGTTGCTGTGTACGATACGGAAATTTTTTTTTTTTTTGTTACATTTCAAATTTTGAAGTAAATATATCATACACTATTGAAGATGACACAATTTGTCAGAGTCTGTAACAAAGAAAGTAAATGCATCGCGACGCTGGACAATTTGCAAACCTCTGATCCAAACTGTTCTAAGATAAACAGAATAGTGATGGAACAATATCTCTAACACAGTGGTTCCCAACCTTTTATGGCTCGTGGCTCCCGTCCGGAGACTTTTTGAACTCATGCACCCCTATTTATCATTCCAGTGGTATTTATTGGGGTATTTTTCAAATTTCATTATGTTGAAATGATTCATGCTCAACAAAATGAAAATACCCTGTGAAATAACCCTATCAAGCAATGAAACCGCTGCTCAAACCTATTACTAACAGAAAGCATACCAGAAAAAATAGTGGTGGGCCAATAACAGTACCGTATATACCGCTATTAAGGCTGGGAATGGTTAACCGGTTAACCCATTTTAGGTGGTTAACGATTACGATTTATTTTAACCGTTAACTGACATCTCGGGTACAAATAATTTTTATACTGTACAATTTCTTCATAATTAATGATTCCGTCATCGCACATTTATCTCCTGTGGCGTTTATTTCAGAAGAATATCACTAACTGTTTGGGTAAGGACTCAATAAATGGGAAAAATAATTGAAGTACCAAGATTGCTGATTATGAAAATTTACAAAGATAAATTCAGAATCAGTTTCCGGTCGAAATATATTGTTCACGAATTTATTGCAAAATCGTATATTCAATGTCCTTCAACAAGTGCGCAGATGATGCCGTTTTTATTTATGATATCTCGAGGTAGAATTTGTATATCGAACACTGAAAATTTGTCACATAAATGACGTTTGATAACGGAATCGGATTTTTTAAAATACTTTCACATGTCCGAACCACGCTGCAAATCACTTGCAGCAGAGCAATCATGTACCATCTTGATTCGTGAATAATTTTGAGCGATAACGGGATAAGAACACGCGAAATTGCTATATAACCATTGTGACGTAACAAGCTAAAACTATAAACTATTACGTCAAACGTCACGCTGTGGTTAACCGGTTAATTTTACCCGGTTAACGGTTGAAGTGTTTTCCCTGAAATTCCCTGCCCTAACCGCTATCAACTACCAGAATAGCCTTTCAACTATCAGTATGCCATCAAACTTATGGTAACTGATCATAAATGAGTAATTCTTCTGAATGACATTTCTTTTCGTATGGTGCTACTATAAACTTTAGTTTAAACTTTGAATTCTTTTACGCACAACGCTATAACCCACAACTGGTATTATACATTAAATGCAATTAAATATTACCAGTTTTCTAAAAGCATTTGACTTAGTAAGCGAGGCGTGCGGCATGAGACGAGGAAACACGTCATCAGAAATGTGGGCTGGAATCGAAATATGATATTTATTTGTTACGTCATATTAACGCGGAAGATAGTTGTAGATTATGAGCTTTTACGACCTATTGTGAGTAATAATGTTTAGAATACATTAATACTGAAAATACTATAACACATTGTGCGGCAATAATGAATATGAAAGAATGCGTCGTCACACAACTCCAGACCGTTTTTATGACACATTTTATTTGCCAAATGGATCGATATTTCGATTAATTTACAAAAAATTCTATTGTCAAACAAAACATTCGCACGATACGTAAATGACTACAATTCATCTGCCTAGCCCTTTTTTGGTTTTCATTTTTATACGATACTTCTCGCATATAATAAGACTCCGTAGAAATTGGCATACCCATAGGGGTTGAAAAACCATTTGCAGTGAGACATAAATTCTTACGCCTTTTCCAACACCCTTTTACTCTATTCTTGAACGAATTACTGAAAACTGATTTTTCCTTGCTGCCATCAATAATCCTTTCATCAAATAAACCAACTGAAATCGATGAAAATGTGCGCTCGTATACCTTGGATAACTTCAAAAGCAAAGTAAGTAAGGGAGATTCCTTATCAAGATATTGTTAGATATAAATGGCTGCTTTTATCTAGCCTTGTTCGGAGCAAAAAAACAACTAAGCGTCGTATTACGTCATTATACAAAAAAATTTGGTTCCCCATAAAAATTTTAGTCTATACGCTCTTGCTCTGTATTGTATAATGCCGAGTACGGGGCTGTTATAATTGAAACAATCAAAATTTTTTTGGTTTGGCTTTGAATACCTAATTTATTACGCTATGGTATCTTAATCATCTTGCGATTAAGTTTCGTTTTAGAACGAGGCGTATTGTTTTCCACGTTTGCTTTCGTTACACTGTAAATATTGTTCACAGAATCGAACTTTTTACGCCACACTTACATGGTTCTGCACTATTATCTTAATCATCTCAAGGACAAAAATTCCGTTCTCGAATATTAGTGATAGCTTTGAAATCCTGTGATAAACCATGCAACAATAATGATAGCTTAGTATATTTGTGAAAAAAATGTTCGTTTTCTGCTCATTTGAGTCTGATCATTTGCAACTTTGTGATGACTGTACTTGGTGTTTTCAGACTCTGGGGAATTTTGACGACAATGATCGCCCATATGACTTCATAGATGGTATACTTGCTAGTTATTACGCATTCATGATCGATTATTCATCGATTAGTGTGTGATATACGTGCGTAACCGCAATGAACGCATATTGAAGTTGAAAAATCGTGAAATGGCAACCTTGGTGTAATGGATGTCGTGGATACCATGCCTTATTGTAGTGGTTGCCACCTTTTATCTCAAGCGCCCCAAATTTTTTAAAATATGAATTTTGTAAAATCTCGCAACCCAAGGATATGCTCAGATATTAAATCGCATGTAGTAATTTTACGGCCACCAAATTAAATACCTAATAAAAACAAAGTGAGAAAGCTACGAAAGTTTTTTACATTCTAATACTTCCCACGTAAACAATTATATTGAGCAACACTTCAATACCAAATATAAAATAAACACTAAATTTACTAGAAAATAAAATTAGTAACTTTAATTTTGTTTTAAAAGCAAGCCCTATAAAATTTTCTCGTGATCCAGTTTTGGGTCGCGACCTATAGGTTGCGAAACACTGCCTTTCTGGTTAAAACGTTGGATTCAACCTTGTTGGCATCGCACGTATCGGGCTCGATCCCACAGGGTGTAATGCATTAGAAAGGCAATGCCCAACTAGTATTACGGTCCTTTCAAATATAGTCGCTCCTAATCGCCCATAACTTTTTCAGACATGAGCCTCATTCACTTCTGAGTATGTGCATGTAACTTTGCTCAGAGATGTGTCTTTTTCACTTCTGAGTGAGTGCATGTAACTTTGCTCAGAGATGAGTCTTCTTCACTTCTGAGTAAGTGCGCTAACTTTGCTTTGAGAAAATTCTTCAAAACAGCTCTCAATAATAGGAACTAAAATACTAATGTCACACCGAAAACAAGCAAGCCGAAATTCCAAAAAATTAAATGAAAATTATTATTTTCACTCTTCATGCTTTATAAAGTACATTAGTAAAAATGCAAATCAGATAACTATCGTTTACTGGGGACAACACAACACAGCTCCGCAACACTCAAAGTGTTTTTCATCCTCTGCTTCAGAGACCCTTATATTCAGAGACGGATATATATTCATGTAAGAATGGTTAGCCGGCTTTCACATCCCTATATATCTATTTAAATTGATACTCCCGAAGTAAGTGAACCAAGATGGCGGACACCGGAACGTAGTATGTGTACCAGGTTAGGTCATAATTTGATTCCAATTTTCCCTATTTTGCTTATATTACGAGTTCGGGGACTAGCCAAGTATTTGTATCTGAAATTACTGTCCGACCTTAACCTGGTACACATACTACGTTCCGTTGTCCGCCATCTTGGTTCACATACTTCGGGAGAACCTTTAAATTCCACTATTTCCGAGACTCTTTTATAGTTTATCTTATCCCAGGGCATAAATCAGAGACGGATGCAGTAGCTTATCGGGAGAGTTAGGCGATTTTACCCCCGTTTCTGCGTATAAATGCTAATATGATTTGTGTTTACCCCCGTTTCCGAGACAATTTTATAATTTACCTTCTTTCAGAGCATAAATCAGAGACGGGTGTAGAATCACGTCGAAAGGGGTTAATCGGTCTTGCAGGTTTTAACATTCCTATATCCATTTATTTCCCCCCGCCCCCCGTTTCCGAGACAATTTTATAATTTACCTTCTCTCAGGGCATAAATCAAAGACGGATGCAGAATCACATCGGGCGGGTTAGGCGGTCTTGCAGGCTTGGTCTTCTTCTGTCGATATTGAACGGGAAATTCGTCTTCATGCTCGGCTTTGATTAAATATAAAAAAAATAAACAAACATGCATTTCCGAACAACACACGCAAACAGATTAATTAAATTATTCCATGCATTAAAATTTCAACAAAATTTTGTAAGATTAGATGGTTAGAACGTTGGGCTTGACCCTGTTGACATCGATCTAAGATATAAGCTACACAAACAGACAAATACTTACCAACATACTTACCGATCTTAAGATCGATAAGTAATAATAACTCATGTTTATAAGTCTACATTGAGCCAATTTTGGTTATAAATTTTGAAATTTTTCTATTTGAATATTAATTCAATTACAAATGCATTGTCATTTGAGTTGAGTCTGTGTCAAAAAATGATTCAAGTCTGTATTAAATTAAATTCCCAAATTATCACAATCATGCAAGATCCATAAAACAATAAAAATTAATCAGGGAAATAATAGTGGGGTGATAACAGAACCCGCTGAGTCGGATTAGGTCAGTATAAATCAGGAGTGTGCAACAGGAGGCCCGCGGGCCACAACCCGGCCCGCGAAGTCAACACTCGGATGTTTCCCTATAGAGCATAAAATTCTAATCCGATAGTTTTGTATAATAAAAAGACGCTCATATGGCCCTTGTCGCTGTGTTAAATCTTTCGCCTTTTTGCCAGGTGCCTTTATAAATGTAAAGCTAGGCGAGAATTTTTCAATTTGTTGTGTGAATGGAAAAACTAAACTTATTGTGTGACCTTGCTAACTGTCCGAATTTGGTTATAAGGCCCACCGCCAAAAAAATGTTGCACACCCCTTGTAAAAATTATTGCCCCAACATTAATCTCTGATTTTTGTTTGATTCCGTTTGTATCAGGGTGAATAAGCTAGAACAGTGGATACCAGAGTTGATTGACCGGGGGCAAAAATTAAAACGGAAGGATGTTCGCGGCCGGGTGGGCCGATGACGTTACCGCTCCGTATAATTGAGAAATCGGTTAATTGAATTGTTACGCATATATACACATGCCTAAACTGATAATGACGTAACAATTGAAGGGATCTAGAACGCAAAAAAAGTAAAAATATAAAGTACTGAACTATTTGACCCAAGTTCGGCGGGGCACATTAATTAGTTACGCGGGCTGTAATTGGCCTGCGGTCGCAATCTGGGAACCACTGAGTTAAAAAATGTGACAATAATATAACCTAAAAATAAATTGAATCAGAGAAGCAGATCAGAAAATTAGAGTAGCATCAGATAAAATTCACACACAAAAAAAATTCGTCCCTACCTATTTCAGTCAAGTCGTCCCATCTTCCTATTCCAAGAGTTCTCCCATCTAATATCATAGATGAAGGACGAGGTCGTGGCTTCTCTTTCGGTTTTCTGTTGTTCAGCGTATTGGCTTTGATTTCCTCCTCTCTGAAATTTAAAATGTATGGTAAGTGTTATCGAGAATATAGATTTTTCGGTACTTCCGTAGTATGTGTACTAAGTTAAAGTTTGAATCCATTAATTTAATCCGAACCTTATCCTGACTAAATTTAAGCCTAACCCTAACCCTGTACACATACTACGGGAGTATCAAAATAAGCATACTCACGCGACAACATTCTTGACGACCTTTGCTTTATGCTCAGCAACCTTTGGTTTACAGCAGACGCAGAGTATGAGCAGTGAAACAGACGCTATTAGCGCTCCTGCTGATATACCCGCTATCAATGCTGGTTCCACGGTACTGCTATTTCCAATTATGTCCAACATGTTTAACAGTTTTACAATCCCAAATCGACTTATAGTTCAGTTTATATTTTGTTTTTACATATTTTTTATTAGATTAGTCTGTGAAATTGAGTAAAACACGATGAGACAGGTATTTCCAGCCGTGGAAATATATGAACAAATACTCCAACTTCAGGTTGTGATAAATTTTGTCTCCCACTACATACAGCTCCGAGAAAATTTGAAATCAATCATTTTTGAAATCAAAAAATTTGGCAAACGAAAGTCATTCGATGCTCCCGAAGTATGCGAACCAAGATGGCGGACATCAGAACGTAACATCAGGCGATAATTTTTTTTCCAATTTTCCTTATTTTAGTCCTATTATCAGTTCGAAGACTAGCCAAGAGCCTCCCGTAGTATTTATACCTAAATTTATGGCTTAACCCTAACCTAGTACACATATTACATTCCGATGTCCGCCATCTTGGTTCGCATACTTCGGGAGCCCCTCATTCTTATTAAACTATTTGGAAACTCAAAGTTTTAAAAAAACTTCAATGGTGGATCAATAACTAGATTCACTCCTGAAAGTGATTGCTTACAAATTCAATTTCAAACCGCTTTCAGTATGTTAAATTCCATTGTCGTGTCATAGAACTTCCAATGAAACATATTATTACCGCACTATTCGTGTGAAATGAAAAAGGGTTTTTCATCGTCATGTCTATTACATGATGTAATAAATAGTACGACTAGTCCAGCGTGGTCCAAGATTGGCAGCTCCGCGGGCCACAAAATTACTTTTGCATTGTTCGCGGGCCCCAATAGTGCCAAGAACTTCGCTAGTTGCCTCAGCCAGCCATAACATTAGTGACTAGTCAATTCAGTGACATGTCAAAAGATTTTTTGTTTGATTTTATGACGAAACAACACAAAAGGCGATTTTTTGATTCCTCTTCGAATGCGACGCGGGCCACAGATAATGAAACGGCGGGCCACATGTGGCCCGCGGGCCTGGGTTTAGACCACCCTGGACTAGTCTATTTTTATGGCCGTACTATAGCAATTTCTCGGTAAAGGAGCTATATTTTCAGAAGAACGGAAATGCTTTCGGCTCGATACCCAGTTTATTATACCCCTGGTGAAATGTCAGGCGCTCGAACCCGAGTTGTGTAAACTGCGTTGCCAACACTTCAGGTCCAACGCTTTAATACTAGACCAGTGGTTCCCGAACGTTTCACTACCGTTAATCCTAAAAAGAATTCCCAAAAGCTCAACTACGCCCTTGCAAACTAACATCATGCAATTTGCCACATTGAATATTGAGTCCAACCGAAAAAATTTCCAATAGCGTATCTGTCTTGTAACTCGATTTAGCTTAAGGGGTACCTATCCCCAGTTTGAGAATCGCCGTACTAACTAGTCGAGCCCGTTGATCTATTGGTTCATAACTTAAGTCTAAGTCATATTTTGAAATTCCCAAAAGTCGAAATCGAAACTTTTGATTGAACAGCAGACTTCCAACGGTCTGGTATAAAATGAAAAGTCGTAATTTTTGTTGCGAACTTTCACAAATTTTATTCTGTAAAGTCTCAGACCAAAGTCAGACTTTACCAGATAAGCAATTTACTTCAACGCAATCTGTTATCCGTTTCAATACAAAGCAAACAGCGCATAACCTCAGAGCCCTCGTTCTAAATTACACACCCCAAAATATCATAACAGACTGTACGGCATCGTGATTGCGCGTCTATGACAAAATAAAGCTCATGCAAGTTTACTATTGTTCACTAATAATGACATCATTTTTTGTCATTCCGCGAGCACAAGACATTACATCCGTCTAGGGTTCGTCATAAAACATTTTCACAAATGAGTTTGAATTTGGCGCGCTTGCACTTGCCTATATCGACGCTAATTTTATCCGCCTAAAAATAATGTATTCAGGTTTTTATAAACACTAATTTGAGAGAATCTGGCGTACCCACACTGTAATGACTTTCAATTCTCCTACCAGTACTCATTTTGCAATAAGACGGGACTTGGGACGTTGATTGGAGTAAAGTGGTAATTTTTCTATCTGTAGTCTTTCCACTGTTTGCTGAGTGCTCGGGGCCTTTATTTGTGCAAACTTGTTACTCTTCTATCAGTACTCTCTTCACTTTTAGTTCAGGGCTTGGGACCTTGCTTTGAGCAAACTTGCAACTCTTCTATCAGTAATCATTCCACTTTAGTTCAGGGCTTGGGCCCTTGCTTTTAGCAAACTCGCAACTCTTCTATCAGTACTCTTTCCACTTTTAGTTGAGGGCTCAGATCCTTGTTTTAAGCAAACTTGCAACTCTTTCATCAGTACTCTTTCCACTTTTAGTTGAGGGCTCAGATCCTTGCTTTTAGCAAACTTGCAACTCTTCTATCAGTACTCTCTTCATTTTTAGTTAGACTTTAGTAGGCTTGGCACCTTGCTTTGACCACCCATATACTTGAATAAAAAAAAAAATCTTTTGTGTATCATATATAGCACTTTTGCGCAACTCGAAACGCTTTTTAAATCCTCAAGTCTTTGACTCTATACGCTTTAAGTCTAAACAAACCAGTGTCAAATTTATTATTTAACCATATTATATAGAAAGATATATTTTATAGGCTCCATACGTATTGAATGAATAACCTCTATGACAGGTCCCAATTTCCTATACATCAACTACGACCTTACTTTGACTAAACTTGTACGTAAGATTAAATTTATTTTTGTTTTCGTCGATTCATATAACTCTTCAACCAGCTCTATACGCTTAAAATAGTTTCTAAAATATGCTCCGATTCCCTATACAACATACACCTATAATTATTGATCGAAATTTACAAAAAAAACACACGCCATTCACTGACTATGTAAATAGGCTTCAGAAATCGTTTTGTATCAAAGCTATAAAAACCCAAATACATTCAAGCATGAGTTATATCAGTCTGATATTGAATTCCCCGCCTGTTTGGTACGATTCATTAAATTTACTATTGAAATTATGACGTCATTTCACGTCACCACACGTGCAGCACGACCTGTTTCATTCACCACAATGTAATAAAGGTGTCTCTGCTTATTATAAACGAGAGGAACGTATAAATCGTTTTGAAAAATTTCTGCTCTTGTTTTGGAGTAAAAATTAACAGATGAACATCAAGATATTGATTCAAATAAGGGCATTCATGATCGTGTTGTTTTAACGTGCGCTAAAATTAAATCTTGAGTAAAAATAAAATTGAAGATTCTGAGAATAAATCGATTGAAGGCTGGTGAATATTGACTCGATCAGATTGATATTGACTCGATCACTAATTATTTAATAGTCCAGGGGTTTTGAAAACGTGGGGCGCGCCCCACAAGAGGGGCGTGGACACTTCTTTGAGAGGGCGTAAAGTTGATTAAAAATAAAAATATTTGTTTGATTTTATCTTGTCCGCCTTATTTTAGATATTTACATTTCTTTATTGTATACTGATTGCGATTTCATCCACGTATTTTCAAAGTGTTTTCTTTTTGCTTCACTATCTGTTATTTTCAGCTTACTGTTAGCTAGTTATTTTTTGGGTGGGGCCCAAGGTTTGTAAAATTCTAAAAAGGGGCACGACTTAAAAAGTTTGGGTCCACTGAAATAGTCGAAGTGGATCAAACTATATAATAAGAATGCGTCGGACTAGTCAGCCATTGACAATTGAATTCAGTAATTAGCCCGGGACTCGGATCCTTCGTGACTTGGGTTATGAGGAATTTCACCCAACAGTGATAAATTTTATAGCGTTAATTATATGCTGTTCTGTTACTCATTACTCTTCATTATGATGGATCACCTTCTCAAAATTTGCACGTGGTCTTTCGTTTATTACTGTTTACAACTATCACACAAAAAAACGTTTGGTTATCTTGAAAAACAGCGAATAATAAATAAATCAACGGAAAACAGACAAAGGGAAAAAATACATGTAAATTAAAAAATAATTTGTAACACTATGGGCAGTTTATCAAAGCAGTGCATCGCATTTTTTTTTCTATAACCGCAAGCTGTTTTCCAAGAGTTGTTACTTTTTTAAACAAAACCTCCGAACTGACTGGGTCGTGATTTCTTCAATTTAATTTCCCAATTAAAGAAAATCTTACCAAATTGGGGGTTTTAGTATTCGAGGAACGAAAACCTTCTCTAAGTCGGGAGAGGGTAACTCAGAAAAAAGTTGAAAACCACTGGTGTAGGAGAACCCAATGCCTTTACCAAACCACACAATCACAAAAGACATATCAAAATATTAGTAGTGTTTACCTTAGTGAAATTAGGTTGGCTAAATTTCCCATAATAGCATCTTGTTTTCTAAAAATATAACAACCCTAACCTAACTCATGCAATACTAACATAAAACAAATATCTATTCCTCCAAGAGCCATCACGAAAACAACTATCTGGATAGCTCGAGTATTCAAATATATATTTCGGTTATTTTACATAAAGTGCAAAAGTCTGCCCCACGCGTAATTTTTTCAACATTTGAGCTTTCTTTACATAACCTATAAACAGAAGTAAAGTAAACAAATCCGAAAATCGGTGGTGAAGCAATAACAGAACATACTGTGGCGTGTGATAGATATAAGTTGTAGTCAAATCCTCGTCGCCAATTTTTCTTCCTCTATTCATCTAGAGATGTCGGTTTTATGCCTCGTCACTAATTTTCTCATCAATTTTCTCTAATTCTGTTTATCTTACGTTGAGTCAGCATATGTAATAAATGGGACAATAATCCAACCAAAGCTATCCTTATTCTAACCCTGACGTGGGTAAATCACGACCCGCGGGCCAAATCCCTCCCGTTGGGTAATTCAATCTTACCCGCCTGAGGCCTCCACAACCAAGCTAAAGCCAATTTTCGATGTATTAGCTCAAAAATAACTCGAGGAATTTGTTGCTATTAAACTTATTTTTGGCGCGAGGCTTATTGTTTTCCACTTAATGGCCCGCCAGTCTAAGTGGGCACAATTTTTGGCCCCTGGTCCAAAAACTCTATAACTAACCCGATATATACAGCAAACAAATTGAAAAATTAGTAGCGTTTAA